CCCCCTCCTGTGACACACAGCGATACAGTTGGCTTAAATTAGCGCGGCGTGACCATGTGGGTCGTTCTTAGGCTGTTCCAGTGGTGTTCAACTCGTCTCGATTTTAAGAATTGCACTTTAAGGGGCCTCAAAATCTTTCGCCAGCCCAGATTGTTGAACAGAAAGTTGAACAAGCTTTCAAAGGAAGTGTGGCCTTTGGAAGAAACGGGGAGAAAAGAACAGGTTTCTCTTTGGAGCCACAGACTGCGAAATGTGGGCTCAGAGCGACTTCGTCCGGCAAGCAACAGCAGGAGTGTTTACTCCTCAGGATTGCCTTCATGACACGAGACGTGGTTCTCCTTATGTAACTATATGGTCCAATCGAAGCACTCAGCATCATCCTACTCTATCCCGACCCTGGTTACTCAGCTGCATTGGCAGGCTGCAGAGGTTTGATCAAGGTCATTCAATGAAGCACGGCATCATCGGTTCTCGCTCGGGGGGAGGAGGAATACTGTAACGGCCCAATCACCTGATGTTTGACTCTGACCTATCTCGAAGATACTGTACCTTCTGTATCTCCGGGTCCCTGCTGCACACTGTCCCTGAGGCTCTCTTTCAGTCTAACAGGCTCAGAGGGAATCCGCTGCATCTTCCCCTGGCTGATCCACATATTGATAAACTTGTGCGATTCTCGCAATATGCAGACGACCAGGTACAATACCCAGCTTATCAAGAAGTGTTATGAGTTTCGGCACTGATGCTGCAACATCTTCGCCAGACTCGGACACACTACGATAGCATATATTATGAATTGAATAAAAGGTTTGTTTCCTAACCAAGTCTAGAATACGGCGCAAGACCCCAACAGAACACAGTATCACCCGCCCGTATATTCTTACGCTTTCCACAGCAATTCTTCGCTACGTGGCCTCAATTTCCACAGATGAAGCATAGTCCCTCCAATCTCCTTTGTTTATGGAGCTAGTCACCGATAAGAATTGCTGCGTCGCGCATGGTTTCGTGCGTTCTGGGAAACTCCCCGAGCTGATACTGTACATCCGATCTTGAATATCTCGATTTAGACCGTTGAAGAAAAGGGCTGCTACGTATATCTCTTGCGTGATTTTGCTTGATATCTGGCGAAACTTTGAGGTGTAGTCTTCTATAGTGCCGGTCTGTCTCAGGTTCAGAAACCTGATCGCCACCTCGATAATGGTAATATCATCGGTTGGGACGGACATCTTTATCTATGATGTTGATGTCAGTATGTTGATGTCAGTATGCTTTCTTAGCATTCGGCGCTACAGTCCTAATTTGTTACTGTACTTCGGCTGCGGCTTGGGCTAAATGATCGCGCGATGATTGCGTATTCTTCATAAATCACGAGTCGTTTTCGCAGAGCCAAAGGCATTCATCAGACAAAACTAGAATTCTTTGAGGACGATCCTTGTCAAGGCTTCCGTGAGTTTTCTGAATCGTGTGTTGATAATGTGAACGCACGAGAGAAAAATGTCCAAGACATTTCCGACATGCAGGCTTGATNGTCAATTCCGGGGCAATTGATTATGACAGAAAGTGCTACTCCACCATTGTGGTTAAAAGACCGTAGAACATGATGCATCCGGATTCACCCCCTTGAGATGTTAAGTATATGAGTCTTAAGTAAGCCCCTAGAAAAAAGAGCGCGCCCTCTCCGACCCCCTCCAGCCCTTCCCACTTCTCGCTATCGGTGGCATCATCATCGCTTTGATTAGATTTCGGGGAAGATATCTTCCATGGTCACTGGAACTGGACGAGGGTAGCACTCCTCCTGTTATGTCAGCGAAGAAGTTAATTAGTGAACCCACCACCAAGAACCTACTAGTCTTGACAAGGCCCCAAACCACGTTCCTCCAGTGGAATCAAAGACATATATCTCGCCAGTCTTTCTAATCTTGATAGCCACCAGGGTATCAGCCTTACATTCCAGGCTATATTCCGCTGCTCTCTTAAAGATAGTATTCTTCCGTCTATTTTTCTGCTGTGATGCCGCCTTTGCGGTCTCCGAGTGACGCTTCTTCACCCAAGGGGATTTCCGAGGCATGGTGAAATATGCTATATTGGGCGGGCTTTCTCAACCCAGATCTAAAAGAGAAACGCATCGCCCCCTAAATAGCTTTGAGGACATGTCATACTTCAAGATGCTCACTAAATCCGCGAGATCATTTACCTAACCCTCTCGGTTGAACTACATCACCGTTCAAAGAGAGCGTGAGGTTTTGTCCCTTACAGTACGTAAACTCTAGGAATGCCAGACAATTTACAGTAACTCAGCGCTCGATGTTCATCCTGCTGACTTTTGTTGAATGGGTATTTTTGGAGTAGTTTTGTGGAGAGAGCAGAGTGAAGAGGTGGGTTACCCCCAGCGTCCAAACAATAGCATCGGCATTTCGCTGTTCAACCCTTGAGTATGTTACTATGGTATTCTTGAGAAGGCAAGAATGAGAGAGGGCAATATTTGCAGACGAGGAAATTAGCTGCCTCTCCCACCTTGAGGTGGGAGTACAGTTAAACAGTACAGGAACCAGAATTTTGAGGAAGGAGATTTCTCCCAGAAAGTGGGCGGTGCCGTTGACCCTTAGGAGTGGGGCCCTATGAGCCCCCTCCTGTGACACACAGCGATACAGTTGGCTTAAATTAGCGCGGCGTGACCATGTGGGTCGTTCTTAGGCTGTTCCAGTGGTGTTCAACTCATCTCGATTTTAAGAATTGCACTTTAAGGGGCCTCAAAATCTTTCGCCAGCCCAGATTGTTGAACAGATTGTTGAACAAGCTTTCAAAGGAAGTGTGGCCTTTGGAAGGAACGGGGAGAAAAGAACAGGTTTCTCTTTGGAGCCACAGACTGCGAAATGTGGGCTCAGAGCGACTTCGTCCGGCAAGCAACAGCAGGAGTGTTTACTCCTCAGGATTGCCTTCATGACACGAGACATGGTTCTCCTTATGTAACTATATGGTCCAATCGAAGCACTCAGCATCATCCTACTCTATCCCGACCCTGGTTACTCAGCTGCATTGGCAGGCTGCAGAGGTTTGATCAAGGTCATTCAATGAAGCACGGCATCATCGGTTCTCGCTCGGGGGGAGGAGGAATACTGTAACGGCCCAATCACCTGATGTTTGACTCTGACCTATCTCGAAGATACTGTACCTTCTGTATCTCCGGGTCCCTGCTGCACACTGTCCCTGAGGCTCTCTTTCAGTCTAACAGGCTCAGAGGGAATCCGCTGCATCTTCCCCTGGCTGATCCACATATTGATAAACTTGTGCGATTCTCGCAATATGCAGACGACCAGGTACAATACCCAGCTTATCAAGAAGTGTTATGAGTTTCGGCACTGATGCTGCAACATCTTCGCCAGACTCGGACACACTACGATAGCATATATTATGAATTGAATAAAAGGTTTGTTTCCTAACCAAGTCTAGAATACGGCGCAAGACCCCAACAGAACACAGTATCACCCGCCCGTATATTCTTACGCTTTCCACAGCAATTCTTCGCTACGTGGCCTCAATTTCCACAGATGAAGCATAGTCCCTCCAATCTCCTTTGTTTATGGAGCTAGTCACCGATAAGAATTGCTGCGTCGCGCATGGTTTCGTGCGTTCTGGGAAACTCCCCGAGCTGATACTGTACATCCGATCTTGAATATCTCGATTTAGACCGTTGAAGAAAAGGGCTGCTACGTATATCTCTTGCGTGATTTTGCTTGATATCTGGCGAAACTTTGAGGTGTAGTCTTCTATAGTGCCGGTCTGTCTCAGGTTCAGAAACCTGATCGCCACCTCGATAATGGTAATATCATCGGTTGGGACGGACATCTTTATCTATGATGTTGATGTCAGTATGTTGATGTCAGTATGCTTTCTTAGCATTCGGCGCTACAGTCCTAATTTGTTACTGTACTTCGGCTGCGGCTTGGGCTAAATGATCGCGCGATGATTGCGTATTCTTCATAAATCACGAGTCGTTTTCGCAGAGCCAAAGGCATTCATCAGACAAAACTAGAATTCTTTGAGGACGATCCTTGTCAAGGCTTCCGTGAGTTTTCTGAATCGTGTGTTGATAATGTGAACGCACGAGAGAAAAATGTCCAAGACATTTCCGACATGCAGGCTTGATTGTCGAGGAGATGTGACCTGGAAAGAGAAGGGTTATAAAGGCGTTCGTTTTCTTCAAACTTTTGTGGAGTGATGCTAGTCCAAATATAGAGGCTCCCCGATTTTAGGTTTGTCCTAGTTAACGTAATTCACGGTCGGTCCGATCACCACGGTCGGTCCGATCACCCACCAAAAATCATCGCGCGTTCAACGCGTAATTATTCAACCACCAACCATGCCACGAAAACCGCGTCAATCTCGTCGAAGTTTAGCTGAGCAAGAGGGGAGGATTCAACTTGCAATATAAGCTTTAAAAAAGGGCGAAATTCCGAGTATTCGTCGAGCAACAGAAGTTTTTAATATACCCTACACAACACTCCGCGATCGCATCCAAGGACATGAATTTCAAGCAGAACATCGCAACCGCTCATTCCGACTCTCTGAAACTCAGGAGGAGGCATTAGTTGAATGGATATTATCTAGAGACCGACGAGGAGTCGCTCCTAGGGTCTCGCATGTGCAGCAAATGGCATATCTTCTCCTCCAAGTCGATTCAACAACGCCCCCCAAGCCGCTTGGGCAGAACTGGGTTACTGGCTTTATTAAGCGCCATGAAAGCATTAAAAGTCGATTTGCGCGCAAGTACAACTATCAGCGCGCCCTCTGCGAGGATCCCAAAGCCATGAAGCAGTGGTTTGAGACTTTAGAGGCCTTGCGAAATGAGAACGGCATACAACATGAAGATATCTATAACTTCGATGAAACTGGCTTCGCTATGGGCCTAATTGCAACCTCACGGGTTGTCACAAGGGCTGAGATGCTTGGGAAGCCTCGTCTTATTCAGCCAGGCCAGCGCGAATGGGTCACCGCGATCGAATGTATTGGGTCAGAGGGATATGTTGTTCCGCCAACCATAATCTTTAAAGGGAAGGTCCATATTGAAGGATGGTTCGAAGAACTAGGTCTCCTAGGTGACTGGAGGATTGAATTAAGCGCGAATGGATGGACCACTGATGAGATAACCCTCCGGTGGCTTCAGAAGTGCTTTATTCCTTATACAACTGAGCGCACAATTGGAAGTCATCGACTGCTTGTTCTAGACGGTCATGGGAGTCATTTGACCCCTAAATTCGACAAGGTTTGCAGAGATAATAAGATTATCTGTATCTGCATGCCTGCGCATTCATCGCACCTGCTTCAACCACTAGATGTTGGTTGCTTTGGGCCATTAAAGCGAGCTTATGGAGGCCTAATTGAAGCGAAGATGCGCCTGGGCTTCCACCATATTGACAAACATGACTTCCTAAAGGCCTATCCTGAAGCTCGCGATAAGGTCTTTACTATTCAGAACACCCAGAGCGGCTTTCGCGCAGCTGGGATAGTGCCTTATAATCCTGAAGAGGTCCTAAAGCGATTTAATTATTCGGTATCTACGCCTACCCCCCCCCCTAGCCGGGGGGGTACCTCAACCTCTTCCTCTACACTTGCCACGCCTCATACAGCTCGACAGCTACATAAGAAAGCTTCTTCTATCAAGAAGCTACTTTCTAAGCGGTCCCAGAGTCCTTCTAGTCCTTCTAAACGTGCTTTGGATGAGCTTATAAAGGGTTGCGAGCTAGCTATCTACAATGCTGCATTTACGCTGAAGGAATTGAATGATCTCCGCGCAGAAAGTCAAGTTCAAGCACTTAAAAAGAGTCGATCGAAACGCAAGATGGCCCCTGTACAAGGCCTCCAAGTGCAAGAAGCAAGGGACCTTATTTCATTAAGAAATGAGCAATTGAATCAGGAAGATGGTGGTGGTGAGGAAGCTGATCAAACTACTCCACCAACTTTAGAACCCCGAAAGCGTGCCCCACCGACCTGTTCTGAATGTAATATTCAGGGGCATACTAGAACTAGATGTCCTAATCGTCGCACGACTTAGTTTACTGTATTTAATTAAGAATTGGGTTGTTGGGAATAGCTTCAAGTTCGATGGGTAGAAATATATTTTGGTGGGTGATCGGACCGACCGTGGTGATCGGACCGACCGTGAATTACGTTAGTTATTCGCTTTAGCGGAAGATGACTAAGGCACATGTCCCACGTTCGGCAATTCCTCCCCGTCAATATTTTAATTTTTTTCAAGCCACAAGTGCATCTTGCTTGCAGATGTACATTCCTCCTTTACTTATTTTCAAGCACGCTTGAAACCCTTCCCGTCTCGTCGAATCTACCCGCCTCAGTCCAACCTCCAATTACTATCCTTCCACAATGAAGGTCTTCCCTGAAGCGGACGTTATCTGGTGGAATGCGAACTCTTACTACATTCAATGTCCATTTTGCGAATCAGTCCATTGCCATGGCGTTAACTGGAAGGCAAACAAGCTGAGATATTCGCATTGCGAGAGAATGGAGAGTTACCTCTGCTGCTTCCCCTTGAATGATCGAGGCGAGGTTGCGTATGAAATTGACAAGAGACGAGGACGATATATCAATATTTGCATTGCCCATGATAGGAATGCCGAGTATGAATATGGGAATGGCGATGATGCCGATACCGATGATACTGGTGATGAGGATGATGAGGATGATGAGGATGTTAATCGTCTGGCGATCGAATTGGCTCAGAAGGCTACAATCGCGGCACAAAGGGAAAAAACATATGCGAGTATTCATGAAGATTCGACAGAACTCGTCATTGTCAATCCAGGACACGGGATTGCGCCATTTGAGCAGAAGCGTATTCTTCTGCCAATCAGCGACTGTGTCAACGGGGATACAAGAGCGGTGCAAAGATATCTAGAAACTTCTCCTGAAGCGACGCTGTTTGTTCGAGGAAGACATTTTGATGGTAAAACAAGCCTTATCAGTGCAGCAGCTGAACAGAATTCGGAGATGATATCACTTCTCATCAAACACGGAGCTGAGGTGAATGCTGTTGACAATTATGGAAGGAGTGCTCTCATGGAGGCAGCGCTTTTTGGCCGGGTTGATAATGTAAAGGTTCTCCTAGAACACAATGCAGACAGATATACTAAGGACTGCGAAAATCGACTTGCCATTGATTTTGCTCGAGAACATCACAGAAATCGACGAGAGAGATACGAGCGTGTTGGAGGCGACCTTACATCTCCATCCAATCGACGGCTGGGCTATGTTGAGGACACATTCAAAAGGGACATTGACCGTCAGGAGATTGTACGGCTCCTCAGCGGAGAGAATAGGGAGTCAAAGATTGTTTTTGGGAGCCCTCCCACATTATCATTGTCTAAGTCCTATTCATTCACGCCTTCACCAATGCGAGACTCGCTTGTATTACACGGGCCGATCGAAGAGTACCCAATCACTCGGGTTTTGAAAACGGTGGCGCGGTTAGAACGAGGAGGGAAATTCCCGTCCATTGGCGCTATGAGCGGCTGGTCACATGGCTCGATGCAATCCCTCAGAATCGATGGTCAGCAGTGGACGGATGATGTGTTTTATATCTCGAAATTAGCGGGGCATATCTTGCCTTCACACGCCCATGATCGGGGTAAAGATGGTCGATACAGTGCATGCCATGCAGAAAAGCAGTTGATAGCATATTTCATCGACCGCCATGTTTTCCTCCCACGTGATGGCCTTCCCGACCCGAAACTGGAGGAACAGATTGAGCGGGTAGAGGAGTCGCACGAGCGGTTTCTTTCATTCACTGAAATTGGGCGTCAAGTGAAATCCCTCAGAGAGAGGAAGGATGCTCTCGATCATGAGCTATTCGACGGAGACGAAAAGCTCATCGGAAAACATGATAAGATCAAGGCACTTGAGGTGGAGCTCAAATCGGTTGAATCAACCCTAAACGGGCTAATCGCTACTACCCGTGCCCGACCATTATTGAAACTAGAAGCCCGACTGGAGATACTACATCAACGACGGGCCAAACATGCCGATTTGGTCAAAATGGCTTATGCGCCTCCACCAGCTTCCTTAACCGAGGCGGTTATATTGATCAGTTCGCCTCCCTGCCAGGACTGTATCATGTTTAAGGACAAAGTTAACAAGCGCTTTGATCTATCTATACAGCTATTAGCGGCACTCTGACTTAGTTCTGAGTTTCACTTAGGTGGAAAGCTCTGTATGATTGTTTGAAGTGATGTTATCGAAAGATCTCGCTCAGGCTTAAAGAGCATAATAAAAACTTCAGTTCCAAAGCTAGGGTCAGCAAAAAAAACCTCTCGAGATTCGCTATGCATTTAAAATCCAACTCCCGTCCTCTGCTGCAAGCATCCCGAGGTACCATAAAGCTAATAGTACCGATAATACTCCTACACCTCCCTGCGTCCAGGCCACAGCCGTGGAGACCGCTAGACGACCACTCCCCTCTAAACGCTTGACAGCAACAAGCTCCGTGTCCGTCAGAATATAGCCATACCGGGCGTTATGCTGACGCATATAGAAATTATCCTGAGCCAATACCTGCTTATACTCACGCTGTTCTGCGAGAGTCTGAGAATAACGCCATGAAGACTGCCATTTCCAGGATACCTTCAAGTCCCCTGGAGCTCGATTCGGACTTGAAGCAGCACTTCCTCCGACTGCTATGAAAGCAGTATCTGGTCGAAACAGATCTACTATAAACGCCGCACTTCCTCCATCGAACGTGACCGGCGAGAGTCGTCGCACCGCAAGTTCAGATGCAAGTTGCTCGAAAGCAGCCCGAAGTGACCGCCTCACACGAGGCAAAACGAGTTCGGCAAACCGTAGCTGAAACTGGGGCTCGTCTCTTATCGCGGCAGGTGGGGATGCGGCGGGCTCGGATTGAATCTGTTTCAATCGCAGTGGAACACCATATCGCTGAGTAATTGTGGAGTAGTTGAATTCGAGCCAAGAAACCACCTCGTGGATATCCTCTGCGCCATAGCGAGGATTCGTCGTGTTGCGAGATGGGGCAGTGCCACCTACGGGAATCTGTGGAAGGCCAACGGAAAGGTAATCGAGCAGAGTTTGGAGTACCATTTCAAGCTATGGGCTTTCATCTAGTATTCGATGTCATTTCCCTATCTATGGTTGAGACTCGGGCAGGAGATGCGGGGTAGAATTCGGTTGGATAGTTCTTCCGCTATCCGCCCGCTCGTTACGCTTTCCTCACGTGATATTATTCGTAATCAGAGAGCCAGAGCTGGCTGAAGCCGACCACGCCACGGAGCCTTCAAACGACAATGCGCCCCAGCGATCAAGGCTCGCTGGACGTTGTTCCTGCCAACATACAGATCATTAGGGAGATAGATCGTTCCAATGCGTCTTCAGTGTTTGAGATAGAACTCGAAGGGCGGAAATGTGCTATGAAACTTGTAAGTAGCTGAGGCTATTTGCTCTTCGCTTGTTACTGACGTCTCAGTTTCACGACAACGGGGATCCAGGATATGCCGATAATGGTCGAGATTTGAATCGATTTCGCTGCGAACTTAATGCCTATATGAGTCTTCGCGAACATGGTGTCTGCGAGCGGGGATTCGTCCCATTCTTCTACGGCCACATTGATCGGATAAACCCTACCGCGTTCTATCCAGCTTTGCAACATTTCGCGGACGATAAATATCATCCTAAAGCAATACTACTCGAATACCTTCCGAATGCCGAAAGTTTGAATTGCGAAAACTATTCTGAGGCCTGTTATCACCAAGCAATAGAGGGCATGAAGCAGATACACGCTGCTCACGTTCACCACCGAGATATATACCCGAAAAACATACTCGTTGTTCCCGGCGAAGAAAAGCGGATGGTATGGGTGGATTTCGATGTCGCAACGACCTTTACGACCGTAGGGTCCGATGAACAGCGATATAGTGAATATGAAGATGCACTTGTTGCAGAGTTCGGGGATTTCTTGGTTTGTCCAGCCGTGGCTTCCCTCACGCGCAGAACTAACTACCTAAATGTCATAGAGAGAAGACCAAAGACAGGGGCGCCGTAAGAATGACAAGTGGTATTAGTAAACTCGGGTCTGTCTTTGTTGCGAATATCTCTGCCACCCCAGGCTGCGCCTGGCTGGACAAGAATACTCTTTGTTTCGGTAGGCCACAAACTCTCAATAACAAGATGAAATTGGGCACTTCCTTAACTATACTTGAATAGGGCTATCCAGATCACGGCCTTCAATGGTATCTTTCAACTGGCCAAGAAGCAGTGTGAATGATGAGTGAATACACTTGTGCTGGTATCCGGTATAACGCGATTTTGGGCCGTACCATTCTGGCGATTTGAGCGACGACACTCTTTGCACAAGGGATCTGTAGCTCAACCCCAAGAAAGGAGCTGCAGGCCTTGGCAAAAGCAGAGCGTTCGAATCCATTTGCTTTGTCAGAGCTCCGTACATGATTGAGCTGCATTCGAAGCCACATCCTTTGCTGCCGCTTTGAAGTTTATCGCGTGTGTCATGAAGATGAAGAATTAGGCTAGCGATCGCTCCCTGCCTTCGATCATTGACCAATCCTGCTTTGAATTAGTGGTCAAGCATATTTGAGGATTTATGTGCCATACTGATAACGTCATCGGGAATTGGAAGCCCGAGATTATCAATCCAGCCGTTACTCATTGACATGGCAGTTGAGGTGGCTTCTTTAAAGTTGGCGGGGAGGTGGAAATACCAGGCAACCCATAGCCAGAGAATCAAGTCTCTCGAGTATGTGGTGGGAATAGGGTTGTCCAGAGCATTAATCCATGTGTCTGCGAAGAAGACTACAGCCTCCCTGCAGTCGTAGTAGTCGCCCAAAACAGCGACTTTCGCGAGCATCTCAAGCGTCAACTTCCGCGGAATTAGGTAGGACTGACAATGTATTATGCGAAGCATAATCAGGAGCGCGTCAAGATCCCAGCTATCTGCAGTGATTTCAACTGAGCCTTTCTGTAAATACGTAATGCTTTCTTTCCAACCACCAGTGAGTATTTTCTTAAAGACTGAGGAGGCGAGTATTAAATGCTTCGCGGAAACTTGGATGCGGTAGCAGTGTTCCTCAGGCTGTTCAGTGACCTGATCTTCGGCAGGTTCTGCAGCGGGCTCTGAGGGTTCTTCAATGGGCTCTTCAGCGGGCTCTGAGGGTTCGTCGATGGGCTCTGCAGCGGGCTCTGAGGGTTCGTCGATGGGCTCTGCAGCGGGCTCTGAGGGTTCGTCGATGGACTCTGCAGCGGGCTCTGAGGGTTCTTCGATAAGCTCTCCAGCAGGCTCTGCGACGGGTTGTTCCGCCGCGGGCCATTCAGGAGTAGGCTCAGCACGCGAGGCAGAAGTAAATCCCTTCCTCCCCTTCTTCCTCCTTTTGAGCGTTTTCATCGGCTCGCCTCTCAAAGCTTCAAACGCCGGATTCTGGATTTCATCGTTTGGTCCCAGTAGTAGATACGTAATATTGTCGCTGGTCAGAGTTTCACTTAGTTCTGCAAAAGGAGCATTTGGATTTTGTAGAACTATTATAACTTCCCCGTCTGGGTCAATAACGTGGGTCACTCGATCCATGATGGTGGTCTGTTGCGAGATCTCAATACTGGGAACTATCTTGCTTGATACGTAGTGGGAGAATGAAAGAGGGAGATGAAGCAAGATAAAGCTAAAGATGGTCCTGGTGGTCATCCTGTCTTTCTACGGGTGAGATGTGGCGGCCTTTAATTGGCATTGTCGATGACAGTCTCGCAGATACGACGTGGTCATTGATGTATATCGAGTGAGACTTAACGTTAAATTATTGGTTGCCGCGCCCTCATTCTGCTTGCGGCCTGTGCACTCTTCAACTTGTGTTCACATATATATATTTCGGATTTCGCCTGCACCAAACCGAAAAAATTCCGTCACAATTTTGTCACCTCTAGAGAGAACCGTCCCGAGGGGTGACACTAGTTTTGACTCTCACAGTATCTATAAAAGTTAATGCGTGGTGATGAGTGGTGGTGGGTAAAGGGGGTTGCCCAGACCAATTGCATGTGATGCGCTTGGGCCCTCCCGGCCCTTTCCCCATGTACCACAAGGCTCGGCTTTATTCTCGGACCGTACAAGAGACGCCAAACTGCCCACGTTCGCGCAAAATGCCCTCCAAGATTGACTTGATTTTCCTTTACAGAGCTGGGTTCCCTCATCTTGACTATTTCTTGCTTTTAGGAGGACGGACAGCACAGAGCACTCAGCCAGCAAGGTTCAGGTCCTTGAGTTCGCCCTCGATCGCCTTCACTCATTCTCCGCTTGGTAATCAACCGTTGAGTTTGCGGGCCTGTTACTAGCCCGCTCGACGTCACTGGCGGAGAACCACTTCACCTTCGGTTTCATCGGGTTCGGTCAACCACAATGAATAGTTAAATCAGAGCCCCTATGCGAGCCCAGCAATTCTGTGCCCGTCTTATTTTCTGCTGAGATGCCCGCCCTAGCAGCTTCAGTGCGACAATCCCTCCAAACATTAGTTCCTTGGCATTAGGAAGATGCTGAAGCTGGGGCTCCACTGTAAACAAATCAGACATACCCAGGGTCGCGCTGAAGGCGCTAGTCCTTCAGCGCTCGCAGCGATCAGCTGCATCCTCAGCCATGCAGACTCACGACCAAGTAAAGCCTGCTTATTGAAACCTGGATCATCGGAAAGTACCCCGCTGCTGACCTCAAACGACGCGATTAAGTACCAGACCCCGTGAGCGGTTCGCGGAAGGCGCGAGTGTTCTAGAACTGGTAAACTTTTGCGAATAATTCTCGCAGATCTTACTCAATGGGAACCTTTGATCCCGCCAAGGCTCGTGGGCTCAAGGCGCTAATGTTCCAGGCATGGGCTTAAAACAGACTTCGGCCCATCACGAACTTCAGAACCGTTCTTCACTTGCGCTCTTTAGGCTTGCCTGGAGCTCAGAATTGCTGCTCACCATCTCATCTACTTTGTCTCCACTTTGTGCATACTGTCCCAGGAAGCATGACTTCTCAGAAAAGGCCGGCCAGCCCATCATCTGAGGAAACCTTCTCTGATGATGCGTCTGATACGTATGATGGGGATAGTGAATGGGAGAAGATAGCACAAGACCCAGTCAAGCGAGTTGCATTTGAAAGAAAGTGTATTGAAGATGAGCTTACAAATGAGAAACGGGTGATTATATTGCAAGACAATCCTAGCACCAGAAGCCACTGTCGCTTCTGGGAATGCATTCCTACCAAGTTGAATGGAGAACCTAATATCAGGTCTGCATTTCGCTTCAATGTCAAGGACCTTTCTGGTCGTTACTATGGTAAGTTTCAACAACCTGCAGAAGCCCATCCCAAATCTCACAAGCCTTAGAGCCGAACAAGTACTACCATGTGTCATGTATGGAGCAAATATTTCCTGACATGCCTGCATTGATAGAGCGCGGGATACTACAAATGGAGGGGGGAGTCACCCAGCTGACCTCAGCCAGCTGGCAAATATCTCGCTTCCATGACGCCATTGAAGATTGGTTCCACTATAAAGGCCGTACCTTCGACGTGAAAACGTATGATCGTTTCAAAAGGAAATATGCCAAGTGGGACGGGGAATACAGCACGGCAATGATCAACCATCAGCTCGAAGCTCATGGGCGCAGCTTCGGGGATTGTGAGAAGTGTGGAAACATACCGGATGAACCACTGAAAAGGGACTATTTTCCTGAAGAGCCTCGCAGCTGTCTGCTAAGCGAGGTCCTTGCATCTGTCATTGGCGTGCGACACTTGGACGAAGTAGATGGGAACTCGAAGCCTCGACGTATTAAGAAGGTTCGGCGCAGCTAGAGGTATTCTTCTTGGTTTTATACGATATATCTCCGAGACCACAAAGGCAATGTCTCGGCAGAGATATAGACGGAAGAATACTACTACCTTCAAGAGAGCGGTGGAATATAGCCTTGAATGAAATGCCCTAGTGGCTATCCCGATTAGAAAGATCTTCATATTTGATTCTTCCACTAGAGGAATTGGCTTAGGACCTCATCAAGATTAGTAGGCTGGGCGAGGACCTGCTTGTTCGTTCGCTGGATCACCTCGCTGACTTAACGGGGCGCATGCTACCCTCTTCCAATCCCAGAGATCGAATCTTGAAAACGCCTTTGGCAGCAGCGGCGCTGACGCGCTGAAGCGCTGAAGCGGGACGTTAGCTGTGAACCAACCAGACATACGGAAGCTGAAATCAGTACAACCAACGGACGTTCGCTTTAGAGGAGTCTGGCGCAAATCTAACCGCGGTAGATCTAAATGATTCGGCTAAGCGCTATATAAAAAGCTACCTTTTCCCTGCCATTTTCTTCATTGCTCCTTTCACCCACCCGATCTCCCAGACTTGACAACCTTGCTCCAATCCTGGAGCCGGTTGTTTCCTAGAATCCAGTCTGTTCTTTACAATATTCCTATCTGGCTGCCTTCATGACGCCTCCTCCCGATCCCCGTGCTCAACCTGGCGAACACCAGTTCTGGACCGATCCTATCCTTTGCAAGGAGACTCAAGTTGGAGTGGGACATTTCCGCAGTCTTGGATGGCTCCCCACAAACTTCAAACCCAATGCCCCATCAATGAGATATGATTTAAGTCGACAGGCGCCCCAAGAGCTTGGGCGGAATGCAAGGTTTGAGAATAATGGTGAGTTCCCCACAATTCGACTTATTTCTGTGGAGGGTTATCTACGTTGGGAATAGACTACTCCTCATACAATATCTAACGACTAATCACAGGGAACTTTACCACCCAGGAACGGCAGAGGGTGCTTGGCCAGTCTGGTAACGCGGTTTTCGAAAAGAACTATCAATCGCAGTTTATCTATCGTGAGGCTATCTGAAAGCCTTCTCATGGTCAAGGAGTTAATCATGGCAATTTGAGCTTACTAAGTACAAAAGAGAGGAGGAAGATGCGACTAGCTTAACAAGAAGTTCAGAGCGAAAGTCAATCAAGATCAGATGCTTGAACATGAGGGATAATTTTTTCAAGGTGTGAACGGGCTAGGCAGTGCAAGTCTGCTTATTGTCTAGCGACTTTCCTTTCGTACTTGCATGGCCTTATCGTGTGGACTGTTCGGTGTTGCCGGTAGAGCTAGTGTAATGAGCTCCAGAATTTGTAGATTCAGAAGAGCCGCCGCCTTTATTCAAGTACCCGCTGCACCTGGATTGTGAATTTGCCCACTGGTCACCAGCAGCCTGAGCACGAGCGGCAAACCCTTTTGAAGACATGTCGCCTCCAACCCTTGCCTATATATTATTTCACTTGAGTACGAAAATAACATCTGAGGTAATTAAAGGGACCGTACTTGTGAGGATTGGATCCTGGATGAATCAGATTTTGTCATCTCGTGTTTTGGCATTTTTTGGTAGATTACTCGAGGAGAGCTTGAATGACCCAACGGAATCCATGGAGGAAAGCTATTTATTCAGTCCCAAAAATGCCCCTATTCTAAGCTTCATAGAACAAGATGACGCCATCAAGCAGGTCACACAACCAAAAGAATCACGTGCCGTACGAGACCTTCCCATCAACGGCCTGGACCAGTCCATAGCGATGATAAGGTCCCAAACCATCTTCCTCTGGTGGAATCAAAGTCATAGAGCTCGCCAGTCTTTCTAATCTTGATAGCCCACCAGGGTATCAGCCTTGTATTCTAGGCTATATTCTGCTGCTTTCTTAAAAATAGTATTCTTCTGTCTTCTGTCTATTTTTCTACTATAATGCCGCCTTTGTGGTTTCCAAGTGATGCTTCTTCACCCAAGAGGATTTCCGAGGCATGGTGAAATATGCTATATTAGGCGGGCATTCTTAACCTAGATCTAAGAGAGGAGCGACATCGCACCCTAAATAGCTTTGAGGACATGTTATACTTGAAGATGCTTGCTGACTTTGCGAGATCAGTTTACCTAACCCTCTCGCTTGAACTACACATCACCATTTAAACAGGACATGAGATTTTGTCCCCTTACGTAAACTCTTATAGTTCTGAGAAGCACTGGACATCATCAGCCCGCTCCCTACAAACCTCTCCTGATTTAGATTGTGGAGGAGACTGATGTTTCCACGAACCATGTATTGCTTCAGTTTTGGGTGCTTGCGTTAGCCGCTTGCCTTTCTATCACCTCTTATTTAAATTTATCCTGATAAAATCCCAGGGAATCATCGTGTACTGCCGCACAACAACGTCTTGAGGAAACATGGACCCCCAGGTCATGTGCACCTACATGTATGAATCATAAGGTTCTGTTGATGATCATACTACCAAGTCTGCGAGCTGCCTTATCTAATAGCTCTGCCTGTATGATCCCTGACGTCAGAATTACCTTACCTCCCAGTAAGGTATATATTTGTGTAGCCCCTATGTCTTCCGCCACGAGATGTATGTTAATCCACTCCCCACTTTAAACACACATGGAAACTGAAACTCAGGATGAAGCCCTTGTTCTGCTGCTCTAATATTGAGCCTTATCGACCACAAGTACTTGATCATGAAGAGAAATTCACGAGGTTTATGGCTTGGGCCAAAGACCAGTCTGCGGCCATCCATCTTGCTAGCCATGAATCCGCGTCTTCCCTTTCTGGATGTCCTTATGCCGTCCAACTAGTGCGCCAGATAAATTACGGCCCCCAGGAATGGATCCGCTATTTTGCTCCTCGCGATTCTAACGCATTTATAGAGGTTTCTGAGCAGGACCTCATCAAAGCTAACTTCCAGAAAGTCAATACGTGCGTCTAGCATACTAAACCTACTGAGCTTGGGTTGAGACTAAGATTGATAGATACAAGAATTTCCGGTGTAGCCAGCATAATTTGTTTTTCGAAGTCAACATATATCAGGAGAATCCTGTAAATAAGCATCACTGGAGGGCAACAATTGCGCGGCCAGCTACGGATATTGATCTGCAACAGCGCTCCAACAGTGACAAGGATGATTTTGCCACTGTGCAAGGCAATACCCGAGACCAGCGACTCCAGTTCATCAAGTATTGTCTCCAAAAGGTACTTCCAGATATATGTCAGCCTTTCATCGGTCCACTCGAGAACCTGGCAGTTTTGGATTCGCTCAATTCTTATCTGGATCTCGGCGTAAACCTTTCCAGCGCCTGGGAAGAAACCCTCATTCCGCCAAAAATCGTTTCATTTGTCTTGAGTGTTGGCTGTCCCCAGAGACCATCATCACCAACCTTTCAGGGACAGGGCAGAATCACCCAAACCCTCTCAAACTTAGCTTATACGGCAGTCGAGACTCGTATCACTGGCCCCAAAGGTTCTCGTGATGATTTGATGGGAATTTTAGAAAGTATGAGTGATATATCACGTTAGACCCAAGGCTCAGAGCAGGTGATATACAGAATGCTGCGACGTTGCATTGATGTCGTTCAGTCATATTCTGACGGAGAAGGTGAATCGGAACCTGTGTTGTTCGACTTGAACATGGTGAGAATCAGCAAAAGTCCAGAGATAATAGTTGAACCTGAGGATGATGCGAGTCACGAAAGGGACAATTTCGCATTTTCACGCGACATTTGCTTTTCCCCAGATTTTGATGATGACCTCGGATCTCCCAAAGATTTTACAGCATGCAGCCTTGAATGCGGGTATTGTGGCCACTGTGATTATTGAGGTTGATTATTACAAATAGTTGAAAATAGTTACTTCTTCGCTGTTTGGCAGTCTTTGACGCGCTTTTGAAGGCATGGTCGGGGCGTTGAATTCAACAAAGCAATAAAAACGGGGAATTTTGATGAGATGGCCTGATCGTTCACCAGATACGTTAGTCAGAGTAGTAATAATCGTAGTCACAGTCGTTGATGATATCCCTACAACTGGTCGGGCCATCATCGTCCCAATATCCTGACTCCAGAGAATAGGCCCCTCTCTTAAATATAAAGTCCGCTGCTCGCAGGCATTGAAATTGGCATCGCTCTGGCATAAATCTTCTTATAATGTCTTCTGTGTCTCCTTCTCTGTTGGCATCCACCACAATCCGCGCTGTGTCGGGGACAGCGTGGGTAAGATATTCCATTATCGAGGTTAACCAGGTCTTCCACTCCTCAAATTCACCTGGGTCAATTTGGGGCCACTGATATGAAGTTGGAGGTTCGGGCTGCTCAGCAATTATTCCCAGTATCACAAGGCCATCGAAAACGTCAGTCCATATGCTAGGGTCCATACGGAAGCTGGGTTGGTAGGAAACTCCCATGGGCCGTAGGACTAAGAGTATTTTCCGCATTTTCTTCCTCAATTCCGGATTAAATAATCTCGCGAGGTCGGATTGACCGTCACCATGAAGTATAACCTCGAAAGTGTTGCCACCATAAAGCACGGCAGTGACTTCGTCATAAATTTGGCGGCAAAGAAGGAGGATTCCGGGTAGGGCACTGGGACTTCCATATGAGCAATAATCCCCCATCCTCCCAATTTCATCATCACTGCCGACACGGTCTTTCTCATCACTACCCGAGCTATCTTCCAGATCATCCACGTAATGTCTGTCGTTGGGGGGGCCGTCGAGTTCATCGGGATCGTATCGGCCCACATTCTCGGTCCAATGCCATAGCGGCTCATCCCACTCCAGTGCGCGATTTTGATAATACATGTCGTAGGAACAGTTGAAACACTGGTTTTGAGGAATGCAAAATTGGTAAACAAGGAGTCGAATTTCCAATGGCATAGCAAGAAAAGCACTAGAGCTCGAAGGGGAACTTTTACGAACCATTGCCATTTTGGGGAAAGGGAGGACGTTTGTAGTGAGAAAAACGTGTGAGAGTTGACGCAACGGTGGCGCTGTTTATATACGACAAGTGAGTGACGTAGTGCGAGGTGCGAAAGGATGGGTTGAGCCAAACTGTAAATTTGTTTGGTTTCCATGGATCGATGAGATCTTCAAAAGGCATAACCAAGAATCCTACAGGTTCCAGCGGAGAAATTCAGTACAAAGGCGGGCCGCCTATAGTAAGCCCAGTAGTCAACCTTCACTGTTGTGATTCACACCAGGCTCGGAGGCGACGTTGTGATGGCTGCGCAAGGGAGGAGGGAAGCGGGGCGTTCATCGTCGCACAGGACCCGACTGGAACACCACTGCTCATATCCTGACCTAACTGGAGGAATGGTCCCTGGCCTAAATTCTGCCACTTAAACTTCACTCCAGAAAAAGTTGAACAGGAACTGGTTCGACGGTTGGATGCGAGTTCCTTCCCCGAAGCAATATTAGAACTATATCGCTCCACTCCCGCAGATGACCGGGCCTTCGGGACTTGGCTATCAAGATTACCATGAATCACTTAACCATGTTGAGGAGGTCGGACAAGTCAGCCGCCGCGGTTCTGCAAAACAGCCTTCTCGAATCTGTTCCTCATTTTTCTTACGACTTGCTCGCCGCTATAATTGATACGTCTGTATCAATTTGGAATCGAGATCTTGAAATAGGGGAAGACTGGACGAAGGAGCTCGTTATTTTTTTGTGACGGATGATTTTCGAACTCTTGCCATGACGGCGGGTGCCTGCGTAAATCGTTCTCCGCGCCCACAGGTACATAGCATTCCCTGAAGCTTGTGTTACTACTGGGCTCCGCGCGAGATAGGACTGATGGTTTTGCGTTGTGTGACAAAGGACGGTCAAACATCTCGTTTTAGGATTATAGATATGATGAAGATATAAGTTGGAACAGGCCAGAAATGGTGCTCCGTTGATTTTGGTGGCTACAGTGCTAGGAACGGAAGGAACGTTAGGAATTTTGTCGCCGAGTCGCGTACCACGTGCCGGACCCTGGCTTAGTTCTTCATCGTTCAAGGGAAGGGCCAACGGCGTGCACCAGCGCCAGTTCCTTGGCGGTGAAAGATGCTGAGGCGCTGAAGCGCTGAAGCGGGGAATTGGCGGTAAGCCAATCAGAGTTACGTAAACTCAAACCCAACAATTGTGCTGAAGGCACTGGTGTTTCAGCCATTGCAGACTTCTCTTAGACAGCATCGATGATGGCCAGCCCTGGGTCGCAGATAATGGTCTCTGGTTTAGATATGCTCGCTTACGGCGTTCAACAAAACTATAAATCGAACAAATTGATTCATTAGCGATATGCGAATGTATTTGCCTGCACGCCTGAGCGCCTGGAGTAAACTCTCGCCTGGTTACGGAAATATCTCTGGCTCTGAGTCTCCGGTCTCTGTCAACTTCCGACCGTGCAATAGAACTGTGTTAGCTGAGCGTTGCTGTGCATATTTATGGCACAAGGCTGTCATAATTTAGTGACTTAAGTGTCTTGCGATAGATACCTTGTATACAATATGTACGAGGTAGGTCCAAGGTAGATTAGGTGCTTTTGGAAAGTATATAAAACTAGCTATCCGGACAGATGCTGTAACAAGAGATGTACACTCAAAACAACACAAGCATCCTTCAACACTCTCATCAAAGTCGCAACCTCTTTGAACGACGCAGCAGAGGCTCCGTAACTTTAGGCTTGTCGGACTCTAACAAGCGCGGGTCGATGTTCGCTGTCTCAGGACCCACGGAAGAAGCAGGAGTATCAGTACCCGAATAACCACTAGATTCTACTGATTCCACTGTGCTATCCACGGATGAAGTATCGCTGCAAGTAAGGCACGGTTTTGTTGGGAGATGATGTAGCTTAATGTTGATGTCATACGCATGCACAGTGACAGCGTGGGCTAAAAATTCAGTGACTTTAGTGAACTCAGGGATGCCATGGCACGCTGGCCACGTGCAGCTGATTCCGTCATGCGCATGGGCGAGATGAGAATCAATAAGGTGACGACGGAGTGAATCTTTTCGCTTGGCGGGAAATTTGTGTGGAGGAGGATTAGATGATGAAAGTTGAGATTGACCGCAACAGATAATGCAAACATCCGTAGGACATTTCAAAGATTCCTCTTTAGTAGGCAAGGGTTCTTCCAACATCTCGGTTTCATCGTCATCAACATCCCAGTTGATTCGGTTGCCTCGACGGGTTGGCTCGCAGAGTTGCGAGAGGGCAACCATGTCTTTAGTAACCTGAATACGTCGTGCAAGTAGCTTATCCTCGTCAAAGTTCTCTGCTTCTGGCCCGTAGAAATTCTCCACGAGTCGCACCCGCTCAGGAAATACGTAATCCGGGGTTGGGAGCTCCCAATCCTCATCCTCGGAGCTGTCGGCATCAGATTGGCCAACGTCAGACTGCCCGAGCAGTTGCTTAATCTGCCTGTCGACTTCGAGCACAGGTGCAGTGTGGAAATATTCCTTTCGAGCTGTCTGCTGCGTGTTGTTTGCCAGAGTTTTCCTTAGCTGGGAGAGCTCCTTCTTGACTGCTTCATGCCTTTGATAGAGGTGAGGAAATGGCTCCCGGGCTTTCCTTATAGTGCCGGCCAGGGATCGCATCTCCTCCATAAGCTCTCTCTTTTCTCGTCTAAGCTCAAGGACCTTAGGGTGCTGGCGAACGGTGCGTTTTTGTGCATCAGTAAGACCGGACGGAGCGAGAGGGTCCCTCTTCCTGAGCATGCTTCCAGCAACTCGCAGGAGACCTTCCTGGGGTGGCCGGAGAAGGACCACATGCTGAAGATCACGATTGATAAACTGTGATTGATAGTGCTTTTCAAAAACCGCGTCGCCGGACTGGCCAAGCACCCTCTGCCGCTCCTGGCTGGTAAAGTTCCCTGTAATCAGCAGTTAGATATAGTATGAGAAGTGGTTTCTCGCCAGGAAGATGTGGTCTTCTCAGAACAAGCCTAGTTGCGGGGAACGCACGATTAACTTCATTTGCAGTCCACCGACGGTAGTTATAATGGCCGATGTCATCCTCGAACCTTGCATCCCGGCCCAACTCTTTGAGCGCTTGTCGACTTGAATCATAAGTCATTGACAAAGACTTATGAAGTTCGTAGCCATATGGCGTTCGGTCGAGACGTCGAAGGAGAGGAGTATCGAGTTTCTCCGGCTTCCAACGGAGAGGAAGAGATGGCAAGCGCTTCGGAACTCGGAGCCGCCAAATTAGCTCTGGCGTCAATGCGTCATTGAGAAAAGCGTCGTCGCGGAAAGCTAACGATATGATTTGGTTAATAGGGCAGTATGCTAGTTGGTAATCACCGTGCATGAAGAATTTGGTTCTATGAGGAGTGAAAAACCAAAGATTAGATATGTTTGAGATCCAGAGTGAAGGTGCCTTACCCATCAGCGCCTTCCGGCCGACCTTTGAGGTTGCGGAACTCGATAATCGCACAAAGAACGTCGCGCTTACTATCTGGGTCTTTGAGAATAAAGAGCTCGATATCGCGGTAACAGACTGATGCCGGAAGATCATCTACTGATACATGTTTAGGGAGGTCGCTCTGGAAAGTCTTATCTCTTTTGCGTTTGCCGAGAGACGTGTCTGCTAGAGACGCGTTCTGCGGGAGGAGCACACCCGGTCGAGTTCCGGTAATGGCGGACCAGAGCTGGATCGTGGCGAATTGAATAATCATACTCCCGTGGCGGAAATGCTTTGAATATACCCAATGATGGCGATAGGTGACGCAGAAGACATCCACGTCCAGCGTATTCTTGTTCTTTGTTCGCCTGGATATCTTGCGCTCAGCAGGGAGCACATGTTCGAGGAACTATTCTCCTCATTAGCCCTGTATCTGCGAAGTCCAAGGAAACCTAGCATATACCCGTCGCATCTGTTCATGAACATTGCCATTCACGCGGCGCCGGGCGAACAGACCGAAGTATTGACAAAGCCGTCGCCAGTATTCGTCATACGACTGAAGGAGTTTCTTCCGCGAGGTCTTGTACATCCAATCGAAGAAGTTCATATAGATAGCTTGATCCTCCAAGAGCAGGTACTCGACGTAGTCCACCTTTAACTGGATGCAATACCTATTGTTTGTTATTCTTAAGCCACTAACAGATATTTGATCCGATAATGTGCTTACTTCCGCCAATATCGTTCGACAACAGCGAGACCTTCCAGAGTCTTGGGCTTGAAGTTTGGGGGGAGCCATCCAAGGCTGCGGAAATGTTCCAGTCTAGCTCGAGTCTCTTCGCAGAGAATGGGATCGGTCCAAAATTGATGTTCGCCAGGTTGAGCAGGGGGAACCGGAGGAGGAGTCATTACGAGCAGTCAGATAGAGATATTGAAGAGAGGGACTGGGTTCTAGAAATGATGGGCTTCGGGTTGGGGCCGAGATTATCAAGGCAGGGGAGGGTGGGAGGTTGGAAGGGTGAACGGAAGAGCGACGAAGAAGCAGGGGAAAGGCGACATTTTATAAAGCGCTTGACCAGACCGGTCGGAGCTGGGGAGCTGGATTTGGCCGCGAAGGAGGCCATTTTCGGCGTCGCTTTGTCGTGAGCTGAAGCGGACTGACACTCGCTGATGTCGAGCGCGAGTTCAACTTCAGGGAGGTGACTAATGAAGGCTTGGCGGGTGCAGAATAGTGGTGTGAAACACATAGGAACCTCTAAGGGGTGGCTCACCGCTTTGAGATTTACGGGTGGAAATGCGGCCGTTTATGGCCTCAGTAGCTGTCATTTTCGGCGTCGATTTCACAGGTCCTCACATTCTAGTTGTAAATGGGGGACATGTTGGAGTAAGGGTGTCCTATATTTATAAGCCACCGCGTGGGGCTCGGCGAGAGACGGCGAGGTCTACAATGAACTACGGGGGCCAAAACCGGAGCGGGAATTGCCATCTTCTACTCTCCGCCTGTCTCTCTACGGTCTTTCTAATATAGTTTTCCATGTCTTTACCGCGGTAGATACCAAGGTTAAGCCCGGGATCCTGCGCTATGACGGTGAGACTTTTACCACGCGGCGATATGAAGGTATGCGCAGCGAGGTTGCCCCGTTAGGGAGCTATGCATGTGACATAACACGGAGGATACAGTTAACGCAGAAATTGAGTGGCTGATGGATGTCTCTACAGAGGTTCAGGGCACCCCTGGTCCCAGTGACAATCGCAGAGGTTTCTCCGTCGGCTCGTTGTTGTTTCCAAGATCTCATGCTACGAGAGTACATGCGGGTTTCGGCGGTGTACGCCAGGGGGACTCTGGTGTTGTCTTTCCGCACATGCTTTGACTACAGCTATACAGTGCGATCCCGGCGCGCAGGACAACCAGTGCACATCTGAGTGATGCACGGTCGACCGGTATTGGCTGTCAACACACCGCTCAAGATCACGCTTTCTATCTTTCAACATAAGCTTGCTAAATGCGCCTAGCCTTCTAGTTCCCGATCCTCCTAGACACTGCTAGGCTTCCACACGTCTTGAGCGTCATCCAGGTCAAACCGCTCAAGCAAAGTCAGCGGCGTTCTCCAAGTCGTGTCGAAGCGCGAAGCGGCGGCCCGATTGTCTTCCAACTCCTCCCGCCATGTCGCCACAGTCCATTTGTTGAAGAAGCAGTTGGATGCCAACTACCGGCTGCATGCATTGGTGGTCGATTCGCGAGGTGGCATTTGCGAGGTGGTCTAAGGCAGAAATCGCGACGTTGGATGCGTTCGACGGGGTCGCTGGTTGAGGGAGTTGGGACGATGGTGCCGATGAGGGCGTGTGCGAAGATAACTTCCTTGACGGTGGATGAGGGAGTACTGAATTCAAGCTTTTGCTGTACATGGCCGGGCTTCGTACCGACGTGGTCGAATCCAGCCGCTGGGCTGCATCGCCTTGACCCTTGAAAAGGCCAGGACACCAAGCCGAGATATACCAGTCGCACCATAAGAATCAACACAACTTAAAAAGAATATTCTGGGAAATTTACCTGAGAAACGACAATCGAATGCATGTGCGTGCTTCTCTGTTCCCATACCCTTTCCGGTGAGATCGCCCTGTCGCCACCAAGGTATCCCCGAGTTGCCTCGCAGAGAGAAATGAAGATCATCATCACACATCTTGGAGGGATCCGACGCGGCCGTGTGCGATGAGCATATCGGCGGGGAGAGAACAGACTGGTTCATGGGCCCTGCCTGGCCTGGCGTATCGCTGAGCGGCCACCGCGTCTATCCGGTGTCTGATGTCCGACAATCCATTCGCCGGGGACATGAGAACATGGCGCCCGTATCGCGAGGAGGAGGAAGGAATTGGGTGAACGACAGGTTGGATTGATTGTGTGGCGACGGAGGGGAAAGAGATTCGACAGAGGAAAGCTTTGCTAACAGCAGGATGAATGATTCCTGAGGCACAGCGCCGTTGGCCAAGGCCCCAGGCGGCGTTGTCTCAGGTAATTGCAGACCTTAGCTGGAGCCTGAGCTGGCGTTGGCAACCTTGATCCACCTCACCGTTGAGAAGTCCTCGCCCAAACCGCTGGCCTCTGCACAGCCGATCGCCCGAACCGTTCGCCCTGATCCTTGTCGCCATCCGGGGCTAATGATCTGCAATCGCATGCCTCCTGAAGCAGGCAAACGGAGGAATCTCCCGGCCCGTTAACTAGTGAGCTTGGGAAGAACCGGCTCCAAGAGGCTGGTACGGCCGAGCGCCGGGCACATCCTGGCTTGTTGACGGCGGGGATCCAGCAATATCGCTTCGGCTGCCAGCACTGAGCACTGTTTATGCTGTTTGCTTCCTAGATTTTCCCGTGCAGGAACTGGCGCCCATTATCTCAGACTGCAAGGATTGTCTTTCCTGTGATGTAGCGTTTGGCACTCTGCTGTTTCTTGGACAAAAAAGAGCTAAAAAAAGGAGAAAAGAAAACAAAAGCAAAACAAAAAGTAGAAACAAGATTTGCGAGCCATGACGCCTCTGTCTCAGCACCCAATGCTGGTCCAGACACGAAGGGGTTGCGGTTCCCAGGCTGTTTCGGGGTCAATGAAAATGGCTTGTTCATGATAGCAGCCTTGGTCTGATTCCAGGTTCTTTAAAAAATTCACCATTCTTTCTCCAGCGCCAAACAGCGCAATGTGATCTATTTCCAGTGGCCGACAAAGCGAATCTCTTCTTGGCGTTGAGGGATGCTTCCAAGTCCTTGGAACGACGGAGCATCCTTTGTTATCGTTTTGATTAGCTGTCGCTCTTACTTCCCTTTGTGTAGTTCTTGTAGTCTCTATTCAGCGTTCCATTAATATCGAGTTTATAAATGTACTTCCCTTCTTACTATACCAAAGGTAGCTCGATCTGCTCGTCCATTACTCTGATTACCTCATTCTCATACTTTTTCCTCTAGTCCAACAGCATCGCACCGAGATGGCCCAAAAGACCAGGAAAGCGAAGCGCGGTAAGTGCAGCGCAACCTCCTCAGGATGCAAGGGAGCCGGAACTGACAGGTTTCATTGGGTTACTAGGCGCCCAGGCGGCGCCTGTCGAGGGCAACGCAAACCGCAAGAGAAAGGCAACCAAACCTCTCGAGAACCGACGCATTCCATCGCCTCCCGAGGCCAAAAAGCGTCTCCATAAAGCCGGCGTTCAACTGGACAAAATCACATTACACCCTCCTACCGTTCAACGGATCTCGCTCAAAAACCTTGCCCTCGCGACGAGCAATGCACAAACAAGCGACCCGGGATCAATTATCAAGTACGTCAACGAGCGTCGCTGGAGTAAGTCGGTCCATGATTATTCTTGCGGCATAACTAAGTGTAACTAGAGCCCCGGTGTGCTGCTTTCGCAGTCGTTGGTGGTAGGCGCGCAGAGTTTGTGGCCCCGGTTGCCTCCAAGAGTGAAAACGCGTACCTTGCTCTGATAGAATGGGGCCACAAAGCGACCAAAGACGGGGACTTGGAATCTGCGTATCTTGTCCTCCTAGTTGAGGGCCTCACCTATTGGATTGCATTTGACAATCCATACAAAGACCAAAAGCGCACGATTCTACACCAGTGCATGGACCTTTATGTTCAAAACCGACACGCCGACCTGCTTGACTTCCTCGTACCCATCTTCCAGCCTTTCTGGAGCAAAGCAAGCGCGAAACCCTATCCCGACAACCTGCAGTCCTTCCTACATCGCGCGAGAACCTATCTGCGTCTCCTCCCCACGGGTGTCCTTGCACCATATCCGGAGTTCGAGTCTCTCCCTTGTGTCGACTGGGGCGCATACTTGAAACTGTGGCCGTCAACCAGGATATGGAGCCTGTCAGACGTCAAGCGCTTCGCCCTGAATACCACCACAATTTCGATATTTGAAGTCGCGATAGACGACCAGGGCGAACCCCTTGTATACAAAATGGTACGCAGCTACCATCGTCTTGTGCGCGAGGTCGAAATGCTGCTGTATTGCGCACGCGTTAATATCCGGGCACCAAGATTCCAAGGACTTATTGGTATTGACACAAAGTGGGGAGGATTCCTCATGACAAAGGTGCCGACTTTGTTCCTTCTCTCCGAGTTGCCCTGGGACACAACACCCCTCGATGACCGTCAACGATGGTACGACCAAATCTCCGACGCGGTCCAAAAGGTCCACGAGGGGGGTCACACATGGGGAGATGTTAAACCAGAAAATGTCCTGATTGACACCAATCGTGACGCGTGCCTTGCTGACTTTGATGGAGGCTTCACCCAAGGCTGGGTCGATGCGGAGCTTGTCGAAACAAAGGCTGGCGACTTGCAGGGCCTGGGGAGGATCCGTAGTTTCCTCAAGTTGGATGAAGGAGGCCCGAAACCGTCAAACGGTTGTAAGCTTTGATGTTCTTTGCTTGTGCCCATACTCAAGGCACCTTATGCATGTGCAATCCCTCTTGCGGAAGATTTTGTGCTTTCATCTTGATTTCTGTATGTCTCTACTATTAAGCAGTCTGTGGAAATACCCTTAGGCGGGGCTGCCAGTTACCGTGATATCTACAAATGGCGATCTAGTGTTTGCTCTTTACGACCAAGTCCTCTCTCTTTCATCCCTGCCGATTTGTTTCTTTCCACAGGCACCTCCTGTCCTCCGAGTTGTAGAACTCCCTCCAAAGGAGGCACAGCCGAGACACTGAGCTTCCCCTCAAGAAGCCACTAAATGGGAGATATTCCCGGGGGTAAGCCTGCAGATGTTGGCGCTCGCTGACATAGCGGGTACCAAGAGAACCTTCAAGATGCAGGGCTCTTACGTCGAATGCAGAGGTAACGAGCCGCAGAGCAGAGCCTGACTTTTGGCCAATCAACCTCACCACAGCTGCACGATCTTCCCTTTTTCTAGGGAGTGCCCAACGCACCTACTTGCGGGGATGCGAACATGTCCTGCATACGTCCATGTCTTGGTTAGCGACCCAGTTCTCTGAAACCTCCTGCACTGCCTCCTGCGCCGTCTACGTTGCCAGCTGTAGCAAGATGTGAAATGCAACCTTGAAAGACCGCCTGCACTGCCCATCTCACCTACAAATATCGCCAGTCTTCCCTCCCGACATTCTCCCTTCCCAACCATCTTTCCTCCACCCGGATCCCTGACTTACCGTGTGCCTTAACCCCTTTCCACCTTGCCTTTCTTTTGCCCTTGCAAGCGCTAACCTCCTCTTGCGTTCCTACCAGGTTCAACTGCACCTCTTCCCACCCGCACGCAACCACTTTTCGACACCACCACCATCAGAAACCGGTACGCAGCGGCATTCTCTCTATTCCTCCTCCCTTCTCCAAACACACTGTCCTAACCCCTTCTCACGCAGCGCCATGTCTGAGAACCAACTGCCGTCTAATCGCGCCTTGATCCCAAGGGCAAGGACGATACGAGCGTACTGCAGCGTCAACGACTACAAACTACTAGACGGTGATAAGGTCATCGCGCACGAGAATGTAGTGAATGAAGAAAGGTTTACAACCAGGATGGGCTTGTGCTTGAGCATCATAGAACCACGAAGGCCAAGGCCCCAGCTCAGGACCCTCCCACCACCAGCGCAGAGCCGCAGCGCACACATGGTTCGACCAACGTTGCCATAAACCTCGCCATCACCCAGCAGCAGAACCAGCAGCAGCAGCAGTCCAAGTGAGCCAACGCTGCTGACACGATCACCTCTTCATGACCAGGACGGCCCTCCATATTGCTTCAACCTCGCTAGTCACAGGAATGAATATGATCTTGTCGTGTTTCAACTGCTGTTCCATCTTGCTCAGACGACTGTTTGTAGAGTACCACTGACCGGCGTGACTTGAATCTGAGGCCTGCTGGCACTCGTCTTAGTCGTAGTAGCAGTCGTGGTGGTAGTGGCCGTAGCGGGCCTGCACGCCATGCGCAGATATCCAGGTTTTGTGGGCTGTGGTGTTGCTGGCGGCCCCACCAGCCCAGGCTTCTATGGTAATGGCAGGAATGAGGATGTAATAATAGGTCACTGTGAACTCTTCATGTCGTACAACAGCTCTGCCACTTTGCCTTTGGATGCTGCATGATCCAAGTTCACGGACTGCATCAGCGTCAGCAAGGTCAGCGCTGACCAACGCTTTGCATTCTCGAACTTTTCTCGCCCTTGATCAGGGTGATGACGTCCCGTAATGACTCCACCCAGTTCTACCTCTCCCGCTTTTGCCGCTCTTCTGGTTTGCCGTTTGTATGTTGCCTTGTTTTTTCCCATCTTACCCACAGGACAAGCCACAGGATCAGTGGTGGGATAGTCAGTGATTGTCTAGCATGTGATGATTATTCAGAAGCAGAGTACGAGACCCAGCCCAAAAGGTTCGTGGCCTTGGGGGAAGGCTGTCTCTGTTTCCGATGTGGAGTCAGGAGCGTTGCTAACCCCAACCAGAATCACCGTTACCATTTGACCAACCTGGCGAAGACTAGCGGTGAAAATCCTACTTCCCATCGAGAGCCAAGATATGCAGCTTTCCAGGATCGCGGTGGGGATCCGATATTCAGCTCATTGAAACAGCAAAGCACGTCGATTGATCTAGGCCCTCTCGCGGCTCGATACCAACTGGGTCCGAAACCAAACCAGGAGCCAACCCGCCTCACCTTCAAGTGTCCATGTTATGGGCGGGGAGTCGGCTACTGCAGGGCTATGCCAATATGTCCGCGGCTGCACCAATCAGAGCTGTTTGGTTCGTCCATTGCGAGCATGGAAATCGCCGCGCCAAGAAAAGCAAACTTCACCCCCTGAACAAATATTGCATGGTGAGCGCTGGGCGATTCTCCCTCAGCCCGTCTCTCACCAGTGAGCGCGACAGCATCGGCGCCGACCAGGGGACTCCGCCTGGATATGGAGACTCCCCGTGCAGGACCCACAAGGCGAATACTGACAGCTGCCCAGATATTGGCACAGGCCCCGCATGGACAATTGAAGAAAGCACCGAGTTGTCACTGTTTGCTTGGAGAGCCAGATATGCGCCATCCACCGTGGTCCTCATTTTTGAGAATAGGCGGAGCAGAACTGCGTTGATGTCTCCAATCGGCAAGCATCCACCACTGCCTTGCCCAGGTGCAGGTGGATGGACAGCCCCGACTTTCTCCTGGCCTGCCGTGGTCGTCGGTCGGACGGACAAGTTCGCCCTGGTCGCTCCATTTATGGAACTGCGTTAATCGGCGCTCAGAGCTCGGAATTTTGTGATCCCAATCTTGAGCGCGAGGGGTCAAACAGGCTCACGTTCAAGGGCTGGACACAGAAGGCCTCCTCCATCCAAGACCTCAATTTGTCCGTAGAGCACCAATTTATTTTCTCCAGCCTTCTTCCTTCTCTAGCACAACCACGCCGTCCCTAGTCTCACATTTTCCTCTGGAACTCAACGCGACAACCAACGCTTCCCAAGAAATGACATGGCAACCGTGCGAAAGGGCACGCAGGCTCCTCTAAGCATACGTGGCGTCTTCCACTGCTTGTACGCTGGGAGACGAGGTGCTGGGCGCTGGGCTTGACTTTCGATTCCTGGTTGCGCTGCGGTGTGAGCGTCCAGAGCAGCGTTCCTCCTCTTCCACTTCAGCTGCGGCGAGAAGCCCGTCGATATCCGACCTGCTTAGTCCCTTGTGGCCCGATGTCGCGGCGTACCAATTCAAGAGCACCAGCAGGACCGACGCGGCCGACACGATGCCTGCCCGGCCGCTCCCCGACTCCAATACCGATCAAGTAAGTGACCTATTCTCGCAAATAGTGTGGGACAGTAGCTAATCATGGCACTGGTTCTTTTCCTAGAGATAGTCTCCCTTGCTGTTGGGCAGGTCCGTCAACAAGACCTAAACCTGCTCGCTGAGAATGGCGTCCCCGTCACCCGAGCCTTCCGAACCGTGACCTCAAAAAGACCCCCGGTTGAGCATCTCGTCTTGCCGAACGCCTTTCTTCGTACCCTTCCACGGAGTATGATGGACATCGAAGCAGAGTTTTCAGAGACAAATGCAACCCATGGGGAGATTCGTGTCCGACGAGCATTGACCGGACCCTGGGGCTATGGCGTCTTTGTGAACCTGGCTTCGCCATGCGTCGATACCGGAGCTGCGATCCACAGAAAATCTCAACAAGCACTTGTCCTTTTACTTGTCTTTGCCGAGCGGCCTTCCTTTGACCGACTGCCGTCCCTGTCGAATGAACCGGTATATCCATGCATGATTAGGGCCTCGCGATAGTCGTTCGCGTCGACTATATTGCAGGGTGAGATAATTGGTTTATACATGTTACGGACAACGCCTCGAAAATATCGTCGGTTTGAGAGCTCACCCAATTCACCTCGTACGAATCCGCCTCAGCATCCTCTATTTCAGGCACGCACGTTGTTATATCATCCTCAACCCAGGCCCCGGTAAAAATGCTCACCCTTCACACCCAAGTTGCTGCTGCCCTTCACCAATGCGCTCGGTGAAATGCAGTGATCGGCCATGGTGAATGCAGAGAAAAGATTGGAGACGGTGGGAAGGTTTCCGAGGTAGATCGGGCTGCAGAGCCTCAATCCAGTTCTAATCAAAGCCAGATATGGCAAACAAGCCGTCGCCGTCCAGTTCGATTTCACTCTCATTGACATCAGCCATTCACCGCGCATGAACAAGCGTTTCCGCCGTTTCCAGATCCCGTCCCTCTCGCCCGCGGCAAATCTTTGCCTTCCGTCCGGGAATCGTGCGCACTGGCTCCCATGCATGATGGGGCTCATGAAGGTTTAATAGCGGTATCACACAGTAGAGGCCTGACGGGGAGGCGATCTACAGCGCCGAGTCCCGCTGCATGCCGCTCTGCGCAACCTTTGGGAGTAGCACCGGTGAACCCACAGGCGATGGTATCCTGTAGGGTGAATGACTGAGTATCAGGACCTACTCGGCGAGCAATCGTTGGGGACAAGAATGACACGATTGAAGTGAAGACGAACCCGGAGTCAGGGGAGTTAAATTGAGTAGATAGTGTGTATGGCAGGCTCGCCATCTTTCAATCATACTATCACTCCAAACGGGTCACTTTCCGCTCATAGTCGGCGAGCTTGAGCTCAAGCTTTGCTAGGAAGACCCTCACGCGCTGGGGTCGCTGACTCATATGGTCTCTGATGAGGACGACTCAGTTTTGTGGGAATCAAAACATCTATTAGCTTGGTGCGTACCTTGACGGAGCAACGTGTATCTCGGATCGGATCCAGGAATAGTTGTGCGAGTATGCACGGCAGTAATCGAATTGACATAGGGTCATTGCATATAATAAAGTTCAGGTCAACCAACACACTGAGTCTTTGTTATCGCAAGACAGACTCCTTAGACAATCTACTGTCAATTGTTCCCCAGTTCCAGCTTCTTTGTGCTCTCTTTGGCGCCTGCATTATGTGGGTAACAAAGAGGGCTAATGACGATGAGATATAAGCCTTGTACGTACCACCGCTGTTATGTCTATTTCATCTCTTCTGATCGCGTCGAATCCTCCCAGAACGACTCACCCTACAGACCCAGTTTGATCACGATGGCTGCCGCTCGTATGTACAACAGACTCGCGACCACCAACGACGCCACTGAACTCGAGCAGATCCGCCAGACAATCCACTCTGAACCCAACGCACTAGCCTGTTTCCTCGAAATCATAAGGCGGGCTGGTCAAAGGGGGAACGTTGAATGCTACACTTTTAGCGCCCCCGAGGTCTTCACCTTCCCACTAAACGCCGACGCCTGCACGGTGATCCTCGACGTCCTCGAAAGCGCCATCCGGGCCCGCTACCAGTGGCTCATGCTTGATCTGCTCGAACGAGCTCTGCAAGCCCTTACCGGTCCGCATCTTAGGTACGTGCTCAAGTTCTCCCTCATAGCGGCCATCCGGAAAGAGAATGGTGCGTTCGTGGAGCGCACCCTCAAGGCGGATTTTGACGCCACGATTCTGATTGACTGTCTAGTGGAAGCGAGCTGTGATATGAAAATGGACTTTGTGGTTCCCATGGCCAAATACATCCAGGCTTCGTTTGAGCGGGATCTCAAGATGGACCCCCCGCCCCCCGACACGCAGGCTAAAATCAACGAGACGGCGTATCACCTGGATGAGATCTTTCGCAGAAACGCCGCCGCCGGTGTGGAGGCTCTTCCAATAACTCATGCTCTGCTTCCGCTGTATGCTACGTGCCAACGAACTGGAATGCTATTGGGCGCGGGTGGCGGAGATCTTCCACTCTCTGGTGTTCGAGAGTGACGCCCTGTTGGCGATTCCTGGGTGATTTGGTTTGGCATGTAGTCACAGGATTATTCACTATATCCTGTCCACGCTGGATCTTCAAGAAGTGAGCTCTCTGAGTATCTTCGTGTACACATAGGCGTCTGTGATAGATCCACCTAGCTACTAACTAGAGCATCCTCTAGTTATCTTCTTAAGTTATTATATTTCGTTTCTACGTTTGAATTGTGGGTCACGAATAGCCATAATGTGGGCTGGCATCTATCGCCTTCCCTCTATCCTGGTTTATTAAAAGTCATTTAGGAATAGGACTATAATGCAAAGAAATAGTATTTCTATCTATGAATAACAGTCTTTCACAGCGCTCGCGGGTCAGCCGCTTTTGTTGCTGAACTGTCGGAGAATCCAGTTTCAACACTGCTAGGGGGTTGAAGAACAGCTGTATGTTTCTGATAAAGATAACATGATGATAGGGTTTCTGGCTCTTTATTAATTCTACCTCGGTAGATTCCGCATGGGATAAAAGTTTTCGCCCTTGTGCAATAACACCAGGCGTCCGTCTCTTCCCCAATGCCTTCACTTCGCCGGCAATGTTGCTTGAGAGGGTTGCAAGATCCCGGCTTTCTGTTCCCATAGCTTTGAATTCATCTCCTGCAGATTGGAGCCTCCCAAACTTGACTGTGCCAATGATTGTGGTGAGTTCACGAACAAATTCACTCAAGCAACCAGCAATGATAGTCTAAAGGTCGAGTGTTCGCTTATTATTAGTATGGTGGCTTATTATTAGTATGGTGGAGTTCCGTTTTGTCTATAATGTGATAAATAGAGGAAGCAGAAGACAAAACAGATGCCTAAATTCTGTGTTGGGAGTCATTGGCCTTTGTAAATAGGAGAACTGTAGATAGATTATTACCTGGTTTGTTCCAACAGCTCACCCAAGTCAAGTACCTTTGATAAGTAGGAGCTCTTTTATAGGATAGGGTTTATACATGTAGTGTTAATATCTTTCACGATATCAGCAAGAGTTGTGTATTCAGCGTTCTAACATTAAAGAATCAATGATTTTACGCCCATGGTTGTAAGATCTAGAATCTTTCCCTGTTTAAGTTTCTGCTCCCTTTTCTCTTTAGAAAGAGTATTATACGGTAAATAGCTCGTTGCTATCTCATATAGAGCAGAGCCATAATCCAATATATCCTCTTGAAAATGCTGTGGTGTAGCAAGGGAGCCGACGAGCGAGCTCGTAAAATCGCTGACCTTCACATCTAGGTGTTAGTCCAAGAAGAAATACAAACAATTAACATCACCATGGCATATGCCGTTTTCATGAAGGAATTGTACGCTTCTGCAGCCTGTCGTGCCCAACGGAGCAAAGCAGAAGAAGGATTGAATCCTGTGATTCCCTCAAACACTGTCGCACTGGACCAATCTCTGCGTAGTCTAGCAGAATGCCGTGGCTCGTGGCGCCGTGGAATTTCAGAAGGGATAATGGCCATTCACGGGCGATGACTCCAGAAGCTGATATATCTCCCTTTCTTGATCACAGCGGGCACATTCGTCATCATCGCCGAGGAGAAACTTTATGATGTACTTTGTATTTGGGTCTAAGGCCACCATTCCGCTTATTCCACATCCCTTAATGTCCTGGAGACCTATTCCAGGTGGGAACGAAACAGAGCTGTTAGCTCCCATGGGCCAAGGACAGCGGGAAAAAGAAACCCACAAGACGGATGAGGAGATCACAGCAGTTTGGAGCGCTGGCGAGAGAAACCAGATGCGGAGGCGACGAGGAGGCGGGCGGCCGTGATTTTGCTATAAGATTAAATATGACATGAGAAATGATCTGCGTGTAGAATACCAGAACGGGAGTGGGAGGAGAAATAAAGAAGTGCGACACAAGATGAGCAGGAACAGAGTATTTCAAAAGGTGAGCAGCTCAATGGAAGGGATTAGCCTGTGATAAGATATTCCACTTGCGTTTATCTCAATTCTAGAAATAATCTGCACATGAGGCGCTAAACCTACACTGGGAGACGAAGCGCAGCAGGGCTCCCAACAAGAATTGCGGGGGAGGTTGAGCAGGAGCATACACGACGATCTTGATATCAATACGTAGTACTATTCGAGAGGAACGGGTGTTAAACGTGTTTTCGAAGGAGAAATATCCCCCCGCTGGGGTTTCTACGAATGATGATTCACGCTTTGTGATTTTTGGAGAGGCGATATAGATTAGGTTAGATTAGATTAGATATAGACATAGATGCTCATGAAATTGACGCCTTGGTTTCGCGTTTTGTTCATTCTCTTCTCCCTCTCCTTCTCCCATGCTCCAGACTTCTTTCTTCAGACAGTCTCTAGAACAGCCAGTTCACCGCGTATCCAGCAACAGCAGCGATACCGGCTCCAACCAAGTTGTTCCGAGAGAAGAGCTGCTGCGCCGCATCCTCGGGGACCTCGTCATCTGTAGGCGTAGGCGTAGGCGTAGGCGTCTCAGTCTGGGGCTCAGAACCACCCTCGCTCGTAGACGTCGGCTCAGTCGTCTCTGTCGGGGTGGGCTCGGCATCGGTGTTGGACATTGTCTCGGTACCAGTCTCCGTCTCAGAAACAGTGGGGAGCGTAAAGGTTTCCTCGGTCGAGGTCCCCGTTGGCTGACTCGTCACCGTCCCAGAGGGCGTCTCGGTTTCCGTGGCCGTCGCAGTCGCATTGCCCGACGGGGTTGTGCTGTCATCCCCACCATTCAATGCAACGACCTCAAAGCTCAGCAAATCAGTCGAGCTCTCCTTCGACCACGACTCAGTTGCCCGTCCCGCCGGATCGCCAGAGCAGTCGTCGTTCGAGAACAGCAGCATGTTAATGTTGTCTTCGCCCTGGCCATCTAGCTCGAAGAGTTGGCCTTTGGCGTGGTCAACGACGATGCATTCGGAGGGGCCGCGGCCGCGCTCGGTGTGTTCTTCGCCGTCTGCGTTGCGCCATGTGAATGTCCACGCGTAGGTGGCGGGGAGGAGGATAGGGAGAATGAGTGCGGATTTCATTGTCGTGGTTTTGGTGTTGAAGCGTCAAAATTGGGTTTGTGTGGCGTGGGTGGTGGTGGGAAGAGTTGGGGAGAGAATGTGTGGGGGCAGCGAGGTGGTATTTGAAGGGCTGGTCAGGAGTCGCGCGTTTCAAGTGATCTGCAGAGTGCCAGTCTGTGTTGCGCTGCTAGGCGGCTGAAAACTTCCGGTCCTTGGCGCACGGCACAACGCTCGTTGCCAGTGGATGGCGCACGCTCTGTTGTGGGCTAGCTTGGGGCCGTCTGGATGCATGGGTCCTGGTGTCTTGGGCTCGGAAGCAAGGGCGAGTCACGAAATGTTCTCGCTCAAATTGAAGATGAGGAATTCGAGACCTGAAACACGTTTAGTCAATTGATTCGAGAAAGGATGAGGAATCTTACACAGAGTACAGCTTCGAAAGTTGGAATGTGGTGTTGTTGAGGATTTCGAGGTGCAATGATCTGCACTGAATACGAAGGAGGGTTACTTTGCAGCGGAACATCCTCGGAACAGTGACTTTCTGCCCCAGTCTAGGCCTTCGGAAGTTCGGATTAATCCGTCCGTGCCAAAGGGGAAATTGCCAATGTTCGTGGCTGCAAGTGTGAAACGCACGAGAGGACTCCCCATGGGGTGTCGGGTTTCAGACTCACCTCCTGAGGCTGAAGAGATTGAAGATGCAGTGATGCACAGATAAAGCAATATCCGAGATATTTGTCAACCTTGCTTGACTTAATAAAAGTGTCTTGTGATTATTGGTTGGACAACATGAGTGCAGGAGTAATATATATATAACAGAGAGGCATGAGCACAGGCATGAACCAACAGGGCTACACAACACGTGTACTTGATTTGCTGGACCCAACGAGAAGATGCAGTTATGTCAAGAGACACGGGCAGGGCGCAGAATATATCGCAGACAACAAATCATTCGTCGAAGCTCAAGAGGATGCAAGCTTAGATGGGTTCGACGTGAGACTGTCATCGCATTTAATCTGAGCATCGCTCGAAGAGCTCACAGCAGAATTTAAAACTTCCGAGCTTTGCGACAGTATTTGTCAAGCCGGTAATCCTTCGCAAGTTGACGGATGTTGCGCCAGCGTAAACCGTTGCGGATCACTCCTCGGCCTTGGGTTCGGAGACATGGAGGTTTCGAGGCCCTTTTGATGGTCTCGACAGACAATTGTACTCCGATTATGGAAAGAGTATGCATCTCAAGCAAAATGACGCAGCTTATGCGAGTGATCCTGTTCATCACATCTGGCGAGCAACATTGGCTCTCAAGCTTGACTAGAAACGGTTATCAGGAGAGAAACGGATCATCAGACACCGCCGCATGCAACTTCGAATCTTTTGCTCCGCTTGCGCTTCTTGCGGTGAGGAGAGTAGTTAAAATTAGCCTCGAGTTCTTGAGAGCCAAGCTCAGGTTCATGACAGTTCGCGTTGCGTCATGCAGCCTCAAGAGGGGAAGCTGAAGGATCGAGCTAAACGAGCTAAATGTGAAAGGCAGCGTGATCCGAAGTGGCGAAGATCCTCAGAGGTTCGCGGTGGATCATCAAATGTCTTCATCGACTTGACCTTGCGGCGGCTTGATTGCACACCGATCGGGGACCTCGCTCTTTCGGCCGCTGAGAATCAAGACGAATAAATGGGGCTGGGCGAATATTTCCCGAGATTCGGATCGCGGGCCAACGTCCATCAGAGACATCTCTTTGTTCTTGCGGGTGGAGCTCAATGCTCTTGTCACATCCGTGATCCGTCAAAGGCAGCAAAAACTCATCACGGTCCAAGCTCCTCGGATATCCCCGTAGGATCCATCGTGACTCGGGGCACCAGCGCCCGCAATCCACCGTCACAGGTTGCGATCCATCACGTGTTGAGAAACAGGCCACTGTCCATTTCAGGGCCATCGAGTTGGAGACCCCGAATCAGTGGCCTGCCCTTGTTAAATAAGGGGAAGGGATCCATCTGCGAGCTCTTATCTCTGTGTTTCTGGCTGGTGGTGCTGGAGTTGGGGGAGGAGAAGAGGCCGGGGTTGGGATGTGATTCGACTACGGGAGATGAGCAGTGCGGCCCGCTCATTGGAGCTGGGCATTTTACGCGCCCTGCTGGGTCCCGTGACACCGCCAAGACGCTGTTGATGAGGTCTCATTGGAGGGTCAGGTGATGAGACCTGCAGATGAAGAAAGCCATGCGGCCAATCAGCAGCCACGCGCTCCTGTGTTGCCAGTCTTACGATGGCTGCTGGTTTCTGGAGAGAACACAATCTCCCTTTCGGCACTGTGCCCTGCTGGTGCGACAATTGGACAGCAAACACCCTGAATGCCCCTCGAGTAGCTGGTCTTTGAAATGAAGCACCGCTTGCAGCACGCTCGTTGGTGTGTTCGGCCAGCAACTACGCCTCGTACTCGCCATGACCGATGCCCCGGATGGGTCGCTGTCCGCCCTCGTCCGCTAATGACCTGCTTGAACGCTCTGGTCGCCTTGACGGTCCGTCTCTCGTCAGGATCCCTGTCCCGTCAGAAGCGCCATCAGGCCCTTGGCATGAGCTCCCATTGCTTGATGGCTGGAGATTCTGATCGACTCTTGCCGCTGCCTTCATCGCCTTTCTTACTTGCGCGACAAACTGCTCGAAATCTTAATTTGTGGGCATTTTCTCCTTGACGCTCCCCTAAGCGACGCTGGATATCCTCATAAAGGGTTTACCGTCCTTGTTCGAGGTTCTCGGTATCATCTTCAGGTGTGTACTCTGTATCACTTTTCCTCCGCCGATCTGCATCACGCTTCTTCCCCTCCCCACCCCCCCCTCCGCCATCCCAGCGACTGTTTCCTGCATCTTGTGCGGCCTTTGGGTTGCAGATATTTGATATCTCCTCTTATTTTCTTTGCTTTGCACATTACGTCTAATTTCCACATTTTTTTTTCTGCATCTGATTGCCGCACATATTCGTGCGTACCTGCTCCTCTCTTCTCCGCATACCGCTCTTTGGCTTACTGAATAGAGCTCGTTCTCAGATCGGACCCCTGTGGCTGTCGGACCGGAAATTTACATTGCCGTCTGTCGATAGCCATTTTCCCCGGCTCGTTCCCGAGACTGCCTCGTCGATGCTCCTTTTTTCCTGAGCGGGGATGCTTCTGATACTCTCAACTCCGTCCCGTCGGCCTTGTTTCCTCGAGCCTACCCTTCAGCAACGTTAATCCACACCGGTCGATCACTGATAAGGGTACGGGTGCGTTGGATCTGGGGTTTGTCTCAGAAAGATGGTCGAAGTGGCATGGAACAGAAATCCTATCCCGGATAATCGGCCCCCAAAGGTTCAGTCCATACCGGCCTCGATGCCGGCTCAACCACAGAGCGCTGCGCAATTCGAGGCTTGTGCGTCGACAGCTTCGCTGTTCTTATACGCTCAAGGCTCCTCCGTCCTGTGCCTCCACCATGACACTCTTGCTCTCGAGCGTCGGTTCGAGAATCACAAGGACGACGTCGTCTTCATCTCGGTGGATAATGTCAGTGAGCGCGGAGCTGGGCGGCTCGTGGTTAGTTATGATGCTAGCCGGACAGCGATCATCTGGGATCTCTTTACCGGAAGTGTGATTGCTCGGTTTGCTTCCTTCGAGGAATTGAAAGCAGCTGCGTGGATGCGGAATGGCAACGTCGCTTTCGGTAAACTCATGATCTTTCTGGCCACCTACAAAACTAACTGTCTCAGGAAACGAAAAGGGCGACGTAATTCTTTTCGAGCCATCCACTTCGGACAACGTTTCTTGTCGTACCATCTTCGACCCCATCACAGCTTTGGCACCCGCCACCGATTGCCGAACCTACGCAATTGGGTCTGTGTTCCTGAACCGTACCTCCTTTAGACTATCGCTAACCATGGTTCCATCTAGGTACCAAAATGGATCAATTCTAATCGCTACGTTATTACCTACGTTTACCATCCTGCATACGATGACCACCTCTCGCGGACCATCGCCGATAGTCTCATTAGCATGGCACGCATCGTCATCGAAACAGAAATCTGACATGTTAGCGACAATGTCTGCCAATGGAGACCTCAGAGTTTGGAGTGTTGCAAAACCGCCCGGCAAGGAGGCACCGCGGGTAATTCGCAACCTAAAAAGATCCGATGCTTCATCGTCATCGGAGCCGAAATGGATGGCTTGGTCAAAGAATGGAAAGATTATACAATACCTGGATGGGTGAGTTTCTCTCAAGCATCTTTGATCTCGGAATTGTGGCTGAAATACATCCTGCAGTGAAACGTGGGCGTGGGATGTCAAGACGAAGCACATTAGCTACGAGCCCATTCCGACAATCGACAATCCCCGCGGAATTGCCAACTACGGACCAACTGCAGCTCTCTTTACACTCGGCCCTCAATTCACAGTCCAACAGTATGAGCTGGAAAACCCAGCAATGGTAGCTAATGTACAGCTCCCTCCCACGAACTCCATGACAGCAGCTCTAGATCAAATGCGGGCTCGAACCAAGTCACCGCGGGCCTTGCAAGATCCTCCGGAAATGCGCGAGCCAACTTCAATGTTCGCTTCCAGGCGTACTCCGTATGATCAGAGCGGAATAGAGACGGTAAAACAACAGCGCGAGCAGCTGAGTAGTCCTGGATCTTCTCGTGGTCGCGCGGCGTCGGTCAGCTCCAAGGCCTCTTCGGACAAGTATAAGCCGATTCCATTCTCGCCTCCAAGCCGGTCCGCACATACAGCGACCTCATTCTCATTAACATCCGCTGGTGGCGGTAGAGAAACCCCGCAACCATCCTATGCGTATGCTTCATCAGTTTCGGTGTCGTCAATGAAGAGCTCTCGGCCTGGGTCACGGTTAAGAAATGAAGTCCAATTCAGTCCGGCAGACAAGAACGTTGATCTGTTTCCTTTTACGCGTGCACGTCTCAACGACGTACCGTATAGACATCATCAGCCTCTCGATGAGGCCCGTTTGACACCAGACGATCTACGGCGACAAATGCTAAGTATGGTCTTTGGCTGGGACGGCGACATTGAGGGTTTGATCAAGGATGAGCTATACCGCCATCCCCCAGGTAGCCCCGCTGCTATTCTCCTCGCACAGTGGATAGAAGAGTCAGATACCGATCATATGGTCTCAATGATAAATAGCGGACCTACCTCGATCACGGATTGGATGCTACTGGCGCTCAGCCAGATGAATGGTCAAGCCCAAGCGAACAGGGTCGGACAAGCATTCGTCCAGAAGATGCTTGATATTGGTGACGTCCACACAGCGGCCACTGTCTTGATCGGTCTTGGGGATCGGGACGAGGCTGTTGAGGTCTACGTCTCGCAAAACTACTACATGGAGGCCATTCTTATGACCTGTCTCGTTATGCCAACCGACTGGCAACGGCAATCATATCTCGTCCGTCGGTGGGGAGAGCATGTGGTAGCTCACTCGCAGCAACAGCTGGCAATTCGCTGTTTTATGTGCACCGGAGTTGAGCCGTCTGATCCATGGGCATCGCCAGCAGTCCATCAAGCGAACTTTGGCGAGATCATTCCCGGACGATCCCCTCTCGCGTCACCGGAGCCGTTTCAAAACCCGGCTAACATGCTGCAGCCAAACGTGCAATCAAAATCACCAGTAAACAGCCGGAACTCTCTCAAGGCTCCGTCGCTCAAGCTGATTACCTCCTTCGACGGCCAACCGAACCAGCGGTTCCGCTTCCCCGGTCTCAAGTCCGATGATCGCACGCCCACAAATGCTCCTGGAGTTACTCCGATTGCTGAGTCTGTTGCGGGAGGTTCCGCAATCTCGCCTGGAGGATTCGGCTCGTATAAGCTCAACAATATCCAGAGCCTTAACAATGCCATGAACTCTCGATCGAATACTCCCGGGTACCCTAAGCAGCGGTTACCGTCTATTGGAGAAACGCCTGTCGATGTTCATCCGCCCACCTTCCTGTTCAAGGAGCAGCCCAAGAAACTAGTCGACTACGGATCAACGTCGGAAAATGATGACACCAGCCAAGGTCAGCCTCCAGAGCAGGAAGAGGATCTTGGTTTGCTGCCGTCGGCACGATACGAACCTGATGAGGCGTTCAAACCGAGTCCTCAGACAGCCGTACAGGCTACCGCGGACAAGTTCGCGAACATCAAAGGCCTGCCATCTCCAACCCCGGGTATCTTTGAGGCTCTGAGAGAGCGATCTGATAGCCGGCTTAGCGCCAGGGACAGGAAGCCAGATGGGCTCCAACTGCACTTTCGGCCCGGCGAATCCTCGCACGACGAAATGAATCAATCCGACACGATGACTGCTAGCTTTCGAAGTCCTCCATCGACTGCAAACAGTTTTAGCACAACTAAAAGCCCTAGCGTTAGCGGCCGAAGTATCGATCAGTACATCAGCAGCTTAGACGAGGCGAGCTACCATGCACGAAAGCAGCATCGCCGTGGACGACGAAACACAGACGAATCGAACGTCTTGAGTTCACGGAAAACCAAGAGTAGGACTGCATCCAATGATACCCGCGGCCGAAACGAAAAGCGTTACGTGCAGCCTGCTAAGCGATCTCCTTCGTCTCCGGTTCCTATGTCTCCGGAGGAACTGGCGTCATACAGTTCCAAGCAACCCTCGAAGGCTCGAAGTACTAGTAGAGTGCGCAAGCCGCGCTCGAGAAACTCGTCGGAACGTCGCAACAACCGCTCTACAAGTCGTCACACTTCCGGTCGCGTTGATGACCCGTCCACCCGTGGACGCAGCACCGACAGAGGGCTGCGGAACGTTTCCCCGCCATCTCCAGTCCCCATGACTAACCCGGAAGACGCTCTGAAGTTTGTTGCCGGAGACAGAGAAAGGAGAACTCGCCAGCGGAGTAGAAGCCGACGTCCTTCCGCCTCGAGACGTGAGCCCTCTGCTGACGGACGCCGAACCCGACCTGGATCTCGTACCCGCCAGGAGTCTGATCCCAAGTCGACTACGGAGACCGAATTTAGAGTGCCTTCGACCAACGACTATGTCCAGATAGATATACCGGTTGAGAACCCCCAGGAAACTCAAGTACAATCCGTCGAAGAGGTCATGGACATTCCTGCGCCCATCCTCTCCCCTTCGACAGTTGCTGAGATGAGGAGGAAGGAGCTCGCAGCCGCTGAGCTCGAAGCACGTCGACTCTCGCTTGCGCGTAATCCGTCGGCGCCTAATATCCCCTTTCCTGGCGAGATCCAGTATACCCGTGGTATCCTGGAGAGTCCTCCGTTTCACGTCCAGTCTTTCACACCCCGTACTCCAGGGCGGAGCATGATTCCTCCAAAGACCTCGCCGGACTATCCCAGCAGCTCTGACTCGAACTCGTCCAGGGCAGGCGTGCCGCTAGGACTGCCGGCGACACCTAGGGCTATGCGCCATCCGAAGTACAGTGGACCTTCAGAGAGCGAACCCATGCCACCTCCACCACCTCCTCCCCCAAGCGCTCCCCCGCAAATCGACCACGCTCCACTGCTACTCAGTGATGCCAGATACCAAGGTGAAGCCGAGCGAATCCCTCGCTCAATGTCAGTCCCCGTACCAGAGGCCCAACCGCCCAGCCGACATGTAGATATGCCCATGCATCCGCACTTCAACCCAAACCTCCCACGCAGTCGCTCATCGGATCGCAACCGGGCCATGCAACACCGCCGGAAGAGCTCACGCGAACTGTCGAACGGCGGGAACTACAATTACGGCACCTCGCCTGTGACAGTGAGTATTGAGGAAACAATGGAGAAGGTGATGCCGCCAATTCTCCCTGAGCTGCAGCACCTCAACACGCCTCCGCCGCCTCCTCCGATCCCGGCCTCCACGACCTCTCGCGAATCGTCGGGGACAATCGACATCGCCATTGACAATGAAGGCCTTGGCCGCCTCCTTCCCCGCGCCATGACCGCCGGTCCGGCACTTAGCACCGAATCCAAACCAACAATCATCCGCCGGATGTCGCTCGAGCACCGCCGGAACCGCAGCGTCAACGAGTCTTTGAGCTCGAGAATTCGCAACCTCACTCGCCGGAGCAGCCGTGGTTCTGATGCATGGGGATCTCCCACTGACAACCGTGGTTCGTACGACGGCGTGCCTGTGACTGATGGTGGCCGTATATGATGACCACACTTTTTCTCTTTACCTGCTCTTTTTATTTCTGTTTTGATTGAGATCTTTCATGACTAACGATTTTCCTTCTAACATTCTTCATCTACCATTTACATTGATTGACTCTTATTATATAGCATTACTGTCATGTGTTTATGTTTATGTTCATCCTGATGTTATTTCTCTTACCAAGCATTTCAACATCCTCTATTCTACCTTCTTTATACCCTTACCATCCACTCTGCTCAGTATGTCTTACAGCAAGACGACTCACGCCAGTCTATCGCTTTTCCCAGCGGCACACGCGCATTTTCCTTCTTTGTTGACTTGATGTTGGTTCCAGACTTAGCGTATCTAAAGCTTGCCTGCGAGGGCTAAAAGTCGATAATTATACTTCTTTGAATCGGGTGCGTGCCGAACTATAACCAGCGTAGACGTTCTTTCTAAGGGCTTTTATTATCTTCACCTCCTCCTTGTGATCTCCCTAGAAATGTGAGTCGAAGAAGAGCAGTGCACAAGATACCAAATGTGTATCGCTAAAACCGAAAGTGTTATTGAGACTGCAACTATGATACAATGTCCCCCTACTACTAGTATGAAAATGGCGGACGACTCTTGTCCGAGGTCCTTCCTTCCCTTGAAGTGCTCGGTTGTTCCTTCCGTTCGTTGCCCGACAGTCTGTCCACGCGAGGGCCACGGAATTCTTCCACGTTGATTTCGAGCCACCTCTATCTCCACGCACCTCGGTTAGACCCATCATTTGACTGATTCCGCTCTGCATCAAGCAGCCGGTTGAACTCCGCCTGAGCGCGCTTCCGCTCCCGCTGACTATCGCTAGCAGAAACGGAGGCCTCCGACTGATTCCACGCGCTTCCGCCCGAGGCGACTGATCCGGATTCCGACGGAATTCCACTCTGAGATTGGTTTCGGAGCCGCTCCCAGGCGCTTCCTTGCCCGGCGGCGGCGTTTTCGCGTCGTACGATTCCTCGGTACTCTGGTGCTGTTGGGCTCGCGTCGTCGTCGTCGTCGAAGAAGCCCGTTCCTTTGCTTTGTTCTGCTGGTGCGCGGGAGCCGTAGCTGTATGTTCCAGTTGCGGATGCGCTCGCGGTCCCAGACGAAGGGTAGGCTGTTGTACCAGAGGCAGTTGCAGAGCCCATGCCCCCCGAATCCATCGCATACCCGCTCTCATCGTAACCTCCATTCTGCGGAGTGGGCTCGTCGCTCGACTGCGCAGCCTGGTTCTTCCGTGCCAGACGGTCCTTGGTAGCCTGGGCCCGCCGCGCTTTCAGTGTTTCTGGTGGAACCTTTTTCGCATCCTCCCTATGTTGCGCCATCCGCGGGTCATTGAATACTTGTTGCGTCGACATGATCACACCAGCCACCTCAAGGCCCAGTGCTCCGACGCATGTGTAAACCAGAAGCCGCCTCGTCAACGACAAGAGCAAGTTCTTCGCGAGATCTCGATCGCACGTGTACATCATCTTTGTGCCCTCTGTAAATCGACGGAGAGGCGTCATCCCCTGCTGCCCCGCCGGCGGAGCGTACTGCAGAAAATGTTTATAGTTCTTCTCATACAGAAGCCACTTGGCGCCTCCCGTGAGGAACCCCAGCGGAATTCCCCTGGTATAATTCGACACAAGCACATTATGGCTCTCGACGTAGGCGTCAAGCTCGGGCTGCGTTAGCTCCCGATTAACCAGGTACGAGGCATCCTGTAGCCGGTGGACGAGCAACGACGAATATTTCACCTGCCAGCTGGTCGTTCCCCAGTATCCAAGGTATAGAGTGAAGGGATCAGGTTTGCGGATGAACTCGGGTCTCACTTGCGCGTCGGGCTCGAGGAAGCGGGATGTGATGCGGGAGAGCTGCGACGCGAAGATTTCGGGGTTGTAGGGTCCGGAGAGAAGGGGTTTGGGGATATTATCGTCCATGATATGGTGCCGAGATTAATGGTGTGTTGGACAGGTCTGGCGGAGGAATCAATGTGAATTGAGGGCGATTGCGGGGGTTGTGGCGTGGTTGTGTTGGTGTTTGGTGCGGAGGTCAAGCTTGGAGCTTCGGGGTCAAAGTGCGTCATGTTGTGGTTGCTTAGTCATCCAATAGCGGTGCACGTGTTTATGCATAGTACAGTTAAATATTCACACCCAGTTTGAACTTGACAACCTTCACTTTCACCTGAGTCAAGATTTGATTACAAGTTTGGGAATTGGCTACATGTACGCGAAACTTTTATCTGAGAAACAACATAGTGCAATTCCGCCTAAAGGGGCCATGAGAATCAATCAAACCACTAGTTCCCAAACGCTGACGAAAATATATATCAAAAACCACCACGAATCAAGGAATGAGTCACAGCAATTACCTCAAACGTGAGAAACTGCGACCTTGGCCCCTTCTCTACACACGTCGTTTGCCATGACTATCTTACAACCCTCCTAATTTACACAGGAGGGATCTTGGAAAGCACCGTCTTGCAATACGCCGCCCGCACCAGAAGCCGCCGCATACCGCTGACACGCATCCTGCTTATGGATGCCTATCGGCATAGTCCGCAATCTCACGCACGACAAGACACGGAAAGACGTCAATGACAACAGCGGGCCTTCATCTCATAGCAAATCTCATTCCTCTGGTTCCGGGGTAGATACTTCCGATCACGTGTATCCTTAATGACGCCGCCACCATGGAGAGTCAGGCCCCGATGCACGACCGGGTCACAGCCACGTCGGGGCTCGCGCTTCACGATCTTCGCTCGTCCATGCATCTTGCAGCGCGTACAGTCTGCGCCTCCGCTGATATTCTGGAAGTCTGCGGCGAAGAGAGACGCCCGCCCCGTTAGGCCGCTCGAACCCGGATCTCGAGACGACGACTACATGTCACTGTCTCTGCTTCCATGTCGCTCAGAAACAGCTTTGCTGTAGTCTTCACACGGGGAGGGCTCTCTCTTGCGCCAGAAATCGAAGTGGCTGAACTTTACATGGCGACCCCCAGCACCGCGAGAACCATGCCCTGTTTCGGATAATGCATGTCGATGCGCAACTGGTGAATCTCTCGAAGCACCCAGCCAGTCTGTTCCCTCCAAGGCCTGCTGTAGACTGAAGACGATCCGGCGCTGATTGGGAATAAACCGTTAAGATCGTCGTACGCCGGCGCTAACTTGCATATACTGGTCGTATCCCCTCATCGTGGAGCGTTGGCACGTAACTGCATGATAAGCACCCTATGCACCCCGCCAATCCAGAGGGGTATCATACTCTCGGGTTTCGATTAGTGGTGAAAATCCCTTCTTCTCCGAGTGTCGATGGAAATAGATTAACCTTGAGAGATACTTGTGGGCCAGAATGGGAGAGGACTGGACTGGCTGGGAGAGCTGGCGCCTACATATCTCATGTACAATTCGCATTATCCTGATCCGGTCATGTCATCCAAAGAGTGGGATATCTGGAAACTCTAAAGAAGAGCAGGCGTGAGAGTACTTGGAGCGATATCTTTACAGGAACGCCCGGTCCCCGTCTATATATGGCATCTATCTATCCATCTATCTATAAACAAAATAACTGACCAGTCCCTATTAAGGCGCAAATTACATGCTCTCTCTCATGACGAGACGCTCAGTGCCAGCAATATCAACCACCGAAGTCCCAACATGAACCCGGTACTCCCCTGCCGCAATGATCCAACGCCCGCTCGACTCGTCGAAATGCGCAAAATCGCGCCGGGTAAATGCGAGCGTCGTTGCTCTGCTCTCGCCAGGGTAAAGCGGCACCTGCGCGAATGCGACAAGCGTCTTCCAAGGATGCTCTTCTGAATGGAGGGCATGCCCGACGTAGACCTGGATCGTCTCTGTGCCTCGACGATTCCCGATGTTGGAGACGGTGACGTGCACTTGGACGGGGTCATCATGGTCGTCTTCAAAAACACTCAGGGAAATATCACACAACGTAAATGAGGTGTAACTCAACCCGTAGCCAAAGGGGAACAGGACTTTCTCTCGCTGCTCCGGTCCATGGTCGTAGAAGCGATATCCCACGAACACGCCCTCTTCATACCGCACGCACGCTCGGCCGTCATGATCGAAGCCGCCGGGGAAGTTTCCAAAGGCAGGGGCGTCTTCTATCGCCCGAGGGAATGTAACAGGCAGTTTCCCCGAAGGGCAACGGTTACCAACGAGGATATCAGCGATGGAGTTTCCCGCCTCCTGGCCTGGGAACCAGGCTTGCACAAGAGCTTTGATTTCGTTTATCCAGGGCATTGCGACGGGGACTCCCGTGCAGTTGACCACGATCGTGTTTCCGTTCGCGGCTGCGACTGCACTCACGAGCCGGTCCTGCGATCCATCTCGAGGGAGGTGGAATGAGACCTGATCCTGGCCTTCGGCTTCCCACTCTGCCGTGTTGCCCGTGAAAACGATCGCAATGTCGCTACGCACAGCTACGGCCACAGCCTCTGCAAGCAAGTTGGCTTCGCGGTTTGACTGGAGCATGAAGCCAACTGAGAATCCGTCGCGGCCGTTCATGAACGCGGGACCGTTGTAGGCCTCCAGAGGGTGGGACACGACTTCGATGTGATACAGCTGACCAGCGACGAAGTCGTATTGCACGGGAACATCGGCGTAGCTCGATAGGATGAATGCCATGAGGTCGGGACAGTTCCCAGCTTGCCGGTAGACCTCTTTGCCGTTTATCAGTAGCGAGCTGGGGCCAAGGCCTGATAACGAGATGTAATGCCGTCCGCTGGATGGGGGGCAGAAAGTAGTCGCGGCCCGTATCGCCAGCCCCTCGTTTCCCGGCACAGTGGGGATATACAAGGGTTGTGTCAGACAAGGGAGGGTGTTGGAGGTCTGGCTATGGAGAAACTCTATATCCCATCCGGGATTTCTCTCCTTGTTCGTCACGTTGTCTACCATTGGGGGCAACTTTCTGAGTGTGTGCGCTCATACGGCATAGTTGTTAGTGAAGTCATGTAGTAGGAATAAGAGATATATACCTTTGACGCACTCGAACTCCACATTGCAATGTTCCAGCGCCTTCTTGAGACCTTCAGCTGGAGTGACGCGGTAATGCGCATTCACAGCCGCACTCCCTCCTCCGTGTATAAGTTCCTCGTCCGCAAAGCCTAGAAGCGCAACCTTCGTAGTTTGGGCACCAGGTCTCGCGAGGTTAAGTGGAAGGATACCATCGTCATTCTTGAGGAGCACAATACCTTCGCTGCCCAGTCGCCGGATCAGCTCGCGGTGGCTTGTCTTATCATCGGCATATTCTTCGTACTGCTGCTGCGGGCCAAAGCCAGTAGTCCTGGCAACTAATTGCAGAACAGCTCTTACACGGTCATCAACAAGAGACTCGGAAATCTGACCCGTTTCTAACGCCCGCAGAATGGCCTCGGGCTTCCGAATTGTTGGCGGGCCTGGCATTTCCAGATCCAGCCCTGCACCAAGGGATTCAATCAGCGAAGTCGAGCCGCCCCAATCACTGATGACGAGGCCATCCCACTTCCATTCGCGGCGAAGGATATCCCGCAACAGCATCTCGTTGCAATCCGCGTGGCTTCCATTAACCGAGTTATACGCCGTCATCAAGGCCCATGGCTTGGCCTGATTGATCGCGATCTCGAATGGTCTGAGGTATATCTCGCGGAGGGCTCGCGCGGAGACGGCCACATCCACAATGTTGCGAAACGTCTCCTGCTCGTTCGCGGCGAAATGTTTGATTGCAGAGCCAATGCCTTCTCCCTGAAGACCGTCGATGTAGGCCGATGCCATGGTCCCGGCGAGGTAGGGGTCTTCGGAAAATGATTCGAAGTTCCTTCCGCCGAGAGGATGGCGATGGGGGCAGACCGTCGGACCGAGCCTGGAAGCAGAGAAATACCGTTAACACCACCAATGAGGTCTATAAGGTATATAGGAGGGTCGGGGTGCAGTACAGCAGATTCGCGCCTTTCGTCTTTGCTTCCTCACCAAGTGCCTTGCCAACCTCTCGGACAGAACCCATGTTCCATGTCGCAGCAAGCGAGACGGCGCAGGGAAAACAGGTAGAGGTTGGGCCTCCCTTCATTGCCGCTCCTCTGACACCGTTCGGTCCATCAGAAAGCTAATAGACAGATTAGTTGCTCCCACTGGTCGAGGGGTATAGGAAGGAGATACCTTGATGGATGGTATAGATTTAGCAGGAATCGCGGTGGTTTCCCAGAAACTGCTACCGGCCAGGAGCAACACCTGGAATGGTGAGCGAGAGTCGCCCACTGACTGACATGTCAACAGAAAGGGTCGTCGCACCTTTTCTTCCCGCGTTAGACTCACTAGGACCGCATCAACGCTGCGTGTATCCTTCGCTTGCGGCATTGCTTGGACAGGTTTTCAAATAGTCAATTGTGTCACCATATCTGGCTCTCTACCTAGGTAGTCGACGGATGAATATAAATCGGGGGATGTGGACAAAAAGATGCGCCAAGCAGAGTCGGGCTCGGACGGGGGCGGGGCGGCGGGGGACTGACAGGAAACTTATGGACCACAATTCCAAGTCCCCGTGTCTCTGGAATCTCCAAACTCGGGATAAGAGGCACCGAAGCACGGGCGTGTAGTGGTATACATACTCTATGCCGCCAAGGTAGCTGAGCGTTGATGGTCGAACCTTCAAGTATGCAGCATTTTCGGTCTGTCAATAACTTGAACGTGGAGAACATCTAGCAACGTGAAACCTCGCCTTGGCTAGTTCCAGATTTCGCCTAATGCACAGAGCTCCTCCGTCTCACCATCCCCGGTTGTTCACAGACGGGGAACTCCAGTTCGCAGATCTCGATGAGGAGCCGAAGCTGCAGCCGAGTTTTCGCCGCTCAACTTCTGATGAACTTGGCTTCTGTTTTGTCTACTCTCCAACCTTTCTCCCTTTCCAGACTCTGACACCCTCCCGACATTCATTCTCAGCATGGCCGCCATATCGCAAACGAACACTGGGACACCATACCTCTGCGTCCAATGCGACCGCACCTTCTCACGCCTCGACCATTTAACACGGCATAATCGAATCCGTACGCCTCGCCCCTTCAGCAAAAGCCGATGTCAAAGCTGACCTGTTAGATACTCGTGAAAAACCCTTCATTTGTCGAGAATGTGGGAAATCGTTTGGCAGAGTGTACGAGCCGACACTGCGCATCATCTCCAGTGTTTCAAATCACACAGACTAATCGCCTATACCATAGAGATATCATGAAACGGCATACCTGCTGGCACTTGCGCACTCCATTCGTGTATCGCGATCGCCACGGGAATGCGTGTCATCGAGTATCCCAAGCCTGCCAGCGGTGCGCAGCCAGCAAGCTGAAATGCAACGAGGAGAAACCCTGCCGGCGCTGTGTGAAGAAGGGCCTACTTTGTGAGTACCAGGACGCGACAGACTCACAGGCGAAGCAATATCAGAGCCAGAATGATGCCGCTCCTGGCCCTATGCTTTATGCCCATCCAGCCTCGGACTCGCCTGCGCTAGAGAGCACCGGGACATATGGAGGTGCCGACACGATGGCGCTGCTTAATGCCCAGCCTATCTACGATCCAATGTCCATGAGCTCAGCTAACTGGCCGTTTGCGTCTGCGTGGCATAATTTCTTGATTGACGAGGCACTACAACCTCTACCGATAACGGCTGCCGATGGCTCCCATGAATGTCATAACGCATGGGATGCGCTGTTTGCGCTCTCCAATACATGGGACTGGCAGGACGCTGTGGTTGCACCCGTACCGCACATCCAGAACCACGATGCCTCAAGCTCTGGGCACCGGGATCCCGGATCAAGTGAGACACCAGCTGCCCTGCCAGAGGGAATCCAAGCCACATCCGCGTTCGACGAGTCGTTCTGGAACTCGATCGTCATGCCCGACGGCCGTTCCAGAGTCAGCGGCAAAGCCCTCGCGGAATTCCTTGGGTCGCGAATAACCTCGTCTATCCCAGCACCGTCATCGGCCCTTGACGCACCACTCGACTCCTTCCGACCCCGACAGCACATCCTCCCCAGGGTCCGTGACCACCTGCTCGAGCTCGTCATTGCGCAGTGTCCGGAGGAGAAGATCCTGCGGATCGTGTCCGTGTTCCCGCCGGTAGACGCGATCGAGCGACTCGTGCAGCACTACCTCCAGTACCATGCTTTCCTCCCGACAGGATGGATCCACCTCCCGACATGTGACCCTAATACAGTGCGCACGGAGCTGTTGGCTGCCATGATGGCTGCCGGGGCGTGTCTTGCCCCTGTCCGCGAGGTACAGCAGTTTGGAGCTGCTCTTGGCTATGTGGTCAAGGAAGCTATTGGTGTGCAGGTATGTACACCCCTGAAACCGTCATCCACGTTCTACATGGAAGTTCAACTTGTTATACTAACCGGCTGCTCAGTGGGACAAAGAAATTAGTTCGTTTACTCGTGTACATTCGCGAGGTCGCCAACTTCTACAGGCCTACTGTAAGTCCCGATCAAGTCCATCATACCAGAGACTGCGTTTGACAAATGCATCCTCCTGCAGTGATTGTCCTCTCAACCTGGTTTTGGACTGGATTGGGCCGCAAGACGCGGCTGGCAGAGAACCTGGAGATGTCGTTTGTTATTGTAAGGCTTGTCCTATCCTTTTTGTATCATCTTTGCGTTTGCAGAAAATCGTTTATATTTCTCTGCCTTGTGCACTAGACTAATTAATCCATCTTTAGATTATACGCATGTGCCATTACAATCGGCACAGCCATTACACGCCTCTAACTCTGGACCGCGAGGACACAGATGAAGAATCAGAAGAGAAATGGCACCAGTGGGCGGAGCAAGAGTCTCTGAAAAGGTATGCAGAGCATACTGAACCCCGCTGCTGCGATGGCGGAGCTGCAGGAATTATCGCTAAAGATATCCCCCAAGACTAGTGCACTCTTTCTTCCTCCACGACACGCAGATGAGCATGATGCACCTCACCAACCCTCTCATGTCTGCCTCGGAGATGGAGCTTCCCTTACCCGCGCCACAGCGCAAATGGACTGCCCGCAGTGCAAGAGCATGGAAGAAAGAAATGCTCAGCGAAGCACAGGCACGCCACTCGCATACACCTGATTCCAGCCCTACTTCTCTCCTCTCCACCGTGCGACAGGCCCTATCAATGCAGGCTACCAGCTACTCTTCCCCCCTTGCACCTACCGCAGCACTGCTCCTCCTGCACGGCCTCTGGTCGCCCGTCTGGAGCTGTCGAACGGATACGGACCTCATCGCCACCGGAACCGGGACCCTCCTCACCTCATCTCGGACGAACGAGCTCGCGAACACCATACGCGCTATCCCCATAAACATCAGTGGCAGCCAAGAACACCTCGAAGAGGATGAGGACCCCGAACTGGCCATGATCCGCGGATACCTCCTCCTCACACTACACACCCCGCTAACCGCGATCCAGAAATTCCTTGGCCGGTACGGCGACCAGGAGGCGCGGGATGCGGCGCCGGCGATTCATGATTGGGTGTTCAGCCGAGAGAGTCGGTATGCGTTGGATGCCGCTGCGCGGGTACTGCATGCAGCGCGGGAAATGAGTATCAAAACAAATTGTCTACACGGAGCCTCCGCCAATGCGGTGTATACGGCTGGTCTCGCTCTGTTCTGCTATGGGGTTATTGTTGCGCCGCGAGATGGTAAGCCTGGTTTGGCGGGGGATCCGCCACCACTGAGCACCACCACCACCACGCAGGGAATTGATCCCAGTTTAACGGTCTGGTTAGGTGAATCTGATCGCCAGGCCAACGTACAGACATTTCTTTCCTCGGGGCATGGAGTCCCCGCAATCCGACTCGGACTCGCGGGCAGTCCTCCTCCTCTTCCTCCTCAGACTCCTTCTTCTTCTGCGACACCTGCTCCTGCCCCTACCCTTACTGAAACCTTTGCTTATATCCACCACCCTGCATCCGTCGCTGCGCTTGTAACGCGCATTTTCACTCGGGACGGTACGCTCGCGCTCGATGCCATGCCTATATTTACAGAGAGTTTGGTTCGCATCTTGCTTTTTTTGGGGTCCCCGGCTCCGGCAAAGGGGGATGGGCGTTGATTGGCATGGGTGAACTGGGAAGTCTTTGTCTTCGATGTAAGCTCTAACTGCTATAGATAAGAGGTATACTTATTAGTCACATTTGCTAGATTCATAATATATCTATAAAGGTGTATCCTTGCTAAGATTTTCTTTCCTAGTGCTTACAACTTGGGGCTCCTGGGATATGTCCGAATAGTTTAACCAACATGCGAAGCATAGGATTTGTCTCATCTAGCACCCTCTCCAGGGAAGTAATCTCCTCCTCAATCTTGCCCTGCAGTTGCATAACCAGGTTCCACTTCTCATCCAACCCGCAATCTCAAGGTATCGGACTCCGAATGTGCCCAATCCAATCAACTTGAGCTCGCATACCCATGCGAGCTCTCCCGCATAAGCTCAAGGGAGACTCCAAATGAAGAGCTGCACAGAGCGATCTGCCTGTTCAGGAACTAGTCTAGTTCCATCCATACCTGTCGGCACTCGCCAGACATGCAACTTGAGGAACGGACGTAAGCTGACTACTATTGACCTAGGAACTAGTGGCAAGCGACATAAATTAACCTTCCCGTACCCGTATCTACTAGCCTAACTAGGTTAATCTTTACATCGCCAACACTGCAATCTGAGGGGATGTCCAAGTTCAATTTGACTCGCGTCGAGGTTTGGATGGCATTTTGACCAGTTTGCAACGTCGATCTCGTTTTATTTGTCTCTCTTTTGTGTCAATGACGCGCGAAGAATTATTATTGATGACAGCAAGGCACTTGGCATGTTTGTCAATGGCCCAAGGCTGTCGAGTGCCTGGGGTTGACTCATTTACGCGATTGTTGCCTGGATCGCGACCCACTTCGAAGATCAACTCTGGGGTCGCCAGAAGATGCAAACTGCGATGCGCCTGCGGTTGGTTTGGCGAGTTGATTTCCATTGAGCGAGATATGTGTATAAAAAGAGAAAGGATGTTTGTGGTCGGTGATGATTTTCCGCTGGGAAAGCAGAGGACTTTTTCCTACAGTCGCCGACCCCCATACTCATTCATCATCTCGTCCATTCCCCCAAGATGCCTCTCGAAAGTGACTTGACCATCAATGCTTCCAAGTTCTCTCCAGATAGCATCGCCGAGTCAACCAAGCAGGCCAATGCCCTCCTTGCAAATATTACAGCCAACGCACCGAAATGGTATGAAGTCGGATCCGCGCAATATCGCGAGATGCAGCTGTCTGGCAAGACGCCACTACCTCCGCCTGTATACCTTCCAAATGCTATAGAGACTACAGTCCCTTCTCGAGACCCCTCGCACCAGATTCCCGTTCGTGTTTACAAGCCCGACAATGAGCCTAGCAAGGGCGTCTTTCTGCATGCCCATGGCGGTGGGTGGGTTTTGGGGAGTCATGACCAGTGAGCCAAATCGTTCATCTCAATAAACAGATCGAGGACCAGAAGACTCAACTCAAGTCACAGTCAGGACCGCAGCCTGCAAATGTTCGCCAACGGCACGGGGTTGACAACCGTCTCGGTGGGCTACCGTTTAGCCCCAGAGAATCCATACCCAGCGGCGATCAACGACTGCATCGATGTGGCCGAGTATCTCGTCGACGACCCATCACGGTACGGTTCAGTCCGGTTTCTTGGAGGCGAATCGGCCGGTGCATATCTTGCTCTTCTCTCAGCCTTCCATCTGCTTCGCACTCGGCCCTCCCATACAATCTCCGGCCTTGTCCTTCGATATGGCGAATATGACCTCGCCGTGGGGTTGCCTGCAATCGTGAAGTCCGCGTCTACCAAAGCACTCATGATCGACCGATATGCCATGGAACGCTTCAACAGCGCCTACCTACCCAATCTGTCGATAGAAGAGCGCAGAGACCCGTCTCTGTCCCCGTTATACGAGGACGTTGCTGCGCTGGTAGCCGCTACTCCGAACGGTCTGCCTCCGGCGCTGTTTGTTTGCGGGACTGCGGATCCTTTGCTAGATGACACGCTTCTGATGGGTATGAAGTGGAACATAGCTGGTGGTGAATCCATAGTCAAGGTTTATCCGGGGGCAGCTCATGGGTTCACGGTTATACCGGGTCTGCCTGTTGCTGAGGAGGCCAATGCGGTTAGTGTTCAGTTTATGCGGGAGAAGTTGGCTGTTTAGCTTGAGTGGGCTTGTGAGATATGTAGAGCAGCGCAGGGTCCCTTCGATTCCAGATGCTAATTAAACAGCACAAATACTATGCGAATTGGTCGAATTACTGGAATCGTCGTCACGATAATCACCCCTGATTTTCACCTTTACATGAAGACTATTGTACACTGAAGTTCAGAGTCCCATTATTGCCTGGAGATGCGAAGATAAAGACTCAAACGTCCCTTCCGCCTTCGCCAGCCTGGTTCGGCCAGTAGCCAGAAACACGCCGAGTCGTCTGTCTCTAGGGCAAGGCTGCTGCGACGCTCCACTACTCGAGCGACCGAGGTTTCGACGCGAGTCTCGCAATCATGCCATACGGTTAGAAAGACCTCTGGCAAGTCACGGGTTCCGAAAGCCGCAGACCCGTCGTTAAGGAGGAGCTATTGCCGCAGCCCTAGTGCCACTATAGCCGATCAGAGACTCCGAGCTATGAAGAATAGCGCTCGTGCATCGCCCCGGTTTGGATCATGTGTGTTGGGGAATGTCGTTGACTGGCGTTTTGGAACTCCGGTCATGAGAGGGTTGCGTGTAGTGTGATAGCGTAATCCATGCGTTGCCGACTTGTCATATTCAGAGCTCGGTTTATGCGTTTGTGGGAGGGGCGCCGCGGGCAATACTAGGTAGATGATAGGGACGGGTGGGATGGCGAGGATCATGATTAGTAGTATTTGCGGCGGTGGTTGAGGCATGGCTCAGAGTCCTAGATTTCGGTCTCTTCGTATCATTCTTATGTACCTATCACCATCAGTAATGGACTCGTTACTATTACAGGAGTGGCTTCTTCTTACCTGAACCTATAAAGTTAAGGTTTTCGATCGCTCAATAGTTGTCAGCAGATCTTGAAAAGGTGCTTACATTCTACAACGCCCATGGGCCTCGTACTTAATTGTGCTTAAAATGCATTGAATTGGTCTCGGTCAGTCTCAAGTCAATCAATGGCTCATCATTCTGTTGGCAGTAACTACCCAAGTAGTATCCAATATCATGCTCATTATTCGTTCACCTTCAACGAGAAGCTCAATTTCCCGGAATCTTGCTCTTATAAATACCAATAGATCACCACTTCTCAACATAAGGCCTCAGATCCAGCTCAAACCCAAATGTCGTACGCGGCTGTGTATGGAGATGCCAGTACGCATCGGCAATCTGTACACCAATCGTTAGCACAGGACACAACTCACTCCAGGCTCATGCAAATATCATCTAAAAGATAAAGGAGTCAACTTACAGCTCCGGGATCCAACTTCGCATCCTCATGCTCAAACTTCCACTCCTTCGTGCGCGGGATATCAATCACGCCGTCGATAATAACATGTGCGATATGCACGCCCTTGGGCCCAAACTCGCGGGCGAGAGACTGAGCCAGAGCGCGCAGGGCAAATTTTCCCGATGCGAAGGGAGCGAAGTTTGCGGAGCCCCGGACACTGGCTGTTGCCCCAGTGAAGATTAGGGTTGGTGGGTGGGGGAGTTGGCCCGTGGACTTTTGGAGGAGGGGGAGGGTTTGTTTGGCGAAGTTGAAGGCGCCGAGGCTATGCATAAGCATCAGTATCCCTTGTCATGTACTCTTCTAAAATGGAAGCAGACTGGGGAAAGTGGACGGGAATATACCCTTGACTCCGAAACCCGTTCGTAAACTCCTCCTCCGTAAGCTCAAGGAACGGCTTCCGCACGAAGCCACCACCAGAGTTGAATACCGCGGCCGCGAGCGGCGCGTCCTTGAATTGCTGGCTGATCTTGTCGAATACGGAACTCACGGCGCTCGAGTCCGACAGGTCAGCGCTGAGCCCGAGTGCAGTGCCGCCGGAGGTGTTGATCTCCTCGACGAGCGGGTTGTAGTTGTCAGGGTTGCGGGCAATCACAACGACGGAGTATGCTGCGGCAAATTTGCGGGCGACGCTTGCTCCCTTTTTGCATCGTTAGTCGACGTTCAAGTGAGTTAGTGTGTTGGGTGGGATGGAGAAGAGAACTGGGTGCGGGGTATGAGGGGATGTTGATGTCTTGACTTACGGTTCCGGGACCGACGCCGGCGATGATAGCGAGTGGTTTGGCGGCCATTGTGCTCTTGTTCGAAGATGAAACTCTACGTTGTAGAAGTTGGATAAGCGAGTCGATAAGGACGATAGAGTAGATCGATAGCTCCCAAGGTTGATGGTAGCTTCCTCATGCTGCGGGGTCCAGCTTTGGCTTTATATCTGCGTCACGACCCTCGTCGGAGCGATTGAGTAATCAGGTAATTGACAAGCATCGCGGACGATGTCGTCTTTTGATTTATAATCATTGCAGCACACGACATTGCGCGACGTGAGGAGAAAGGGTTGGAGAATCTGGTGCGGTGATGACAACATTTGTAGCCTAGGGATTCAGGCCACCAGCGAGGTGCCAAGGCGCCAAGGCAGAAATAGCAACTCCTATCGATAAGCTCCAGCTTTTTTTCTCCAGTCTCAAAGTCCGAACTCAACTCGAGCCATCGTCTCTTTACGCATTTATCGTCATATGCTGCTCTTTACTGCTCTTTATATGTACTATTTACCGTAATACTCATCATGTCCGAAGAAGAAACACTCCTCACGAACCTCTGCGCAATCTGGTACGTGCCGATTACCCCGACAAGCCCTCCATCTGAAGGAGAAGACCCTCACTAACACCCTTCTCCCCATCATCAGCCACCTCCAAACCCCCAAATACCGCTGTCCCCGCTGCAGCACACGAACCTGCTCCCTACCCTGCACACGCCGACACAAACTCTGGTCCCAGTGTTCAGGGATCCGCGACCCAGCCGCCTACCTGCGACGCAGCGAGCTCGCGACCGAATCCGCCTTCGACCGCGACTTCAACTTCATCACGGGGATCGAGCGACGGATTGAGCGTGCGGAGCGCGAGGCCGAGGATCGTGGCGTCGATGTTTCGGGGAAGAGGGTGAGGGATGCGGAGGTTGTGGGGTTGGAGCATGAGGTTGAGGAGGTGAGTCGAGATCGCGGTGGGAATGGGAATGGGAATGGGAGTAAGAGGAAGAGGGGGCCGGAGAGTGGGTTGAGTAGAGGGGAGGCTGGATTTGTGAGGAGGGCGAGGGAGAGCGGGGTGAGGGTTATTAAGGCGCCCGCGGGGATGAGTCGGGAAAGGGTTAATGGGTCGAAGTGGCATCATAAGTGAGTGTCCATGCTCTTGCTCTTTCGAGACATGTTGTGATGTATCGTGTCATGTTGTTCTGACGGTGGATTAGACAAAAGTGTTTACTCTGGACGGTCGAGTGGATTACGGACGAGGGAACGAAGAGATTCAACTCAGTCGAGACTTGTTCAGTTGCTGAGGCCTACGATCGGGTCTTCCCCCTATCGAAAGAAGAGAGGAAGGTTCACAGTGAGAATCAGTCGGCTACACAGGACGAAGACTCGGAAGACCCCACGCAAAAACCTGAATCCAGTACCTCCGAGATCGATCCCCAGTCAACATCCGAACCTTCAGAGACACAACCAACAGCTCATGATATCACAACAAACGCATCCGAAGACAAACCCACCCCCCACCGAAACATCTACCTCTACCTCCATCGCCCCCGAACCGCAACGAAACAGCAAGTCCTGGTCCCCCTCTCCCCGCGCACAACACTCGCCGACGCCCTCCGCGGCCGCACCGTTCTCGAATTCCCTACAATCTACGTTCTACGATCACCACTCGACGAAACGCGGTCGCAAGAACAAAACGATAAATTCATGCTAGAGAAGGAATATCTACGTACACATCCAGATACAGAGGAAGTCGACGACGGGCCAGAGGAAACAGATGCGCAACCGGTCTTTGGCGCCGTCGACATCCCGAACGTGGATGAGAGCAAGGTACTGGAGGTTTTGAGAAAGGATCTACTAGGCGCTGCGCCGGTAGATGGGTCGGAAGATTTGTGATTGGAAATGTTCGCTTTTTAGATAGATAGGATTACCTGTATTATATTTCGTGACATACAAACTCGCAATGAGAGATGCTGGGCATTACCTGAAGTATCTAGAACAGATCAAGTGGGGGTAGATCGGGGACTATATTAGGCGCGTTAGCGGAGGCTACCGGTGCGCATACGAAGTCAGAGCTCGGTCATTTGGCTGTACTCCGGTCGATGTCCACGAGGGAGGCGACGAGACGTCAGGTTACGACACGACACGTCCGGAGTGCAAACGCAATGTTCGATCGCTCGACAGTAAATGCTATGGTTCGGTCAACAAGGCTGCCCATTCATGGCTAAATCAAAGTGCGCCGATATACACCGAGAATGCAAAGCTGAAATGCAAAATCAAATCCCAAACAATCCGAAAATAAATCCCAAAAATAAAACTCCAAACAAATGCAGAAGGGTATCCTCTAAACAAGATCAATCCAAGACGCCTTATCAATGCTTGCCAAAGGTAGGGTATTCGGACGCCAGGATGCTGCGGGTCATAGTTCAATCACAAGTTCGCTGTACTGGAAGTTCAGCAGTCGAACATTTGTTGCAGTGGTACATCAAAGTCACAGCGTCATTGACGGTACCAGCGAGAGAGTAATGTGATCGGTGCCCTCAACGGGCTCGCTACCTTCACATTTGGCGGAAGGGTAAAGCAAGCTTGCGAAGAATCGGCAAATCACGAGTCAGAATAAGTTTGCAATGCGGACAGAGATGCTCGGCCACAAGGCAAGTAGACAACGTGGATGAACACGTTTGATCAAAAAGTTGAATATTGGCTGGAGTCCATTGCTAAGCATCAACCAAGTCGACACGTTGACGCGTTCGTCGTGCAAAACGTGGAGTGGCACAACCAAGATCATTGGTTCGATGTCATAGAAGACGAGAATGAGGTCAACGGTCAAATCGCTTGAAGAAGTTCATATCGACGCGTGGATGCTCATTGTCATTGAGTATCCGTCATCGAGTCCTTACGGACTGATTCATGGAGGGTGTAGGAATCACAACAGCAGTGTGAGAAGCGGTCGAATCACTTGAACAAGCTCACGTCGACGCACTAGTAGTACTAGAAGCAGTATCAGGAAAGGTAGGCTCTTCCTTCTCTGTTGGCTTCCGAGAGAGAGAGATGATTTCGGTGGGGACGGTGCTTTGAAACGTAGGGGCCTCCTCTCGTTCGCCGTGAGGTCCCTGAACAGGAACCCTCTCTGAGTGCGAGTTGGTAGGACTCATCTCCATACGCTCAGATCTGCTTGGCTTCAACTTGAGCCGGCCGCTCTCGACAGCTCGAAGCAGCGGGCCGAGCTCAGAAACAATGCCTTGCAGCTTGCTCATGGCATCATCTGAAATCTCAGAATGCGCGTTCCAACCAAGCTTATCAGACTCCTCAGAGGTGAGAGACTTCGAATCAATTGAAGGACCGCCAGTGATGAGCCTATGCAGGGCAGTGGGCGACAGCTGGTTGGGTCGACGAGCCATCTTCACGGGCTTTTGCTTTGAGCTCGAGGACACGGAAGCAACATCCTCCTGTTGACGCTTTGGGGGCCTCTGTACAGGGGAAAGAGGATTATCTCCGACTTCATTGCGGATTTTGTAGTAGACAAGACCCAGCGTAGCGGCGAGCGCTTGGTGTGCGGCTTCTGGGTAAAGACGTACAGCTTCTGCGCGGGAGAGATTGGATGGGTAGTCACTTGAGTCGCTGGAGTCGCTATCGGACGCGAACATGCCATCATGGTGCATGCGGCCCCAGTATTGGTAGCCACCGAGTTCGTAGAAGTCGGCCAGCTGTTGGAGGCGGTTGACTAGATGTTGTTAGAAGGGCTGGGATGGAAGTCATTTATCTTGACTTACGCCTACTGCGTTTTTTCAAACACCAGAATCTCCAAACTGTTTTAGGGAAGTATTCCGGCCAGCGCAGGGTTCCGTCCTCTTCGACCATGGGAACAGAGGTGATAGGTGCGTGAGTGGTGTGAGCGAGCGAGTTGAAGCGAACCCGTTCTGAATGCTTCATGCGGGATTCAATCAGAGAAAACCGTTCGAAAACCTTGTTGAGATGACGGGAAGTTTCGTGCTGGAGCGTGATGAGATCGGTGCGTAGCTGACTGATGGTCGAGTGCAGCTTGCTGATTTCGACCCTGCAACCACAAACATCGGTCTGCAGATGCTCGAGCTCCGCTTGGATTTGGTCAACGTTCTTGGAAAGGCGGTCGACGTCACTGCGAAGGAACACTGTCTCGTTGGCGGCTTGTCCCAGACTCGATTTCAACTGCAGGATCCCCGACTTCAACTGATCAACGTCGGTTCTCAGGCCAACGACGTTCAGGTCGATCCTGTTACTGATAGAGCGGTGGGCTTCAAACTCCCGACGAACATGTTCATCCTCACGGTTCCGGCGGTCAACATAACCATCCTTCGTTAACACGGTGGAGCGGAGTTCGAGCAAGCGAGAGTCGATCAGGGTAAGGCGGTCGTGGATGTGGGAGAGCGAGGATTCGGAGAGAGGGGTGGAGGCTTCATGCCGAAGGGAGATCATGGGTGAGAGAGGCATGGAGATGCTAGAGGTGCGAGAGAGGCTTCGTTCGAGTGTGGCGGTCATGATGAAGTGCGTGGTATGATGACGGTACGGTTGTGGATGCTGGATATTTAATCATAGTCTCTAGCAACAGCTTCCTAGGTCCATTTTGACGGTAGTACGAGGGCGGTATTGATAGATTGACGAGGGTTGTGAAGCCGAATTGGGGATGAAGGTGGTGGTGATGGTGAGGCAGAATGAGTGCAGAATGGGTGTCAGCGGGTTTGAGGGAGGGAGGGAGAGAGAAGGGTTGTGGGATCAAAGGGAGAAGAAACAGTGCCAAGAGCCCTACGCCACGCCCCCTCTTTCTTCCACTAGCGTGGATGACCACTTGGCCCCAATGCAGCACAACAACACGGTCGGCCCAAATGACCACACCACATCTCATCCTTGCTCATTCCACACAACTCTTGTATCATCATGAGTCTCTCGGACTGAGATTCGGCTTTATTGGGATTTATGTTATTCCCTCTTTTATCGCAAAATTACCTCACTTTGGGCGGCAATGAGTGAAGTTCTTGTGATGCTCGAAAAAAGGCTGCGTTACAGTACTCGATACAGGGCGGTGACAATACAAAGACACGGCAAGCCCACAGCAACCCATCGTCCGGGAAAGGCTTAGCTCAGAATGTGAGGTCTCAAAAGAGCTTAGCGCAAGCTCCGTGTTCAGGTGAGCACACCAACTCCCAATCAACAGAGATTCTCGGCTTATCGCCAGGATGTCGCCACCAAGGGTGAGACGATCCTTGAATGTCCGATTGGCTTACAGAAATAACGAAGGTTCCGCTCGAGCGTCATCTTGTTGGACTCTGGCTTGTAATCATGCATGTGTCTCCCGACTGTCTTGGTATTACAGAATTTGTGAATTATCGCCATGTTGGAGGCTGGCCGAGCTTCCCTGCCTAGACATGAATCATGTTGACGCCATCTCTAACAAGTCGCGCTGGTTCGGGAGAACAGCATTTCGCAGCCTTGCTAGCACAGTCGAATCGAATCCCCAGTCACCTACCCATTGTGCCATGCCCCAGCCTTCTTTGAAATGACCCGCCAGGTGGTCTGCACGCGCCGTCCAGGTCGGGAGAAGGGATGCGCAGAAGCCGCAACGACTCTGAATTTCGCTCTGAGATGCGCGCCAGGCGTCGAGATCAGGGACAGGATACCGGGTACATCCATGGAATTTTCGAAGGTGCTGCCACAGATAGTCTTTGCGGCTGAAAGATCGTTCTGTTAGAGGCTTTGTCGCACAGTCTTGGAAGTCATGGGTGTCCCAGTGCTCTGGAGTCGGAACCTGATGATCGCAAAATCTGCATTCCACAAAAGGCGCCTGTGTAGATTGGAGTTCGCCGAGATTCGGTGTGCAAACCCAAACTTCCAGCGGGAGATGAACGCTCTTCTCATGTCTAGACCAGTCATGTTTCTTCTTGAATGATTGCAGGCAAAATGTGCACTGATATCGCCCATCTTCCGAGATGCGCTTCCGCCCTCGTCGACCCGTTGACGGTCGTCTAGAATATGGTCTGGAGCGGATAGGCCCATCTCCGGACTTATAACTCCACGCTGAAGAACTGCTATCAGACGTGTCGGATAGTACACCAAAGCTTGACCGGGACGATGCCAGTGACGACCCCTCAGAAGAGACCCCAAAATCAAACTGGCTCGGATGAGGTGAACCCTCCGGGCACGCCGATGTGGAAGCGATAGCATCTTGAATCGCTGCCTCGGATACCGGCTCCTCATCCGGCGGTGACGCTTGCCAACGCTCCATAGGAGTCATCAAGGCTGTATCGCTCGTTGGCATAGGCGAACCGGCACGAAACACGCGAGCAGATGATCCGACCTGCCGTTGTTGCTTATACCGGCGACGGGCATTGGCAAACCAAGTTGAGATCCGCTGTCTTGAGAAACCCGTCTCTTCTGCTAGACGAGCTTTCTCTTCCTCGGATGGGTAAGGACAGTCTTCGTGTCGGTAGAACCAGTCGCGTAATACCCGAGCACCTTTCCTCACAAACTGCTTCGTCTCCTTAGACTCGGGTAACTGCAAACTTCCTGTGTTCAGTTCCGAGTTGAGACATGCCTAATTTGTATATTAGCCCACTTCCAGCTGCTAGAGCCGTCAGCACCTACATTTCCCTCCGCCTCCTCGGGCAGACCATGAAGATGCCCCATCACCGGAGTAAGCGTCTCAAACCTCGACGCCTTGCGTTTCTCTCCGCGACCAAAACTACATGGCCGGAACAATCCAACACAACTCGAACAAGAAGGTACTGGGTTCGGGTTATCAGGCGTCCGTCGCAAGATAAGACACTGCAATCGATGTCTGCGACAGTGATCGCACGGCTTTAGCGGCCGATACGCCCCGTCTAGCCACTCGGCAACATTATTGAAGTTCGACGGCAGTATAGGCGCATTCCCCATCTGGTTCTGCGAAAAGACTGCGTCATGTTGACTGAATATAGGTGGTTCTCTGAAGACTTCCTCGCCTCCGAGAAACGGTGTCGGTGACGGCTCAGTAGAATTCAGAGAGTCGAGTGTTGACCAAGATGTTCGATCTTGAGCAAACCCCGCATTAATCGCCTGATTACCGTAAAACGCCTCCCAATCGAAAAATATATCCTCATCGACTCCAGCCGGACACAAATCGCCTGGCGATGCATGTGCCCCACGTTCCCCCTCAAAGTGTGCCTGTTGCAGCGAGTCGCTAGGCATGCGGGGTAACCGTCCTTGGTCCTCCATTTCAGCGGTTGCGGAGTGTCGACCGAAGATTTCAGTGTCCGCTAATACTCCAAGGATAGTGGGCGAGGCGAGACTCGCTGATATTCCCAGAATTTTATCTGGTTCACTCGCCTTCAATTCGACCAGAAGATGTGGATGACTCATCATTTTGCCTCAGGCCGCGACAGCCTATCGGGCCCGTCGGCCAATCAGTGTGAGCGGTTAATTCTACACTTGCATCGGCCTCTTCCACTAACTCCCCAGCCATCCAACACTTACTGTGCAAAAGGTCAGCTTACGCTATGCACGACATGCGCTTATCGCAGGGTTCATGATGGAATGTATTGAAATCTAGACTTTCAATCCAACAACTGGCTCTGAATCGACTGAAAAGACCTAACTATCGCAACCAAGACGACACTATATACTCCCAGAACACTATAATGACTGCACACTACCTGACTCAAGCACAGAAATCCCGGATCAACTTCGTAAACGTCTTCTGCATCTTCTTCAAACTCTCAACCTCAACCCACTCCTCCTTCCCATGAAGCCCATGCCCCGAAGGCCCGAACACCACAGACGGAACCCCGGCCTCACTCAACAACGCCGCATCGCACCAGAACGGCACACTCTGGACCGGAGGATGACTGCCCATCGCTTCAGCCGCACATTCGGCGACCTTGCTGATGAGAGGGTGGTCAGAGTCGATCTTATGAGCCGGTCGAGTCAGTGTAGCCTTTGGCTCGGCGAATCTAAACCGTGGGTTCTCTTTCTGAATGTTTGCTAACAAGGCCCGGATATCGCCTACAATCGACTCTTCTGTCTGGCCGGGGACTGTCCGGAACTCGACTGTGACTGTGCATTTTGCCGGGTAGGAGGATGCTTCCTCTCCACCTTGGATGAGACCGCAGTGTAGCGTTGCAGGGCCGAGGACATCGTCGACTGGTAGACGCTGCTGGTACTCCTCGAGAGCCCTCAAGAACCAGCCAGTATGGAGGATAGCATCTACCCCCTCGACATGGTTCGAGCCGTGCGCAGCAACGCCCAAAATGCTCACCTCAACCCAAACGAAGCCCTTGTGAGCATGCGCAATGACGCCCGAGGTAGGCTCAGGGACAACAGCGGCATCCGCCCTCCAGCCCGCAGCGATCAGGTCCTGTGTCCCTTGAGACGCATCCTCTTCGTCGGAGACCGCGGCGACGATAACGTCGCCGCTCAGCGGGAAGCAACTGGCTTTAGCGGCGGCGACGGCAGCGAGCGCAGCTGCAAGTCCGCCTTTCATGTCGAGACTTCCTCTTCCCAGGACAACCTCCTGGCCGTTCCTTGTATCTATAGTGCCGGAGAGTGGATCCTTTTCGTAGCTCGCTAGGCTGACTGTGTCGATGTGGCCGTTAAACATTAGTGACTTTCCGCCGCCTGCTCCTCGTAGGACTCCGACAATGGAGGGTCGGCCGGGGAGAGTCTCGATCCGGTGAGTTTCCATTCCACGGTGGGCGAACCATGCGGCGAGATAGTCGCAAATTTGGTTCTCTCCTGCGCCGTCTGCGAGGGATAGTGTGGGGTTAGAAGAGTTGATTTTCGTGAGCATGCTTGTCAGCTCGACGGCACCGTCAATGGAAACATCGAAGGGGATCGGGTACTCTCGAGGACCCTCCGTACTCAAAAGAACCACAACAGAGTCCTTGTTGAGGCAGGAGCCTTCCTCCGCCGCGAGACGCTGCACAGCTGCCAACGATGCAGCTCCACAGGGGCCAGCCGTGATCGACTGTGACGCTAGATACTCAGCCGCACGGTGAGCCTCGTAGCATGAGACAGTAACGCTAGCATCAACAAGACGCTGTAGGTTCGGCCACGCAGTAGTCGAAACAGTTCCACAGTCCATTCCATCCATAATCGTCCTCGACGTCTCAATAGGCGTCAGCTCACCAGCAAGCAAACTCGCCTGCAAACACGCCGCAGTATCCGGCTCAACTGCAACAACAGAAATCGGTGTCTCGCGCGACTTGCAAAATGTCGCAACCGTGTTCGCCAGACTCCCAACGCCAACTGGCGTAACCATCATCGTCGCCTCAAGACCCATCTCCGCCAACTCTGTCTCAACCTCCGTCATCATAGTCCCGTACCCCTCAACAATCCACGCCGGAACCTCCTCGTACCCTTCCAGCGCCGTATCCTGTATCAATAGACCCCCATCAATCTCCTGCGAAACCTTCCAAGCCTCCAAAACAGCCTGATCATAATCCCCATGCACCGTAACAATATCCGCCCCCTCCCCACTAATCCTCCCCCTCGTCGCGAGATCCATAGACTCAGACACAAAGATCCTTGCCTCAATGCCCAGAATCCTCGCCATAGACGCAACAGCCCGTCCATGGTTCCCCTTCGTCGCCGCAAGCAATACCACGCCCCTCTCCTTCGCCCGCGCAGCCATCTCCTCCAGCGCCACGGTCGTTGGGAAACTTAGGAACGCCGCGACCGCGCGATATGTACCCCATGACGCGCCGAGGACTTTAAAGGAGGGGAGGTTGAGCCGGTTACTCTCGTCTTTGACGAGGACGGCGCGGACGCCGAGGGCAGTTGCTAGGGAGGGGAGAGGGGTTAGTGGTGTTGGGGTGTAGCCGCTGAGGGACTGGTGGAATTTGGTTAGGCCCTCGACTGCGGGGAAGGTGCATTTTTGGCTTGATACGCTGGGGTTGGTGTAGATTGGGCGGCGGGAGGTGGACATTTTGGTGGTGGGTTCTGGGGGTGTTAGTATAGAGACTGGTAGAGGACAAGGGGACAACGACGTACTGCGGAGAGTGGAAAGGAAAAAGAGACGGCTCAATCCAATGGGTAAGTGGCAATAATTGAGGACAAGTAGAAAGAGAATGAGTGAACATGAAGAGCGAACAAGGCTGAATACGTACCTTAAGTCTGAGTCTTCAGCGACGCCTTCCGACAACATCAAGCAGAAAGAACCCACTTGGACCACACGATAACGTAAAACGGTAAATGATCGGCTCCTGTTCGGCTTTCTATGATGTCTCTGATTAAGAACGAGAGTTATCGGGTTGCGCTTGTTGGGAGAAGAAAGAAATTGATCATAAAGTCGGGAGCTGTGGTTCTCGATATATACTGGCGCGAGCTGCCACTCCAGGACTCTTTTTCTTGACAACTTTGTCTATTATTACGCAATGAAAAAAAACCAAACTTACATACCTCTCTCAATGGATTGAAACATAAATGAGGTAGGGCAATTTTTCTAAGAAAATCGATTGGTGTAGACAGCTGATGAACTTATCCATATACCCACCGACGCTGGTTGAGCAGCGGATTTCAGGGCAAACGTTGAGGTCTGCAAAAGTGAATGCGGGGGAAGCCGTTTCCCCATACAAACTGGGCTGAATCTCCAAAACAACCAAACAACCTCGAAAATACTCAGAAAGACCGTTGACATACGGCAAAGTCAGGGTACGACTGATTTAAGCATTTTCAAATGCGAAAGAGCCTCCATCGCACCTTCCTCGCCATGCTCTGCTTCCCCGGCCTACTAACACAACTCACACGAGCACCAGCCATGAAGCCTCAACCCCAACTCATGTCGCTCTTTACTCAAACCCTATCGATACTCAATCCCTTATCCATTACCAATGGCGAGACTCATTCTCTCGCTCCTCCCTAGTCTCTCCCTCGTCGCATCCTCCGCCGCTTCGGCCCTCCCACCCACCACCACAACCCCGAACATCGAACCGCGAGTCCCAAGCCACTACCCCTGCGACTGCTTTCTCGTCTCCGGCCCCAACCCCGGCTACTTTACAGATTACAAGTTCTGGGACTTCCGCAGCGTCCCTCTCCCCTACAGCCTCAACCATGGCGCCTACAGCGCGGCCACCGCAGATGTCTGGGAAGCGCAGACCGTCCCGCTCTCGCAATCTCCCTTCAAGACCGACTGGCAAGCTCAGTCCTGGAGCCGGCACAAGACACTGGATAGCATCGTGCCCATGGTCAACTCGGACCTGAACGCCTTCTTCGCGGGCCACCCGCAGATCCCGGATACCAGCCAGCTGGTGCTCCGCACGACACGTCTTTCGAACTATTCGTCCACCGCCGAGATTGAGAGCCTGCAGGGGAACTTCTATCGCTGCTCGCTTCGAATCCGCATGCGGCTTATGTCGCGGGATGCGATCTCGCACTCACCATTCGAGCCGAGTCCAGATGACGATCAGGTGCCCAAGGGTGCTTGCGCGGGGATCTTCACGTATCGCTCAGCGACCTGCGAGTCGGATCTGGAAATCTTGACATCGGATCCCGCGAATACCGTTCACTATGCGAATCAGCCGGACTATGACCCTATCAACGATATTATCATTCCCAACGCCAGCGACGTCGTCACGACCTTGCCGTCTCCGTGGTCGTCGTGGATTACCCATCGCATGGACTGGCTCTCGAATTCCACGACCTGGTACGTTGACGATCAGCTGCAGGCAAACATTACCTACCGTGTACCGGATCGGCCGAGTATTCTCGCCCTGAACCTGTGGAGCGATGGCGGGATCTGGACCGGGGATATGAAGATCGATGAGAGCGTGTACATGGGAATTGAGTGGATAGAGATTGCATTCAACACATCGACGGCCGGCGTTCCCCCAATCGAGCACAATCAGAGGCAACACCATCGACCGTGGAAAAGGGAGAGGAGGAACTCCAATGGGAAACGACAGCTGTCGGGCGATGACGCTGCCTCGGGGAGGTGCGAAAGACCGTGCTACTTGGATAGAATGCAGTATTATTAGCAAGCATAGTCATCGTTACTCGCGAATCAATGTTTACCAGTCCAAGTTTGGTCATGATATGTCCTTGATTGTAAGCCTGTGAGGCATTGTATGTACATGAGGCGGGGCGGGACGCCATATGATGCCTTGTGGCTTGTGGCACATGGTGTTTTGGGGATATGGCGTCCCGCCCCAGAACATAAATGTAAGTTGTAGAGCTCGTTATATACATGATGGGGGCGGGACGCCCTTTGACATGAAGTGGCATATGGGAACATGGAAGCGTTGGGCGTCCCGCCCTCGAAAGGAAGCATGAAAAGAGACTTGTATGTACATGGGGGAGGACATGATGGGGGCGGGACGCCAGCCAGGTGTTGGTTTTGTGGCATGAGGTGTTTTGGTGGGTTGGCGTCCCGCCCCCGGGGAGAGGCATGAAAAGATCTTGTACATGAGGAGGACATGGAGGTTTCCGGGGCGAGGCGCCCAAAGAGAGAAGGATACATGAGTGTGGCGCCCCGCCCCAGAAGGAAACATGTAAAAAGGCATGAGCCGAAGCTCGGGGTATCTTCAAAGCACGAGAAAACCCACCACGCTATGCAATCGAGAAAAGGAACGAAATGGAGCTCTCCAACACCCCAAAAAGATCCAAAAACGCCAAAAAAAAACCCCCCCCCCAAAACAAGAACGGTGGCCCCAGAGATAAGAATAGGGACGATAACAATAGGGGGTATAGAATATAGGGAATAAGAATCAGGGAAACAAAGAAACCAAAACGAAAAACAAAAAAAAAAAAAAAAAAAAAAAAAAAAAAAAAAAAAAAAAAAAAAAAAAAAAAAAAAAAAAAAAAAAAGCACCCCAAAACCAAAGAAGAAAGAATACGCCTTGCTATGCGAGTCTTTTCAAATCATTCGCTCAATCAAACACACAAAAAAAGAAGAACAAAAAAACCGTCACCGAGCAGAGTTGAAGTTTGTTTGTTTCAAAGTAAAGTCTCTCCAGCTTCGTCGACTGGGTTGAAGTCGCCTTCGAACCCGCCATTCATGAGCTCCGCCACAATCTTCTTTCGCAGCAAGGTAGTGTTGTTGGCGCCGTACGCCATCGGCTCAATGTCAAGGGCAACGGCTTTCGCAGTTGAGAGTAAAAAGACGCCACAGTCGCTCCCATTGTCCTGCTGGGGAGAGACAGAAGGGAGTACAGTCCACTCGTCCTCGTCGAATTTCTCGCCGAGTTCTCCACGAAGCCAAGTCTTGATGATTGCGATGTGACGGCGAGACAATGAACCGAGGGAGTCAAAGTTCTCAAGGGTCCGATCAGATGGCTTCACAACAATCAAAGTCCAATGAGAATTGTTATGAACCGGGACAAAGACGGTATCAACATTCAAAAGGTTGTCCCCTCCGATCTTAGCTCGACTGGCCCAGCGTCGAACAGACTCGTAGCCCTTGTCTCGGAGGTTCGAAAAGAAGAAGGAATTAAAGGCATGGAACCGAGGCTTGTCATGGCGTCCAGCGTTTCCATGAGTCCGGCGTAAGTAATCGATGATCAGGGCAAGATATGAATTGATCACCTCGTCGTTCAACCATTTCAATGGAGTAAAGCAAGTTTCCAAGTCTTTCTTCGTAAGAGGATCGCCAGAAAGCGTGGTAGCAATCTTGCGATTGGGCGGAAGGCGCATGGCTTCCTCAACACGCGATTCCCATTTTTCCGAAAGGGGGCGCACAGCTGTACCCTCAGGCCGGATCCTGGTAGGACCTTCGTCAAGCTTCTTTTGTTCTTCAATCTCCTTGAACTCATCCGCGTAAATAGACTCAGTCCGACCGGGTGGAAGGGGTCTCGCGACAGGGTAAAAGAGGCTGACAGCTGACACGGGTCTTCCAAGAGGGAAGTCCGCCGGCTGGTTCCAGGGGTCCGCCAACGGCGCTACATCGACGGTTTCAGCATGTTCGTTAGTTAGAATATCGTCAACAGGTTCAACAGAAGTAACAATGGTAGGCGGAACATTTTCCTTCTGTGCAACAGGGGCTTCACCGGCAGCCTTGGGCCTCTTAGGCTGTTCAGAGACGGGCGGCGACGGGCGCAGATGTGGTGCAAGCTCAGTCATGAGTGCTTGTCGAGGCTGGCCAGGGGGTGGAGTCACCAGCGGCTCCCTGAATCGAACACTCTTCAAACTCACGGACTTCTTCTTCGAAGACGGTTTGGCGTCAGCATTGTCAACCGGAACCACGGTCGCAGTAGGGCGTTCGCCGTGGACGGGTCGTGTCAAGAAGCGATCTGGGGACTTCTCTATCTCAGCAGTAGTTCGTCGGAACTTTTCCCAATCCCCAGTTTTGAGAGCTTCATCGACAGCACGTAGTAAGTTGCCACGCCCATGACGCGTCTGAAGCAAGCGCGCTTCAGTATACTTGCTCAACGGGCCAATTCTGGTTGACTTTGGCTTTGGCTTGTGAACACCGGACGCAGAAGCCATCGGTCCTGGTAGTTGCATAGGCTCTGGTGGTGGTGGCTTCTTCAGGATCGAAGTCGTGCTAGATTTCGTAGCAGACTTGGTTGTAACAGCCTTGTCTCTAGCTGTGGTGATTGGTGCATCCATCCTCTCGCTTGGATGATGGACAATCCCTTCCAAGACGGAGTCCGCAATGGATTCCATAGAAGGCTCGGTTGTAGCTGCAGTAACTGGTTTAAGCACCTGTCCGCTCGCATGATGACCGTGCACTTCCAAGATTGAAGTGGTGTCGGACATCGCAACAGGCTCAGCTGTACGTGCGGTGGCTGGCTCAATCACCTGTCCGATATGATGATGAAGATGATGAACGTTTTCGGGTTGCGGCACAGCGATGGGAGAAGCAGACATTTGTGGAGTACCAAGAGCTACTTCAGGGAAGGGATATTCCTCTATGATCGGATAACCTCTGTCTCTCCGCCATTGGTTGGCCCTGATTCGTTGTTGCTGCTCCGGTGACAAAGTTCTGAGGATCGCACGAGCTGGTGAGTTCCTCGAGTTTGGGGAAGTACGACGTACAGGACGTTCATGACGTCCACGACGTCCACGAGGTTCAAAATGATTCCAAACATTCTGCCCAATATAGCCAGCATATTCGAGCGCACCCTTGAATGCATCTGCCATGTTTTGGACGATCCTATTCTGGAACACACGCTGAAGAGAGGCGTAAACGGAAGCATAATAAGTATGCCAGGCGGCTACAGGTGCCTGTGCGTCTGGAACAGGGATCATGTCCTCAATCTGATCTTGATCAGTGTCCATTGCATTGGCACCTTCAGACGACGGGCTCTGCGGTAGGGTGGAATTGTGAGGGAGGACAGGAAATGGCGGAACTAGAGCTCCAGACATCATTGCCCCCTCCATGATGATATCCTCATCGGACTTGGCATAAGGAGACGACGCTGTCACAGGCGACACAGGCACAGAGGAGGGGGTCGGCCAACAACCGGGCATATGACCCTTGGATTCCCGGGTGTTGACTTGTGTGTCTCGGCCATTACAGAGAGGAATGTCGACGGCCATCAAGTTTGAATTCGAGCTCAGAGACTTGGTAGGTGTAAGCGATTTGCTGGGTGTGGAGGTGGTAAAGACGCGCCGAGAGGGCGAAGGAGAACGAACTGGCTGTGCAAGACCGGCAGCAGACGGATTCATGTTCCCGCTGGGGATGCCGAGCCCGTCTGCACTTAGGCGGCGGTACTTCGAAGACATCCCAGAGCTTCCAGTCTCAGTTGAAGGCTGCGAGTGGTTGTGTTGCGCTTCAATATCGATTGTGCGCTTTCGTGAATAATATCCACGTGCGAAAGGCGAGAGATCGTCAGACACAGCAGCCGGGCCAACAGGACTGCCGAACTCGTCGACACTTGAGCGACGACGGTGCTTCGAAAACAATCCAGAGCTACCGTTCGGAGTTGAATGTTGGGCGGAGATGTTCTGCGCTTCAATATCACCAGAACGCTTTTGTGAAAAAGATGATTGATTGGTGGAGACAGACGTCAAAGAGTCAAAGCTATTTGCCTTTCCGTCCTCGGTAGACTTCTGCGAGTCAAAGCTGCTGAGGGAGGAATCGCGGCTTGTGTTTGCCCTTTGGCTTGAAATTGCCTTCTCAAACATCGATGGCGTCGATTTGCCATATCTATAGGGACGATCGTAAACCGAGCGGCCGAAAGTCGTGAGGCCTGTCATCGCAGACCGATTTGTTCCAAGCGAGTTGCTGGACAGAGGCTTGTAGATATTGTAGTTGTCGAAAAAAGGCTTGTTCATCACGCCACGAGTGTTGAGACCTTTGCTCACAGTGCTGTAGCTCAGAGGCTTTCGAACATCGAACTCGCCCTCTTTGGCGCGGCGAAGAGTCCCGTTGTTTTGCGCCTGGAGAGGCTTGCTCTTTCCTTGGGGCGAAAAGCGGAAGGTCGGGCGGACAGGTCCAATAGGCCTCATAGCCGCCTTCAGTTTCGGGGGAACTTCGCGCGTCGAGAGAGGGGGTGGGTTCGCGAGGTAGGCGTTAGAACCAAGCCACGGTTCGAAATTGTTCTGCTCACTTGGAGACAGAGTGAAGAAGGGAGTGGGTTGGGGTTGAGCATTGATGTGCATGGGATCAAATGAGGCATCTCGAGCCACCTTGGGAGACTCGTTCTCAGCGAGAAGGCCTGCGTCCATCATGGGCACATCGTCCGCTTCAGGTTGTTGGGTCGTAAGGTTGTTCATCGTGCAGTCGTTCTGCTGGAACTGCTGCTGGGAGGATTCGAACGGATGAGAGAACATTTCGAAGAAAGGCGATATGCGCGACAAATACGAACAAAGCGCTGAAGGTCGAGAGTAAAAGAGGAGTGCGAAAGAGAAAGAAGCAGGAAAACAGTGAAACAAAAACACTGGATGCAATGAACTAACACAAATTGAATCGCAGTCACTTTCCAGGTGCTGGGTGCATATCGTATGAAGTGATCAAGATCGCTAGAGTCGCTGTAAGTACTGAATTCTCCATGAGAAAAAGCGCTGTTCCGACGATTGTGTTGGTGGGGGAAGAAGGGAGGAGAGAGAAGTGAATGATGGAGGAGCAGCAGAAGGTCAACGCGGGAAGTGAGCGAAGAGAGAAAGAGCGACTGAATTCAATGGATGAAAGCGGGAAAGCGCGATCTAGATAACGCTAGTCCACTTATGGAATATGGTCAGTCACGTGCGCACCTCGTCAAAGGTCCCGACAGTCCGAGCGAAGAAAAAGCAAACGAATTACGAAAAGAATCCAAGTGTATGTATTCAGCAATCTCGTCAATCTACACATTATTATGTCAGACAAAATTTATGTACCCAAAGCATCGCCCCGCAACCTATTCTACAATGGCTCGTGGGCTCAGCCTGCTGAACCAAGGAAGCAAAAACGCTAACTAGGCATGAGTCCTATCTTCTCAAAGAGGACCGATGCGCCGTCAATGGCAATCCAGGCAATTCCTGCGTAATCCACATTAGCCGAAGGAAGTTCGAGCCGAAAGGGAGATATAACTAACCGCAATACACAACCAGCTTCGTGACTACTTCCACATCGTATCGCACACGAGGACGCTTGACCTGAGCAAACAGCTTCACCTCGTCATGCTCGTCTATAAATTCAGGGAACGGCTCCATGCCAGACGATTGAGATGCAACCTCGATAGCATTTGTCCCCGTTCCCATCATGTACTCGTACTCGTCCAACTTGGACGGCTTTCTCGACAGCCTATGGACAGCGGCTCCAGAGCTTGAGCCGTCCTCGTTAATAGAGTCAATCGCGGGAGATCCCCGGTACGGACTGGAAAGACTATCCCGTCTGCGCTTCTCGCGATATGCCAAAGTCTCATAGGCGTCCGCTTCGGATTGTGGTCCGATAGATACCGCGCGTCGTCTTGGGTGACGGATGTTCGTGATAATCCCAGGAATGTCAGAGAAGCTCGGCAGTACATCGTGGTCCTTCAATTGAGCAGGGACCGTCGTGTATTGCCTTTTGAATATATATTAGCTAGTCACAGTTGCAGACAGTTATGGAGGACATACGAAGCTTTGGTGAAGAACCGACGAGGGAGGAGCAATCCCAATTTCTCCAATCCGCGAAATACCGGAGGCAGAACGCGCAGCAGGGATGGTTTCATGATTTCCCTCCAAGCGAAGATCAAGAGAACACCAATCACCAGGCGGAGACCCATTTGCGCCCAACTTATCTTCTCATAGGTAGAACGAGGAAGGGTCGAAGGGTGGGGAGTATCCCAATTCGCGTTGGCTCGGGCGATGTTCCAGTATGCGATCTGGGCCCCGATCGTTACTGCGGCAAAGGCGACACTGTCATCGAAGCATGGACAATCGTCTGCGGGCTCCGGATGAATACGGACAAGAGCCAGGATGATGAGGACAACAAGCGTAACCTGTTTCCCGCTCCCGGAATGGACGTACTGATCGATTGGCGACTCGAACGTGTAATGCAGGACCGCCAACAAGACTCCCAGCGCGGATCCGATGAAGACGTCGAAGAACCCATGCATTCCACAGTATAAACGGCCCACCACGATAGACGCCACATATAGATACGTGATGACTCGAATGAATAAAGTTACATCAGGACTGAGCGTCGACTCCGGGGACTTCAACAGATGGAGTACGTATACCGCAACGGATACGGCGTTTGTCGAGTGAGACGAAGGAAACCCGTACTCCAAGGCCGCGGAGCCAGACATTGTGATTCGCTGCAGTGGAGGGGATAGCGGCCGGGGGAGGCAGAGGAGATCCTTGATGAAACCGCTGAAGAAAATGCCCGAAGCAAGCATATGTACCATCCTAAGCCAGAGCACTAACATTAGCCTCGTCTGATTCATGCTTTGAGACTCGGGGCCTTTAGGTTTGCGCATTGAGGTACCAAAGTCACTTACGCGCGTCCCAAACTTGGAAATCCGCTCCAAAACAGAATTGGGAGGAAGACCATGTAGAAAGTGTGGGTGCCGAGGTTCGCTGTGAATGCGAAGTACGAGTCCAGCGCTGGTGTGCGAATCTTCTCCTGAAACCAGGCAAGGTATGGAGTCTCATATCGGATCAGCGGGAGAAGCTTCTGTCGGGGCCAGTAACGCCAATGGGGAAGTTGGTTTTTGTCTAGCAGAAGGCCACCACAGCGTCAGCTTCGCGTTTGGCATCGCAAGAAGGTGAAGAGTATGCGCACAATGATCTAAACTTCTCAGCCCGGCGTCCGGCTGGCCCTCCACTGGCTTCCCCATGTTGTCAAGCGGCGGTTTCTATCACGGTGGTGCGCCAGTCGTAAGTCTTTCCATGAATTGCTCCTTAGGCATGCCCTCGCGAAGGATGAAGAGGGTCGAGCACCAAGAGAATATTCTTTCCGAGTTGCCAACACCACCCCCGGAGGTGAAAAGCGAAAAGAAAAAAGGAGAGAAACAATTGTTCGCGGAGAAGACAGAATCGAGACTGTAGAACGAAATGCCGCGGCGTTGAGGAGGCGTCTGTCTTGGCACTCGTCAAACACTCTGACCGGTGCGCTTAGTCATCCATTTTCTTTGCCCAATGGTTCGCACTCCAAGGGTGCAGCTCCTCGAACTTTACCAGAATGCATTCATAATATGAGTACGCGCATTGAACTCAAGCGTGTCTTCTTCCTGTTTTAGTGTGTTATAGTGTGACTCTGCCGCGTTGTTGTGTTGATGCCAGGTATACTGGCACCAGACTCGTCATGTCCGACGTGTAACTGAAATGCCCACTCATGTTCAGAGAGATGAGACATTAAGATTCTATAATATTACCTAAGGTAGACCTCTTGTGTGCCTTAATATTGGGTCCAGCATCACCTACATGTGGCTAAAGGTTTGTTGTAGCTGTCATCACAATTGAAAGCAGATGTATATATTGGTGCGGGTGCTCTCGACAATGCCCGCAAGGTCGCCTGGTAACCTCGGCATTTGACTTGGGAGACAATTCTACGAAAACAAGTGCAATTCTATTCAAAATAGTTACTACGGAGTACTTACAAGAATGGCCTAGTTCTCATGATGTGCAAGGGAGAGATCAATGTCTCGGCAACATCCAGTGTCTTGACCAGTGGTTTGTAAGGAAAACAAGGAACAAGATCTGCTCATCCTCCTTGCCGAAGCTCTGCGGCCAAAGACTGGCTGTTTCTGATCCCGTGGATCGCACGGATCACGATCGGACGCAATCCAGGCACTGACGATAAACATTGACTTGATTCCGCGATCAAAGTGGGCAAGATGAGATCATGGCGGGCGCTTGGAGACGGGGCGAGACCGCGAGAGGGGAATGCGACGCGCCGTTTCACAACAACAGTGCGGGCCAACCAAGGAAGATTTCGAGGGAAATCTGGATGAACCTGCTAAAAATAAGTGGATGAGGGGATGATGTCCAAGGCTAATCAACGGCAGATTGACTGAAGCGAACTTGGAGAGTGACAGTGGGGAGCTGAAGCTCGTGGTGGGTGCGTCATTCTGGCTCCGCTGGTTGCCATGGCATCCCTCCCACCCGTAAACATCTGGGTTTCAGGTCAGCCTCACTCTCACGCTCAAAGACCATTGTGCACAGAGACCCTCGATCTTGCCACCACTTTGCTTCTTTGCATTCCTCTTCCCGCAGCGACTTTTTAATCTTCCACCTTGAGAACGCAGAAACATTCCTCCCCCAAGCGCCAACCGACACGCCGCAACGCCTCGATTGCTGCTTGAGCGTGCTCTCTGTGGAGCCTCGGACAATACTCACATCGTGCTGGTTCCGATAATTGACGAATCCGTTCTCTAGCTGGCACATTCCGGACACTTTACCTCCACCACCACCATGTCAGGGCCAATGTACGACGACCAATATTATGCGACCTCGCGCCGCCATTCACTCGTTACTCCTCCGCCGTCAGTGACTCCACGCAACAATCGAATGCGCAGTCAGAGCGTTAGGGTCAGCAACGGTACTGTTAGCACAGATACCAGCATGTCAAGCGGAAGGGCTTCGGAAGCGACGAATATCACCCAGCCGCCGGCCTATTCGAAAAAGTTCGTCGTGGTGGGAGATGGAGGATGTGGAAAAACATGTCTGTTGATTAGTTATTCCCAGGGATATTTCCCCGAGGTGAGTCTGAACCTTGACCTCTTTTCTTGCGTTTGAGCTGACCTGTCGTTCAGAAATATGTCCCAACGGTATTTGAAAACTATATCACGCAAACAACCCATCGGCGATCCGGAAAGACCGTTGAGCTGGCGCTCTGGGATACTGCTGGTCAGGAGGAATACGACAGATTGCGCCCTCTCTCTTACCCGGAAACCGATCTCCTGTTTGTTTGCTTTGCTATCGATTGTCCTGCGTCTCTGGAGAATGTTGTGGATAAGGTATGTCGCCGAAGATCACTCGATTCGACTGTCTAACAAGATAATAGTGGTACCCTGAAGTTCTGCATTTTTGCCCTACGACTCCGATAATCCTCGTTGGACTGAAATCAGACCTGCGCAACAAGCGGACGTGTATAGAGCTTTTGAAAACACAGGGCTTGACGCCCGTTACCCCGGAGCAAGGAGAAACGGTGGCCCGGAGAATGAATGCATCCTATGTTGAGTGCAGCAGCAAAGAGATGCGCGGAGTGGATGGGGTATTCCAGCTCGCCGTGGATACAGTGGTATCCCTCGAGGAGGAGCAAACCTGGGACACCCGTTTACCTGCATCCAGCAAAGGCAGCAAGCCTCATACTGGAGGTAAGAAGATCAAGAAACGCAGTTGCAAGATTCTGTGAAACCAAACTATCCTGTCTCGACTCTTATATGCTGCGCATAGTCGGCGGCCCGAGTTTATGCTGAATACAAAGCCTGGCTGCTTTGCGATTTTCGCTTTCCAACTCTCCTTGTTCTCAGCGTGTTTTGAGCGCAACTTGTTAGAGGATGCAAGCTACGACCTGGCATCCTAAAGTCCTCCTTCTTATGATATATACCCACGGTCTATGTCTGCATGACATCCGTGACCTACGGGAATGGCGGTGTTCTGATATTTTCTTTCTGTCGCCACACCTTAAGCCTCTACTCGACGTTACAAGGCTCCCTTGCTTCTTCTACCCATCCTCTGGTTTTGATCTCCCTCATTTTTGAATGTGACCGCTTGGCGACTGCGATGCCCTTGAGTTGGATTTGTTTTCTTTTTGTGATGTCTGCCATGAATCGGTCTGAAGACCCCTATTTAGCATGCATGGCATTGGCGTTATTTGGGACTTGCGGAACCTCCTGTATCTCAGTTACTACAAAACCTATCAGCACCACTGTGCTTAACGAGCAAACCAATATAGAGAATATGACAATCAATGCAAGGATTTTGTCTATGTACAAGACGTGAAGTCTAGAGTAGAAACAGGGCAGCCAACGAAAACAGAGATCATTTCGCGTTAGAAGTGGTCGGTCATTGATGTTGGTGTTGCTCACGCTGACCATCGTCGTGGTTCTCGTCTTTCGGTCGGCTGTTGCTCTCCTCGACCTCTTCTCGTGGTCTCCCCATGAAGTTCTCAAATTGCGACCAGAGGGCCTCGACGGAGCCGAATTCGTTGCCAACCTGGCCCAGTTAGTCGAATATTCACGGTGCTGTGTTGGGATGTTGACATACCGCAATGATGCTTTCCAGATTTCGATTTAACCGGTTGATGTTCTGCAGGACTTGCTCCATACCCTATAGATCGACTAAGATCAGCAATCCTATCTCATAAGAGTAACTCTGAGCTTACGCACCACGGCAATCTCCCTCACCAGCTCCTCGCGGTGTTGTTCGAAGACGGTGGGAGAGGTGGATCTTGTCTTGGGTCCTGGAGTTGACATTTTGCCTCGGTTGATGAAGTGGGATGCACCTGGGAAAGCACGAAAATCTGACTCAAGCAGTCTTAGAGTCGAATCAATCTCAACTCGTTGCTCTGACTGGCCGGTTGTGGGACGCGCGGAGGAGTTGGAATGTTTCTGTGGCTGATGCGGGGCTGGTGTTGGTATTATGAAAGCAGCTTCGCGTGGACTTTGACTGTCCTCACCGCTTACTTGTTCCTCCCGGCTTCTCCAACGCACTGGAAGTTTTTACAACTTTGCTCTCTCGGAAACCCCTGCTCTGCTAGGCTGTGTGGAAATTCATGAATCGCGTATACCTTCCACTTGTGATTAAGACGGATCCGTTGGCTATTCTCGCGCTGCAAGCACCAAGGAGCCGCTCACGAAGCTTGAGAAGGCTTGAGGGCTTTTCACGCGATATGAAGATCTCCCCTTAGCTCTGATTGCGGGGAACGCTTCGATTCGTCCAGAACAACCGCGCCTCTGAATTTTCCCGAACCGACCCCTCTTTGCCCACGATACTGCACATGTGATTGAGATTCCGACGGTAACCAACTGGCAACTGCCACTGCCTCGCCGCAGTTCCGAGGATATGCACAACTAGAGCTGTTGGGCTCCCCCGTGCACGCTCGAAGCTCGTCGATGGCTCGCCACTCGATGGCCGATGCCAGCAATGCTGTTGTTTGTCGCGCAGGCGTCTGGGATTTAGGAATCCGTTGTCTCGAATTTGATTGGCGTGCTTCAGCAATTCAATATAACTTGCTCAGGGTATTGGCCAGACAAACCCCGTGGGACCCGCCGATCACTTAATCCCTGACTCTGGCGGTTTTCTTTCCGAGAATCTTCTTTGTCGCTCTCCGGGAAGATGGGGGAAGAGTCGAAGACACTTGGCTTGATCATTTTCCAGTTCCTGGGTGTCGCGATGGAGGGGACTTGCATATCCCCGGGTTGGAACCAGCGCATACTAGACGTTTCTAATTGAGCTTGGTTGCTCAACATAAAATGAGCCCTTAGCTCATTTCGCCTGCAGATAATGTTGCCGTCGGATGAATCGGAATGCGGGAAGTAATCCGCTGTGCGACACCGCGACCCTTCATGGAGTATTCAAACCGCGTTCTAGCTGCAGAGATGGCAGCACCAAAATCACGAGTGTGTGGGTGGTACAACCAGGCATCATTGCATGCTCTGCGCCGAAGCTACTTGCTATAGGGCCAAGTATCAACCCAGGCATCTAATCAACGTAAGGAAGTGCAAAGTCTCGTTTCACGGGTGAGAGGTGAATCAAATTTTGAAAATTTTCAACTATCCACGCAGTGCCAGTGTGCGCAATAAGGTACATCAAGAAAGTGAGAGCGATACACAATCTATGCAATACAACTTGGACAGGGGGTATCAATGGGTAAGCAGAACAGTTGTCATCTGGTAAGGATTCGCAAGCCTCCTAGCTGTCTTCATAATCATTCGTCGTGATTTGTCGTCGCAGTCTGGCCGAGTCGCGCAGTCGTAAAAGGGAACGTGTCAAGAGTCTAGCAACTCCCCGGAGCAAATAGGGGATTTTCTGGAAAATATCTCCAGCCGAATCACGACGTAGCAAGCACTAGTAGTGGCTCTTCCTAACCCGTCGGTCCCAGCCGGAGGGAAAAGAAAAGTCTCTCGAGTCGCACCAGGAGTGTTCCAAGGTTGTTCTTGTGTGTGTGTTTGTTAGAGCGCTAAACCGGTCGCCTTGTGACGGCGAGGATGTGGCTCAATCGCTTCCAGCGCTGCGACGGTGATGTCGGGGAGGCACGCTCTACCCGGTCCCTGTCGAGGCTGACTTTGGAGGAGTTGTTTGTAGAGGAAACAGGTCGGCTGACGAGGGCCTCGTGGTCGGCCAAGACGTCCTCCAGACGCACGTCTGAGTCAGAGATGCGAGGATGGGCATCTTTGAAGTCGAGGATTTCGACGAATTTTGACGGCATGTCGCGCATTGTCTTTGCTTGTGTTGGAGGTGGGCGGTGGCTTTTTTTGTGGGGGTGTTATGAAGGCCCGCTCGTTGGGGTAGGCATTAGCGTTTGTGGTAAGCAGTCACGCGGTCGCAAAGAGAGAGCCAGAGTGAGCGAGAGCTGAGAGGGTGAGATCGCGTAGTTTAAATGTTGGCTTTCGGAAAAGGAGGCGATGAACTGGATTGTAAAACGGTCGAAGAGAAAAGGATCATGTGCGAGGGGAGAAAAAAAGGGACGGTCGTCCACTATAAATCAATCCTCAGGGAGTGGAGGGATTTCCAAACCTCAAAAGAGGTGGAGAGCAGCAGGAGAAGGCGCTATGCTAAACAAAGAAGGCAAGATATTGGTCGATGATGGGCTGGACTGCAGTAGCGTCGAGCGTCCTCCGTTTTAGTCGAGTTTCGGGTGAGTACCGGACCAGGGGCTTGACGCTGATGTCTGTGGCGGTTAGCAGGGGGAGTGACTCGTGCCGTGGTCGTCCTCTTTCTTTTATGTTTACTCTGGAGGCTGCTGCTTGAAGTCAATTGCCATAGCGTCATCTCATTTTCCAGGCAACTCTCCAGCGGGTCACGCCGGTTGAGCGAGCCACAGCCACCTTTTCGAACTATATGGGAATTTGCGGGGGTTTGAGAGCACATCAGGTGTACTAGAATGTCTGCATGGTGGCGTTGAACAAAGTTCACTGGTCAGAAAAGGCGACACAGTGCAGACGACTGCAGAACACCAGGAATGATGGGCCTTCAGACTTTCCACTCTCGACACACTTGCTCTTCCTCCAAGCGGCGTGGACTGTGCTTCTGGAGGTCCGCTCGTTCGTCTGAATGGCCGGCGATCAGTGGAGCTAACTCGACAATTTTCTCGGTGCAGTGCCTTTTGAAGTCTGCAGGAAAGCAATCAATCAGTGGGAGAAAAAGCAATAATGCGATGCAAGCTGCGGCCCAGCACCGTCGTCGGACCCTTGATCCTTGGTGTTGAGTGTTGAGAGTTCAAAGGGTCGCCCAGGCGATTTCTTTCTCCTCGTCTTATGACGTCGCGTTTCTATTCTTATTCGCATGCGACAAGAATGGGTTCACAACGGCCAGGACACATTACAACATCTCTCAATTATTCTTTCATCACGGTTGGATCTTTCTTCTCGAATTTACGCTCCTTTAGAATTGGATAAGCTGTGTTGCGCAGCTCTCCACTCAGCCATCTGGGCAGCCCTATGACTTTCTCGCTCCAGCGACGATCGCCAACTTTCGCCTCCTCATACCTCAGTCCGCTTCAAGAACGCGTAACCACCACCACTCGATTGATAAGGATTACGAGGATAGCTGATAATCGCCTGACCAGTTGACCCGCGATATACATAATACGAGCCGATTCTGCCGTGCCGGATTACCCTGGAATTCGCAGGCAGCACAAATGCTCTGGGAGTCGGTTTTCGCCGCCCGGATATTCGCTTTCTCCCACGTGCCCCGCTATATTTGGCTGGTCGCTTTGTCGCGGCTCATCTTTTTACAAATTGAATTTGAGGACCTGTAAAATCAACACTGAAAATGACCGCCACTCAGGCCATAAACAGCTGCATTTCCACCCCAAACTCTCGTGATCATGCACCTTTTTAAACGTCCTCACGTGTTTTACTGCACTATTTTGCACCCTCCAAGTGTTCTAGTCTCCCAAACTGATGTTAACAGAGCGCTTGACTTTCAGTCTATCTTAACTCATGGCTAAATTGACGCCGAAAATGACAGATCTAATCGGCCTGGTTAAGCGCTCGACTGCTTCTTCTTTATTCCTCTGTTCACCCTCCTAGCCTCTAAATTCTTTGTTATCTTCATTGTATATGGCTGGAGAAGTATAGAAAGCTTGCTTAGGATTATATTACTAGTTTTATCCTTGATACCTGCTCTAAGGAGCCTATTAAGCCAAAGACAAAGAAATCTCGCATTGATAATATCACCACCTATCATGAGCAACAAGGGGAATTTTGTTAGATCCTATGGTAAAGGGAATCATGCTCGGAGAGGCCTATCTTTGCGGCTTTACCTTGGCTTTGACTTTCTCCCCAGAAGAGAACAGGTTATATAGGACTGATCTGGCCTGACTTTAGATATATTATAATTTTTGTATACGACTCAAGAAGTAGCCCGAGCCAGTTTATCATCCCCACATGTCTATTTTTTCACCCATGATCGAATCTACTTACTGCCATGGGACCAATGCGGACCGTATTAATCACCGAACCATAAACTCCCTCGTCACAAATACCCCCTTCGGGGGCTGCACAATCCCCCTCTGACTCGAATCCGACTTGTCCGTCTTTGCATCCTCCTCCATTGCTCTACTCCCACTCTGCGTGTCCATCGCAAACATTTCCATCTGATAGCTCTGGGCCTGAACCCTGGCTTCAGAACTTTCCGCTCCCCCACTCCAATGCACCCTATTTCTAGAATAATTGCCCTGCCCAGATGAGTATTCCCGTCCATACCGATGATACTTGTGACTCCCAGTATACGCCTGTGCCCTGGAATTGCCCACGAAAAGTCTCAAGGAGGGTAAACAGGAGGTGACGATCGCAGACGAATTCTCGAGCATGCTGTAGAGCTGGAACTTGATTGGATCGACATTCCCGGTTGACGGGTTCGCGATGACGAGGCGCAGGACGGCAAAAATGATGGGGATTATGGGGAGCGAGAAGATTGCGGCCAGGATGAATTTTTGGCGCGGGGCGACCTGAAGGGTTCGGAGCAAGGGGAAGGGGATGAGCATTACTATTCACCGTATTCTGGTTAGTATGAAGATATCTTGGGGCTAGGAGAGGAAATAGACAGGGAGCAAAAGTACTCAGTATGTCTCCAGCTATATCGGTGCCAACGGTGAACTTGAAGACGAGGTTGGAATAATAGATGTCTCTATCGGAGCTGCATTTACCTATACAGATCCATATTGTCAGCAAGCACTCTTTGCTTTTTTTTTTTTTTTACCCTCGCATGATAATTTCCTCTTTCTGCTAGGATAGCGGGTATACCTACCCAGAGTAAAGAAATTCTTGATTGGATCGCACGCAAAATTCTGCAAGACCACCAGCGTAATCCACGTCGAGGCTGTAATAGCACACATCGTCAACCAGAACACACGCACGGGTGTGCGCACCGAATCAAACAATCTCCAGAAAAAGAACAAAAGCGAAAACTTGACCGCCCACAGCGTCGTCCAGAGCAAAAAGTCCAAGGCGAACTGCAGTCTCAGGAATAGCGAGGCGCGGTCCATGAATGCCGCATCCATTGGCTGCGTCACATAGTCAAAGTACTGCACATCATACATGGGCGGGATGGCGATCTGGTACACAATTGCAGTCGCAAGGTGGCACACTATCGCGAAGAAGATCCAGTAGTCGTTGATGAAGAACTTGCTGGTATTGCGGAACTGGACCTGAGTGCGGAGGGCGACGAAAATGGTCGAAAGGACGACTCCAGCCCACATTATGGCCTGTTGATCGCAAGTTAGTCCAGGTCTGCCATAGTGATAGATCAGGTTGATCTAGGGCGAGGAGAGTACCGAAAGGCCCCTTTCGGAGATGTAGACAGAAACCATGGTGTCAAACTGCTGTCTTTTCTCCCTCCCAACCTGACAGGGGAGGAAGTCTTCCCCAAACTCATGGCCAGGGCGCTGGGACTGCTGCTCGGAAGATACGAGGCGGAGCCAACATCCTGCTGTCCTTTTACTCGTGGCATTGCTGCAGGGGGGTTTATTTAGCCTTTGTGATAGCGGTATGAAAGTGAATTTTCCAGGACACTAGACCATCAAGGGGTTTTCTCCTATATTAATTTCGAGATTGCATCCGGCATGCCGAGTGGTTGACACTGACAAAGTGGTGCACGTTTTGCAAGGCGAAGGATGATCTCGACACCATCAATAAATTGACGCTCACGAAAATGCGATCCACGGTCCGGGTAAGGAGAATCGAAACATGACAGGTTAGGACAATGGAGTGGCTGTCTGCGTCGTTTCCCTGTGAGCTGGAGGTTGGACTGCTGGGTCGGTGCTCCTCCACAGGCGATACTAAGCACTAAGTCCCTAGTTTAATCTATCCCAAATTCCATTAACATTACTAGTCAGTTAGCTCGGGGCCAATTCAGATTCACCGATTGGATCCATATCCGCGCGATGGATTTGCTTAATCTCGCTTATTCGGGGCACCAATGTAGGATAATACTAGATACTGGGGGGCAGGATGGACGAGCTGGAAAACTTAGTTAAAAGGCACAAGGGGAAGGATATTGACAACCCTGTCCAACGCTGCTTCATCGATAATTTCTGACCCCAGTCATTCACTTGAAATGCAGCTCAAGCTCCTCTCTTTATTCGCTCTTTCTTCCACCGCCCTCGCGGACCTCTCGGGGCTGATCCCAGGTCCTGTCCAGACCGATGTGATTGACTTCTACAGCCTTCCCACCCTCTTTCCGCCCCCAATCGCCGTCGATCCAATCGCCACCGAAGCTATCCGCCAAACCCTGGCTCTGTATCCCTTCGCCATCGATGGGAAGAACTTTGACGCCCTCTCCAAGGTCTTCGCCTCCGACGCGGTGGCCAATTACTCGGCGCCGTTGAATGTGCTCACCCCTCTCTCGAGTATCAAGGAGACCCTAAAAGCAAGTCTCGCCTGCGTGACTACGCAGCACCAGTTCGGGACGCAACTCATTGACATTATCTCCCCGTTTACCGCCCAATCGATCACGTACTACCGAGCCGCGCATTTTGGACAGGGCAATCTGAGCACGGAGGTGGCAACTGCTTATGGCCAGTACCAGGATGTGTGGAAGAGGCAGTCGGATGGAACCTGGAGGATTGTGCATCGGAATCTGGTTTACATGGTACGTCCCATTCTTCCTGCCTTTTTTGTTTGCGTTTCGGTGCTAATTTGAATAGAGCGAGGTTATTGGGAACCAGCTGGTGTTTCTGTGCTGATGGCGCACCCGACTCAGGTACTGTGGAGGGTGCTGGGTAGAGATTTGTAATTATTTAGGTGATCCAGTCGGACAGCAAAATATGTCCGACAGACGGCATATACATCCTTTCGCCGCGCCTATCGCTTCATAGGGTCTATATCACCCAACCTCGTGAAAGATTGCCAGTCACCTGGAACGGCCCGTCATTTTCTGGCATTGCTAATCCTACAAATTCTTTTCCAAACGAGCATGGATCTATCATAACCACTTCCCGGCTCCAGGGACTCTGTGAAATCGGCAAATCATCCCCGGTTCGTAACCCTATTCACAAAGACGCTATGCAGTTACTATTGCAAAGCAGCGGCCTCTCAGCCAAGGAGATTGCGCGGATGGGAGCTGAGCACGGTACTAGCTTCTATTAGGACGAACAAGGACGCGACATCCAAAGCTATGGGTTGCATAAGAGAGCTATCAAGAATACAAGCAAGCAGAAGAAGACCTCTATAGCTGACGATGTCGCTAACTAACTAACCAACAGCTCTCTCATGTCAAGACTAACTTTTATAGATATACATGACCTCGCGAGACAGTTAGAAGGGCTTTTACTGGCAGGCATTCTTGGAGTTAGTGGGACAACAGGCCGCAGTCGGGTGAGTGTAGAATATGGGAGGTCAAGGAGAAAGAAGGAATAAGGATAAGAGAGGCAAGTGTAGTTCTTATATACTTGGCAAAACTAATTCAAAGCAGGAATTTACATGTCCTCGCTTTACAAAGTCAGTAAGGCTTTATCAGAATAAAGAATCTTGGACACTCCGGACTGTCGCGAAAGACCAATCAAGTTTCCAGGCTCACTCAAGAGCAATTGGTCACCTGGAGGCTAGCAACGACTCGTGATTCGAGCTCAGACCGCGAAGATCGCCCGCCTCCTGAGCTCGATTTAGCGTTAAACTTGGAGCTTTAGATTCAATAATGCCCTCTAATACTTTGAATTCCCTGTTTTTGTGCGCAGTCACGTTGACTCTCCCCTTAAGCTCTCCGGACTTAACGTCCGGCCAAGTGTATCGAAGCAAGGAGCTGTTGGAAGCCCGGCACTGCTTTGTCTTCCCATTTGGGTTTAGCGCCGTCTTTAGTCGATGCAGGGTGGCTTCCAGTGGTTTCCTTAGAGAGCTACAACTCTTCATCTAGCATATTGAATGCATCATTTCCGCTTCTCATTAGCCTCCAACAGGAGCTTTTATATTGCAGAGGGTGGCCCTGCAGCACATCACGGGCCATGGTTAACGTCCAACATACGGAGTACATGCCTGCCAGTTCCATGGATCCTAGGTCTGCACCCCGCCCTGCCTGAAACGGGCCGACCATTGCCGTCCGTCGGCAGTTGAGATTCCAGTGGTTCTCATCGCAACCCCACGTTCGTCTCGGGTACCGAAGGCATTGACCATGTATGCAATGAGGCATATTGCAGCCTCGGTAGGTCTGGGGAAGAAGTGCCTTGCAAGCTCGCCAAGGACGACAGAGATCGATGGCGAAGCTTGGAATTACCCCAGATTGCTCTACCATTCCTGCCGAGGCCCTGGAACAATTGGGACTGCAAACTGCCGATTCACTAACTAAATGCAGGCGTGGCGGACTCCTTCTGAGGCTTGATGCTCGGAGATAACTTGGTTTGGGGTTTGATGAAGCGCATCATGCCTGACAGTGCTGACCACTGACTCCGCCCAAGACTGACGAAAGATGCTATATGCTACTCGGGAATTGCTAGGTAATTTCTCAGATCGTCAACAAACCGCGGTTGAACGAGCAACCCTGAAGCACGGAAGTGAAGATGCTGTGAGCATTTAAGGGATAAACCTGCCTCGACAAGCTTTTTCGGAATTCCCAACCAAGAACAAGAAGCGCCACGCAAGATGTATTGGAAATCAGTCCTCACTTCGTCTTTGATCTCTGCAGCACTCCTACCTGTGACCGACGCAAGCTCTATTGGTGGCTTAGTCAATACGACAAGCGGCTTGGTCCAGGGTCATGCTTCTTCTCTCCGTCCTGAGGTCTCGGAGTACCTTGGAATCAGATATGCGAAGCCTCCGAAGGGTGACCTTCGCTTTGCGGCTCCTGTCCCGGTGGACAAGAGACCTGGTATCTTCAATGCTTCCGCATTCGTATGTTTCCGATCCGTCCAGTGAAAGAGTATGCTAACCTTACATAGAGCCCGTGAGTACTATATCCCCGAGTAATGCATCTATCTGACCGAGCCAAGCGACTGCCCGTGTAACAGAGTGCCAATGGACAACGCGTATCTAGGCGGTCCAGTCGGCGAAAAGATCACTGTTGCTCTCTCGCAACAGGGGAACGTCCTGGACGAAGACTGCCTGAGCATCAACGTCTGGACGAAGCCACAGACGGGCGAAAAGCAAAAAGCCGTGCTCTTCTGGATCTACGGAGGAGGTATGCGCACCTTCCCAGTTTAATTGTCACTTTGAATCCTAGGCTAACTGTTCAGGCTTCTCCATCGGCAGCGCGAACAGCCCTGTCTACGATGGCTCAATCCTCGCCGACGAAAATGACGTTGTAGTCGTATCCTTCAACTACAGATTGAACATCTTCGGCTTCCCCGGAGCGCCCGGCGAAATCGCTAACGCAGGGCTCCTCGACCAGCGTCTTGCCCTGGAATGGACCCGCGACAATATCGCCCGCTTCGGCGGCGATCCCACACGAATCACCGTCTTTGGCCAGTCCGCCGGAGGCATGTCGACCGATCTCGTCGCCTACGCTAACCCCGAGGATCCCATCGCCCACGGACTAATCGCACACTCTGGCGTCGTCAGCCCACGCATCGGGTCGAATGCCACCGACGCTCTGAAGACTTGGTACAATGTCAGCCAATCCCTTGGATGCGGTGGCGTATCAGCTGGCGAAGAGACCGTGACATGCATGCGAAGCAAAACTCAGGAGGAAATCCTCGCGGCCATCGAAAGCCACGGTACATCAGCACTCGCGAGCGGCTTCGTCCCCTACGGCGACGGTGTCGTCCTCCCCGAAGACATCGCCGCTGAAGCTGAAGCCGGCAACTTCGCCAAAGTACCTTTTCTCGCTGGCAACACGGACTACGAGGCGGGCTTCTTCTTCATCCTCGCGATCGCGTACTCTAACATCACGACCATCGAAGAGGTAGACGCCATTCCCTGGGACCTTATCCGGCCGCTGGGCAATCTTTTAACTCGGGTAGCCTTCACTTGTCCTGCCGCCGACGCCGCAGAGCTCAGGAGGAAGCATGGAGTCCCCAGCTGGCGGTATCGATTCTATGGTGGGGGCTACGAAAATGCTGAGATCTACCCCGTGGGATCGGACTGGCATACGTCCGATATGCTCACGGTGTTTGGCACCGCGGCATCAGTGACCGGCGTTGCAGATAGTTCTTATGAAGCGAAGGCCGGCGCGTATATGCGTGATGCGTGGGCGACGTTCGCGAAGGATCCGAGCAAAGGGCTGCGTGAGAAGTTGAAGTGGCCGACCTATCACCCGCTGAGTATGTCTCCCCCCTCTCTATTCTAACTCTCCTTGAAGGTTCTTTTAGTGACTGGTGATTCAATAGCCCCATCCCTCGTCCAGCTCTCTCTTAACCGCCAGACAAAAGCGAGCTTCACCTACAACTGGAGAACAGATGCGCTCTGCGGCGCGATCGCAAGCCTCGCAGAGGTAGCAGGGAGCATCTCGGGTATCTTTGAGGGCGTGAGTAGCGGACGCGGAGGAATTAGTCGGCGGAGCTTTGAAGGTGTGTCCTCTTTCCTTTTTCCTCAAAGATCAATCGGGGTCATGCGTACTGACGGATTGGGTAACTTTAGGTCTCCTGAAACGCTCGGATGAGGCTCGTTCCTTGCTTTCGCTCTTGGAGGAGATCGAGCAGAGCGGGGAGTTTTCGGAGGAGTGAACGGGGGAGTCCACGGGGGGATCTAGGGTTATCTATCAAATGCCGATTGGCAAATGCCGAGCGACTGGTTCGTCTCAGCTTGATTTACTCTTTGCGAATCATGTTCTTCTTATTCAAATTCCTTCAACGATGTCCTGTATGTCACATACTGGTCAACCACTAGGCGTTTAAAGCAAAGACCCATTTTTTCCAACCTCGTTGGATCCCCAACCCGTGCACACTCAAATGCTACTATCGATTAGTTGAGGTCCTATAGGCCTGAATCTTGGTACTCTCGCTTAAAGTCTTGCGTGATTCGCATTCACTCGTCAGAAGGCTGTTTAGCGGGCGACTCTCCTGACACTGTCTGCAGACATTGCTCCTAGCTCCAAGGGCCTCAAGTCTTTGAGATAGCAATACTTCCTCATATTTTAACTCAATTTCATTCGTATTGACAAGTCACCCGGCACAACAGCCTAGTTACATGGGAAAACATAATCAGTCTTATAATTAATATAGAGATTCGACGAGGAAGACCCCATCTTGGCCGTCACAGGCGCACACGCGAAGCTCGACACATAGACGGGCCCAGCATACTGTCCAAAGTTCCCGGCGTCCGTATCACAGCTGCCGCCTCCGGTCTTGCACACTTTGATGGACATGTACTGCTTCTTGCCGACGTTGTTGTCGAGGAAGACGCAGCCCTTGCCGTGGCCGTTGCCGTACGCGTAGAGGGTGGCTTTGCGCTTGTTCGGGTCGACGCCCTTGGGGAGGGGGATGGCTCGATCCAGTGTGTAGCCTGAGCCGCAGATTGTTGCGCGGGCGTCGTGGGTGTGGAGGTCCGTTATGTCTATGTCTGCGTCTGGGGTGCGCTCGACGAGGGCGGCGGAGAGGGCGAGGGTTGGGAGGAGGAAGAGGGTTGTGAGCTTCATGATGCTTGGCTGCAAGGGGCTTTAAGGAGCTGCGTCGGCGGAATGGTTAGAGCATTGTCGCGCAAGGGGGAGGGGAACATTGTCTTACTTTTCGTGTTCGCAAACCTCGTTGATGGGGATGAGAACTTTCAAAGCAACTCAGGAACCGATCGACATTGAAATACCTTTCAGAATTCTCAAGCGTCAGCTCGTGTGCCCCGACGACTCCCCGCAACGCCAGTCCTTCATCTAAAATACGGGCTGGGCAACTGTGATCTGCAGCAAAGTGTGGAGAAAGCTCGTATACAGGGCTATTATTAGGGCACGGCCCCTTGAACCATTCTGAACCCTCCAGTAACATCGCAGAAGACAGAGGCAATTGTGTAACTGATTCCTTTGACCCCTTGTCGGCGTTACAGTGGAACTGAGCCGCAGCTGAAAACGCCTCGGGGCAGTCCAGCCAGGGCAAGGATTGGGTGGCTAGTCTCGCGACATCTCACTGAGATAGTCTTAGGGCTTGCTAAGCGACGTTAAGCTCTGCTGATCTGCAGGCTGTCGAACTCGTATCATTGCCAGCTCAGCCTCACGTCTTTCTCAAATTCTCAATGGGTGTGGGATGTGAAATCGGAGGTGAGAAAACACAAGGACCCGGATGAGCTCACAAAGTTCGACGTGACCGCTGTATGGATCCTATCTGCAACCTCGGTGTCTCTCGACTCGATAGGCGAGCTTATAACTGCCGTCGGACTTGTCGCAATGCTCGTGCTCTGGATCCCGAGGATACAGGCTTTAGAGGGATGCGGAAGTGGTGTCCGCGGGGAGTTTTGGAGCGACGAATGCGCATGCGAAGACTCTCACGGTCGCTAGAAACAGAAGTTCCTCGGAGAAGGCTATTAGAGCTGCAGGTATGAGCTAGACAGGAATCGGTAAGTGGACTGAGAACATGCTGAAGGTGAATCTTCTTACTCATGTTACAAGACAAGGTGATCAAAGGAAATCGAGCAAGCAAGATCCCTGGCCCAACATCGCCCATAGGATTGACCCGAATGAAAGGAAATCTCAACCACCGAAATTAAAGATTGAGTCGAGACATAGAGATGGAGAGTGACATGGCGAAAGTTAGGAGAAGATGGGCGACAGAGCTCTGGAGAGTGTTATCGCAGCCGGGCTACGTCTCCTCGTGATTGGCCTGTCCGCTTTCCGTCGGAGTATGAGCACTTGCAACTCTCATGGACGGTGCTTTCCTTTCGAGTTGTTTCTGGAGAGATGGCACCTCACTACACGCTCCTTGACTTATGCCAGCATCAGGGCCATAGGACCGGGCTCCTTGCCGGCTGATGTCCTCTCTCTCGTTTCATGAAAAGTCATATTCATGTCAAGCAATGGTTCAAAATGAGCCTATCCAGTGCTCATATGGGTGGCGGAAAGTCATTGGAAGACGATTCATTCTCTGCCCCTCCTTTCGTACCTTTTATCATATCACGTGTTGGCTGGTGTAGTTCCCCTCTCCTCTCCAAGATCTTCATTTTCAATCCCAGACAACGAGCATACTCGGACGTATCACGGTAAGCACACCCTGTCTTATATGCCCTATCCCAACGATGCTAACGTGTCTCTCTTGCTGCGAAACAGATCCGCAGGATATCAACACGCAAATCTCCGCAGACGCTTTATCGTATACGATATGCCGTCCAACCCACCGCCACGTGCATTGCTCCTGTACAAAGATAAAGGCGATGGTTGGAATCCGTTTTCACCACGTGCAGTAAATCGCGCCAGACCATGGAATCATCTCATTCAGGTCCAGTCGGCGGAACTGGAGACCAACGATGAGAAACCCTGGACCATCCGCCTTGGAGACATTGTGACAGTGTGTGTCACGGAAAGCAAGCAGTCAATTAGCTCTGACGACATCAAAACTGACCCCGACGACGATTCCGAAGACGATGCTGAAGACGACCCCGAAGCCTACGCCAAAGTCTCGGATCTGCGATCATTGGGAGATGGGCGGTATATGGTCGTATACGCATGGCTCTACACAAGGGCCGAGATCCTCGCGGACCTTGAAAGAAGAGCGGGCATACACCAAGGTGATCTTGACATGTTGAAAGAAAAATGGCCCAGTGCGGCACCTTTCCAGTACATGCTTAGCACCAACCGGACCGTTACACTCTGGGACACAGCAATCACCCATGCACCAGCCTCTGTGGTCTCGAGGATCTGTGACAGTTCAATCTACGTCACCAGGCCGTCTAAACGGTGGATCGCGGGTATAAATGATCCTGAAGTTGAATGGATGAGAAGCATATTTGACATGTAACATGTCTATTGCTACAAGAGTGCCTACCCGCTGCGCCTGATTTAGGATGCGGCAGCGGCACTGTCTTCTGCCATGACGGGGAAATCCTTGGACGTGTGGGGCTTAGATCGGTCAAGCTTGCAGATGGGTGACATAGAGAGAGTTTCTCTGAGCTAGGTATTCGCGACAGAGCACAGCCGGTACTGACATAGTACAGCATGGCCTGGTTGTTGGGATGGTTCACCACGATTTACTTGGATTTGGTGATTTACATAGAATCAAATAGGTTTTCCAATCAACACTTATCATAAAACCCATAACCAATTCATAAAATCACAAGGCAGCAGGTGATCACAGCTAAATTCTCCCTCGAACGATATCAGCCCCCCTCTCCGCAACTGCATACACACTCGACATGATATTCGCCGCAGGGATTATTGGAAAAATACTCGCATCACACACTCGCAGATTCGCCGTCCCATACACCCTCAGTCGCTCATCAACGACACCACCCTTCTCACGCGGAAGCATCGCGGCAGTTCCGCAGAAGTGATACGCTGTCTTCGCCGTGTCACGGAGATATTCCTTCGCGGACTCGAGGTCAGATAGGAACGCATCGGGATGGTTCCGCCGTCCATTCACTTTGATAAAGTGGGATAGAGGGGCTACTTTGTGCAGACGCTCGACGTCAAGCAGGTTGCGCGCCATGATCTCAATGTCGAGAGGATGGGAGAAGTAGCGCGGGTCGATGACTTGCTTGGCTGTTGGGTCGGCAGATGAAATATGTATCGTGCCTCGCGAGAAGGGCAGGCTAGTTTCCAGACCGAGGCTGATGAAGTTGCCCTGCTGCAGGGAGCTGCCGACGAAGCTGCCACCTGAGTCATCGTGGAGGTTCGCTTGGGCGAGAAACATGAACATCATGCATGTTGGTTCGTTGGGCTGGATGAAGATGTCGCGAATGGCGCTCCTACGCTCGTCTGGAGTCGAAAGTAGGGAGTCGATGCACTCCTGCATCGTAGATTCTCGCTGGTTGTTTGATGCGTGGAACTCAAGAATTGGCATGAACGCGCAGGACTGGACCCCTCCGATCGTCATCGGGCCCTTCTTGTGCTCCGTGTACTGCTGCATCGCGGCGGCAATGGCTTCTGGCTCTTGTCGTAGGAGAGGGTCAACCGTGACGACGCCATCGACGGCTTCGAAGCTCACGCCGGTCATCAGGTGGTCCTGAAGATTCTCGCCCACATTCGGACTATGAACTGTAACTGGGATATCAAGTTGACGAAGGAGCTCTTCATTTCCGATTCCAGAGAGTTCGAGGATCTTTGGTGTGCCAAATGCGCCGGCGCAGAGAATCACTTCCTTCTTGGCTTGGAAGGTCTGAGTTTCTCCGCCGATTATGGCTTCCACGCCAGTAGCTACCGCGTCGGAGGACTCGGCTGTATCAAACAAGATCTTCTGCACAAGGGCTTCGGTCAGAACCCGCACGCCACGCTCTGCGGCAGGGCTGCCGTATGCAGGAGCGGCATAACTGCGCGTCTTCGTTTCGCTATCAACCGACGCCAGATTACTGTAACCACCGAGGGACTTCCCAGAGAAGGGATCTCCGACGGCCCCGAACCGCAAGTTCTTGAAGGTATCGATCCAAGCTTTGGCAAGAGGATCTTCAAGCTGGGCAGGAAATGATGTCCTGATAGGTCCCGATGAGCCATGGATATCGGCATCAAGCCAGGAAATGCCGATGTGCTTTTGTGTCTCAGCATCAGGTAGCTGAAGCGTGTAGCTCTTTTTATAGTATGGCTGCAGAGTCTCAAAAGTCCATCCTGTAGCACCCAGGCGAGCCCAGGCGTCGATGCCGGCTTTGGTCGGAGCAATGAATGCCTGTCCGTTGATTGCAGAGGAACCACCAAGAGCTTTGCCTTGCGTTGTCTTGAGTACCCTGTTATTAAGAGATTCTTGTGGCGTTGAGGCCAATCCGTAGTCGGCCTCTGACATGATAGTGGTGAAGAGCGCCGGGATCTGGACTCGCGGGTCTTGCGTTAGGTCTTTACCGGCTTCGAGTACTACGATGGATGTATTTGGGTCCTCGGAGAGCCGTGAGGCGAGGACCAGGCCGGCAGTGCCGCCGCCAACGATGATATAATCGAATGATTTGTCCATGGTGCCGATGGTGAAGTGTTCGAAAAAGATATAGTGGATTGAAATGAATGCGTAATGAGTGAGATATAGCAATTCTTGAAGAAGATGGTTGGGCTTTTATAGACCCCTCGCCCATCAATGTCCGTAGCAAGAGCAATAGCAAATGACCTGGGAGGGATGATCAGGACTCTGACATCGCGAGCTGTCCAGTGAGGTCCTCAGAAAACAGCCCCCACTGTAAGCCATGACCTCGACGCCCACGAGTCATTGGTCACATCGCGGAATTTCAGACGCTAAGTAGGCGCTAAACCTTGCATGATATAGTGGCGCATAGTAGATGCATAAACGGAATACACTATTCACCTGCTGTAGACGAGAATGGTGAGCAGGTAGCCGTGGATCAGAAGGTACTTCAGAGACCCAACTCGCTATCTTCGCGTATCTTCAAAATTCTCCCACCAGCCACACTTGAAGCAAGGGTTGAATCCCATAACCCTTCCCTATGCGGCCAGCTCTCCATGACGTGAAGCGCTCGTTGGGCTATAGAAATATCGTGGCATTTGTCGATAATAAGGCACATTGGTCCTATCAGGGCCGTTTCCATCAAAAGTGTTAAGCGTGGAGCAGTCTCGCGCCCCTTTTGCAGAAACCGAGCTGTGATGCGTTCGGCTAGATCGACTGTGGCCCTGAAGCGCTGACTATATAAGCCCCGGATCACTGCAGGAGATTTGATCAAACAGCTGTCTGTGATTACCGAGACACCCATATGATGCATACGGAGGAGCTCAAGAGACCCGCGGTCCTTTTCTGTGAGTGTTCCACGGCGAAGGCGCGTCTCCTCAAGACGGTCGAGTCCTTGTGCGAAGTTGAGAAGCTGAATCTGCTGCTTCTCCTGTTCCTTGGACAGTATCGCAAAGTTTATAGCAATATTAGCCTCGGACAAAGAGTCACAGAGGGTAGCAAACATGCAAAATTGAAGGAAGATCCTATCGCGAGCGACCCATGCATCCTGCAGAGAATCAAAGTTGACGGGTTCCGGCCAGGAGTTGTCTCCATTCTCCAGCATGCCTGGGTCAAGTTGTGCGTGCGCAATGGAAGCACCAAAGTGCGCGCTCTGAAGATCGAGATGCACCAGTGCAGCGGCAACCGAATCCTCAACTTTTCTCTGAAGCCCCGGATGTGCCTGATACAACGCGTGATAATCGAATATCCCGGCTCCGAGAACACGCATTCCGTTTTGGAGGTGAGTAATCGCCGCGTTGTATTTTCCGCGGATGAGCTCGAAGACGATATACAAGATACAGCAAATCAAGACAGTGTTTCGGACATTCGGATCATTCGATCGCATCCGAGTTGTCAAATGCTCGATTGATCGGCTATACTGGTAAAGCGCAAACCGATGCGTGCGATCGGCCATATCTTCCGGCAGGATGGCGACACCTGTCGACTCGGTCACTTCCTGCAAAGCGCTGACGGCGACGATAGCGTGCGCGATGGCCGACTCTGCTTGAGCCATTTGCAGCACAAGGCTATTCCAAACCTGATGGTCGAACCATCCATTCATCATCGGCACGGTGAACGAGTGGAAGTAATTGAACGATCTCCTTTCATCTGTCGTTTGGCCGGGGAGGAGTACGCTCAGGATGGTGATACCGGGTGGTTTTCGTTTATGAGCGAGCCGCTCTGTGTCGTACCCTTCGCATGAAAAGCCGGCCTTTGTACATCTCGTGCAAGCGATTGGTGTCTCGTCGCACTTGACGTGACGGAGTCTGTCTGCGTTGTTAGGGACTAGCACAATAAGGAGCGATGGGACAGCACCTGCAAGTACGACACCCAGTCTTCGACTTTCGCGTACCTAGCCGGCGCTGACTGCTCACTTCTGATGCCTTTCCCATTATTGACCGAATTGGATGAGTAAAGAGTGGATGCCGGTATTCGTGGCAGAAGCTTGACGTCGTTGAAGAGGAGAGGCTGAGTTGGGGGCCAAAAAGGATGAGCCCGGATTCACCCCCGTGACTGGCCTAGGCTCGGATCTATTATAGAACACCACGAGACATAGCCTGAAATTAGGCCCCCGATTTCTCTTCTCTCCCTTCATCAGGTTCCGCAACTCAACCTGCTCCTGTACAAGCACGAGAAAAAATCCAATTGCCACAAAAGCAATTCCTACTTGCCATGACCGCTTCAGCGCCGCAGTAAAGGCCGCGATGACCTGATCGCGGACACCATCCGCATCGGAAACCGATTGTAAAAAGGCCTTTTACGCCTTTCCACCAACTGGCTCCTGAACGAGGGTTCACTGATCGCGACCGCAAGTTCATCGAAGGCGCTGTTGAAGATAGTTGTAGGAATGGCGCTCCCAAGAACCATACCAAAGCTTCGCATAAACTGCCAGACACCCGTAGCCTTGGCCGTGTCGTCGTCGGACAACTTGGCCTGGACTGCTGGTAGCGCGTTACTGAGGAATGTACCGAGTCCGACTGACTCAATAGCCTGGAAGACGACCCAGTCGGCCCTCGACGTGTGCTGATCGGGGAGCATGAAGAGGCCGAAGCCGATACTGATGAAAGCGAAGGCTAATACGCGAAGAGGTTGTACTTTCCTAGTTTCTGCATCAATTCGTCACCGACGAAAGCGAAGGCAGTCATGACTAGCACGGCTGGAAGGAGTTGTACACCGGAGCCAAGAGCTCTGGGGGACACTTTGGAAGTAAACGGGCAGACAGTACAGGACCTAAATGCCGTTGATTTTGTGGAAAAAGGTTGCGAGAAAAATGGCGATTGATGTGCGGTTCTTGAACAAGTGTAGGGGAATCAGCGGCTCGCGACAGAAGCGCGTACCTTCGAATAGAGTTCGAAGATGGGAGACGCAGGGAGCTCTAGAAGACCAAGAACGAGCGGACCGCCCACTCCCACAGAGCGCCACGGGTACAGGCTTCCAGTCCAGCCGACCCCAATCAGGGCTGACATACAAGCAGCAACGTGTTTCCGAGGTAGTCCAACCGTCTCAGTTGCTCGCCGATGGCGCCAGGTCTGTGTGCCAGGCGCAGAAAGAAGAACACAAGGAGAAGAGCGACACCGGCGATGGGAAGGTTGAGGGAGAAGACCCATCTTCAACTACTCTGCTGGACAATGACACCCGAGATCACGGGCTCAAGCGCGGTCCGGAGAGTTATTCCTCCAAACAGGATGGAAAGGCTAAATCTACAATAGGGCGTTGATTCCTCCGGCACCGAAGCCTTGTATAGCCCTTCCTGCAATCAACAGGCACCGCCACCGCCACAAATGCCGCTTCCAAGTGCGAACTAGCTGACTGTAATCATGAGGAGCCACTGACGGCTAAAGATATCTGCGAGTTGTCCAAAGAGAGGTTGGAATCCGCTCCTTAAGAAAAAGGATCAGAAGTGAGCTTCAAACGTAGAAGGATTCGATACTGTCTTATAGAGTTAAGAAGAAACTGGAAATCCTACCCTCCTCCTCCGAGACCTTGTGTAATACCTGGAAAGGAAGCTATCACAATAGTAGCTTCCAGCGCAGCCAGAAGGCCCGATACAGTTACTACAGCCATTGTGAGCCAAAATCAGATGCTTCTAGTGGGATCGGGAGGGGTTGGCTTTGCGTGGAAAAATAGATTGGAATTATTGTGTTAGTGCGTCGCAGGGTGATAACTTGAGAGAAATAGGATTACCTTAATCCAGAGGAGATAGCGAGAGAGATTCAAGCACTTAGAAACGTAAATGTGGTTGAAGAAACTATACCCATCTTGAACGTGTCGGCGTTAGCATGCAGCGTTCTCCTGGGTCACTAACGACGCCAAACGATCTCAGCGATGTGCAAACCGCAGTGAATAATGTAAATATCAGGATGCCGAGTATGAGAGCAACTAAAGACAGTACCGCAAGAACGAGGGGTTCCAAAGCAAGAGGATATCATAGGCTAGGATGGGGTGGGAGAAAACTGGCTCATAAAGGCCCGCTTCTCCTTTGCCCGACGGAAACGCTGCAGCTCCAATGGGTTAATGTGTGCGCCATAATGTAATAGAAGCTCAGTCATCGGAATGTTTCCGGTATTTAGAGCTAATCGAAGAGGGCTTCTGGGTGCAGTGGGAGAATTCGGGTCAATTCCACGTCTCAAAAGTCATTCCACAATCTTCTTTCGACCATCGACAACCGCCATGAGCATTGCTTCGTCTGTGTTGAAGCCCTTCTTGAGCAATAGCTCAACGATGTCGGCATGGCCAAAATTTATAGCATCTTCCATAGCAAAGTAGAGGGTGCCCGTGTCATCGTGTAGCCTAGTCAAGAGGCCCTCAACAATTGTCGTTTGGCCGTTAAAGATCGCGCAGTGTAACAGGTCATCAAGGTCGGGGACATGTTCCTCCGGGAAATCATGATCTAGTAGTACCTTGAGCACCTCACCAAATCCCAAGCGGACCGCCAGCCTGAAAAGGGTTGTTCCAACGCGAGCGGTACCAGATCCAATTGCTGACTCGATACGAGCGTTGTTCTTAAGCAGTAGTCGCACCATATCTGGATGGTTATACTTGACTGCAAACGATAGAGCGCTACCCCAGTCGCGAGCATGTGGTCCTTCGAATACCCAACCCCGGTGGTTGACCTCTGAGCCTTTCTCGAGGAGGTATAAGACTAGCTCCATGTTCCCCGATGCAGCCGCTTCAGGAAAGCATTCAGATGCAAGGGAGCGGGTTTCTCCTGTTTCGGAAACGGAAAAGAGGTATTTCACCACATTCAAATGTCCCCCATACGCGGCTTCTCTGATAGGAGTTCTTTGAAACATCTCGAGGAAATTCGGATCACCCACCGCGTGTAATCTGCCGTCGCCGCCTGCTTCCTTCAGCGCTCGGACAATCGAGAGGGATCCGGTCCTCGAAGCAATAAGGAGTGGTGTTAGTCTGTTTCCGGCGCGCACATCGGGATCTGAGCCTTCCTCGAGCAAGTACTGAACTAATTCAACATGTCCATGCTGAGTCGCGTGGAGCAATGGGTGCTCCAGGTTTCCTCCCAGGAACTCGTTATAGCGAGACGTGGACGTGGGCGCATATCCCTGCCGCACGTCGATACCCATAGTCAAGAATCGTTTAACTGCCGGCAAGCTTCCAAAAATGGCTGCCTGGCATATTCCTGCTCCGTCGTGCCGCCTGATATTGATCTGATAAAGGTGGTCGACGAGGATAGCGTGGAACTCTCGACTCACGCGGGCTAGAGCGCTCAAGTCCCTTTCTGCCGTCTGCTCTGCTATCATGAGAATCAACTCGGTGGGCAACCGCATGACTGCTAATGCACGCTTCCAGTAGGCCAAAAAGGTACCATATCACGCAGTTGAAACTGGTGTGCGTAGATTAGATCAAGGTAGGTATATTCTGGTCGACAACTGGTACATAGTTGTATAAGGACCCTTGTTGAAGATCGCTGGTGGGGCACATCGTCCCGATCGGTCGCCAGCAGAAGCGGGGAAACCATCTTAGTCAGCTTGTAGCCTGAGGCTCTGAATTCAATAATGGAGGAGTCTTGAGTCTATTGGCGGATTTACCGGAATTTGTTACGGCCGAGAATAATGTCCTTTTTCTCCGCTCGACTTTCCCTTACCTCACCTCACCTCTGCTCCTTTGCCAGCTGCAGCGACCATGACCGAACCCCGGACCATCCGAAAACGTAATCGCACGCCACGTTCGTGCTATGATTGCAGACGCCGAAAAGTGAAATGCAATAGGGCCAGACCCTCCTGCAAGGAATGCATCACCTTCTCACTAAGTTGCCATTACGAGCTTGATCCGCGGCGTCACCCTCCTCCGGTGTTTCGTGAACCGGCATCGGTCGTTGTCAACAGAGAGGAACAGCATCACAATGGAGAGTTGTATTCCACCACCACCGAAGATTCGCCGCCGTCAGCAACCAGCATTCGTGGCGTTCTCTCGAAGACCCGCGTTTATGGCCATGGCCACTGGATGAATACCCACTCATTGGTAAGCTTCAATGGGCTTCAAGCTTGAAATTATTCATACTAACTGTATTAAGATGGAGGGACTCCCCAGTCTCCAGCCGGTAGGTGATTTTTTTTATAAGCTTCGAAGTGACAGGGAAGTCACCCAAACGATCGCGGAATGCAAAAGGCTTGCTCGAGATATCAAAAAGCAGCGGCCTAGTCGAAAGAGCCTGCCGGCAGACATTCATCAGTCCATTCCGGACCGGGAAATTCTCGATGAACTTGTCATGCTTTATTTTCAAACATTCGAGCCCTGCTACCGGATCCTCCACTATCGATCTTTCATGGCTGAATATGAAACCTACATGACCCGTCAGGAAAGTGCAGAAAGCCCTATTGTGCTTCAACTGCTACTTGTCATGACCATTGCCGGCCCATTGCACACTGACGGGAATATTCGTCGCGATATTGCAGCGAATACCCGCGCGTGGCTCGATACAGCCCAGGGCTGGCTCTCTGCACCACTCGAAAAAGATCGGTTTACCTTGAATGGTCTGCAAATTTATTGCCTGCTTCTTCTCTCACGTCAAGTCAACCAAATTGGAGCGGATCTCGTTTGGATATCCGCAGGGTCACTGGTGAGGATGTCGATGCAGATGGGCCTGCATCAAGACCCTGACCTTCTTGGAGAAATGAGCGTGCAGCAGAAAGAGACACGGAGGCGGCTGTGGTACACCGTCTTGGAGATGGACGCACAAGCAGCATTAGACAGCGGGGTTGACTCGATAAACGCAACTGGGAATTATAATACCAAACCTCCGGCCAATGAAGATAGTGAGTCTTCTGCAGGACCTCATGTGAGCAATTTCTCCCTCCAGAGTCTGTTGATCAAGAGCCTTCCTCTTCGCTTGCGTGTCACGCGGGCTGTAAATAATATGCAGGAAGAACTGTCGTTCAATCAAGTCTTGGAATTGGGCAATGAGCTTGCGTCTGCTTGCCGGGATATTGGCAGTGCAATAACTCGTGCTGGCGCTCCTAGTTCCTTCTCATCTACGTTCTGCATTCACCTCGTTTGCAGGTTTGCTTTAGCCCTACACTACCGCCACTCGTTGAAAGCCATGGGAGGAAACCCATTATACTCGCACTCCCGTCAAGCATGCCTAGACGTCGCACTAGAGCTTGTTTCATTCCTACAGGACAACCTTTACAGCTGCGTGCTTCGTACAGGGGGTGGCATGTTTCGAGATATCCTTACGCGTGGTGCCCTGATTATTTTCGCCGAGCTGAATACAGAGCCTGTAGTTGGAATCTCGGCTTTTGCGAAGGAACGAAATCGCGCTCGCCAACAGCCACTACTCGAAGCCGCTCAGCAAATAGTGAACTATGCGCGAGACCGGATTTGGCTTGGAGACATGAATGTCAAGATCTATGTATGGCTGAGCATGATGAATGCGCAGGTCAGGGCGCGTCTGGCAGAGTTACCAATAGATGAGGCCGTTTCGAAAGCTACGTATGACAGCTTAAGAGCTGTCGGCGATATGCTGAAAACCTTGGTAGAGACCGAAAATCCAGATATGGCTTCTCGGAACAGCACAGTTGCTCCGGGAGAACCTGAAATTAACATTGGATCAGAGTTTGACTCCATCGATGGGTTTTTCGACTTTGATTTCGATACTCGAGAGCTTTCGCAGTGGACAGGCGCAATGTGCTAGAGGAGATTTGTAAGTCTAAGATTATAATACATTGACAGATATTGACCGTGTTTGGTAGAGGCGAGCCTCAGTCCTTCCTCACTCTGTCCTGTTCTGGATACGACGGGAGAGTCCAGCCGTTGGTGTTCTCGCGCAGAACCCAGCGAGCGACAATATCCAACCTCAACAGCGAGGCTATCCAAAACAGCCAGTAGATCACAGCGATCCCGGCGGACGAACTAGGGAACTTGTCCATATAGTTCTCGCTGTCCGTCAGACCCTTTTGCACCTGCTCAATCCATGGTCTGAGCTTCTCCTCGTATGACTTGAAAGCGTTCGTGATGCTTTCTTTCGACACTCTGGATCCTGCGCAATACCTCGCGATTTCACCAGCCAGGACATACCCACCGACGAGTCCACAAGTGGTACCCATGCCTGTCATAGCTGATGGACAGTAGGCAGCATCGCCGACAAGAACACAACGGCTGCGAGACCATACATCCAACTTGACCACGCCCATTCGTTCGGTATAGAGATCTTCAGAGTCCACAAGAGCTCGAATAATCTGTTCCGACTCCCAACCTGCACCTTGGAAGACTGCGACTAATCCTCGCTTCTCGCCGTCGACATCACCTCGCCTTGTATCCTTCAAGGCAGCCTCGTCCAATTTGCAAAAGGCATACGCCTGGTACCGGTCTTGCTCGTGGCGGCGCGTCATAATCCCTCGATTACCAGGAGCCATGAATGCCGTAGCGTAATAGCCGTCTCCCTCGCGCATATCTTGACGAATTGTTCCATAAGTTGCTAGAACACCAATGGGATGATACCCCGGATTGGCTTCCCCACTCTCACCACCCATTGTCAACTTCCGCATCTTTGACCACAGACCATCAGCTCCGACAACGATATAGAACCGCTCAACCTTTCCATCCGAAAATGTGACCTCGACCTCCTCGTCCTCGATGTGTCTGACCTCCACAGCATGTACCCCAAAGACAAACCTTACCCCAGGTCTCCCTTCACAAGCTTCATACAACAACCGACAAAAATCCCCCCTCATAATCTCCCAATCAGTCGTGAAGCTCTGCAACCCTTGACCTGAGCGATTCGCTCCAAAGAATCCCCACGATCTACCCTTGCGATCAACAAGTCGCAGCCCTTGTTCTGGCACGGAGACTTTGCGAAAGGACTTTTCTAGTCCCATTCGGTGGAGGACGTCGATGCCCGGGCCGCGGAGGTCGATTTGGAGGCCTGTTGCGCGGAGAGTGGGAGACTTTTCGATGACGGTGATTTCGTAGTTGTGGTTGACTCGGGAGAGACTGTGTGCTAGTGCAAGCCCGGAGATTCCGGCGCCTGTAATAAGGATTTTGAAAGGCATGTTTTTTTCTTATCAGTGTTCCTTTCTTGTTCAAAATGTTTTGAAGATGAGAGGTAAAATGACTCGATGAATGAAGAGGAATGAGAAAAAGTGAGATAAATTTGAGAGCAAAATGTGGGCTTTTGTATTCCAGGATTGTTGTGTCCGGTTCGAACCGATATATGCGTAAGGGCCGATAGTCCCGTCTTGGAGCGATAACACCGACCAACGTTCGTGATGTTTATTTTCCTTGGCAAGCAGTAATTGCTTTGAACTCTTCTAGTAAGTATCAATATATAGCGCGAAAGGCCGCTGACAAGCTTGACAGGATCAATAGTCGTTGGAGAGGTCGTCGAAGGCCCTTTGCTGGGTCTACGAATCTACGAGGAACTCTGAAGGATTTATGTGACCGAGTGGAACGGCATAATTACTACTACATTAAGAAAAACAAACAAACAAACGATACCGAACAAGATCCACAGACATCGAGGTATCAAGGGCCGAAGCCAGACAACAGACAGCAAATCATCGAACAACACATTGACCACTACGACTACATTAACTGCTTTTTAACAACAAAGAATCTAGACGGGCTGTAAGTATATACCGTGAGAGTGTACTGCGTAGACTGAGGCTTGCGCAGACTTACCTACCACGACGTGCGCCTCACCGGCTTACGGATGTCAGCCGACTGCACGCCGATACCATGATTCGACCCTTGGTTATGGGAAGCGGGCTCCTTGGGGGCAGCTTGGCGGGCATTGGACTGCTTCGAGGGAGCAGACCGCTTGGCGGCACCATGCTTCTGCACACCGGCGCCAGAGTGCTGGGCGCGAGGCTTGTCCGTATCAGGCTGACTGGCACGGGGCTTCTTCGAACCGTACTGGTTGAGACGCATGTGCCTCTGGCGCCGCTCGCGGGCGGCCTTGCGCTATTAGCCATACATTCTTCTGAGACACACTATGAGCGGCATACAAATGCAGAATTGACCACCTTGATCAGGCGAAAGGGGCAATGCGCGACTAGATGGCCGACTAGACCGCACTCTGCGCATTCTTCCTGGTTCTCGGAGCCATCGTGGGAGGTCTCGGCCGCAGACTGTTTGTAGAGTCGATGATTAGCCATACGAATGTGGCAACGCAGGATGGGTGGGTATGGATGACCTACACGCGAAGCATTGATTCCCTCATGTATGGCCTGGGGTACGGGACAGTTTTTCCATTTATGTCCGACAACACCGCACCCGTCGCAGACAGTCTTGGACACAGGACGCTTGCGGGGCATTTCGAGGTGTAGCAGTTGGAGGAACGGGACTGGTTGCAACGAGAGCTGAATCGAATCGAGTATCTGTAACCTGTTAGCTCATGTGCTTTTGCTCGCAGAGTAGTTGCTCGGGGCTTCGATTGAAACCGAGCCGCTCAAGGAGATCGGAGCGAAGTATGCGGGATAGGACTGTCGACGCCTCGCACACCCTGAAAACAAATAGAATAGGAGCGAAAAAGCCATGGTACGAGACAAGCTTGAGGAGAGAGGGAGATGGGAAGACAGCGGGAGTGCTAAACGGGTGCGGGACGGTGGCTGCTCTGCAACACAAACACAGGACTCAACCGTGCAATCTCACGTCAATCTGGAAGATGAAACGGGACATAGCCATTGAGAAGGAGCAGATGAATGGAAAGGGCTCTGATCAAAGGGAAGATCATGGCAAAACAAGCAAGGAGATGGCACTTACAGCAAAAGCATGCAGTTGGGGGAGATGAGGAGGAGAAGGAGAGGAAGAGGAGGGCGAAGAAGAAGAAGATCCGGAGGAAAGGCCGGAGGGCTCGCTCGACCTGGCGACGTGGTCTCGCACAGTGAGAGAATAAAAGAGTCAGACAGAGTGGAGGGAGGGTCGTCGTGCCTAAGAGCTTTGGGAGCGTTTTGCGGAGCAGGCCTACGATAGGAATCTTTCCGTCTTGGATATCCTAATTGTAGGAGTGAGTGCTATGTATTGATACCGATATTGCCCATATCCTTAATTAATTGTGGGGATGGTTAAGTGGGGGAACGATCTGAGGTGAAGCTATTCAACAAGGACCGCGTCGAGAGAATTGGCGACGGCAGTCCGGGGTAATTCTTGAATCTGAGATCGCCCTAGAGGCGTTCCCGGCCCATTTGGGCGCCTCTCAAGTCAGTCACTAAGAACTCGTTACTATTTTTGGTTTGTTCCTGGCTACCCTCGGCCAAGTGGGTGCTGCTACTGATATGGATCGACCCATATTCCCACAGCCTTAGGGACTGGGCGCTCTTGCCGAAAGGTTGACACATCCGACCCGCGCAAAAGAGGCAATGCGGTTGCAAAGCCTGGAGCGTCGGTACGGCACATGAAGGAAGCAGTTGTGCTCCCCTATCGTAATGCTCTTAGAAACCGTACTTAATCTGGGAGCGATGTGCCTACGTACAGACTCTCACGGGCCATTTCTCGTCAAGAAAAAGTCGAGTTCAGTCTCCGCGCGGCAATTTAACAGAGACTCAGACTTTTCGAGACATGGCGCGATGCTTGGTGGAATCCATAGCGGTACTCGAGCGTACGCTGCCGATGAAATACCTTTGATACGGCGCATGTTGCGAGGCGGGATTGACAGTGTAAGGCTCGAGGACGTATGCCTTGGCACTGCCATTGGATTAGCTCTTTATTTAGCTAGTATCCGTAGCTCCCTTGATAGGGTGGGTATACAGGGCGTATGGGCTGCAGACTTGAACCTCATGATAATGGCTGTAGAGAAACACTCAACCTTTTCTTGTCACTTCACACAATATGAATGAATTTCGGACTGATCACAAAAGCGCAATTAGAGGCATGGCCTAACCGCTAGTTATTATGATGAGAGTTTGGCAGATGAAATGCATTGCTCGGGTCGTTATCCGATCTGACAGGAGTAGAACGTCATCCATACCCCGCACAGCTCCTACCCGATCCCGAGCTTCTCCAACTCCAACTCTTCGCTGGTCAGAGAACTCGCGTCACATCCTTTTCTCTGCTCTTCTTCCATCATCAGCTACCTCAAAAAAAGAGCAACAAGAAACCATCCGAACCAATACCCGTCATGGCCGCAGCCAAAGTCGAAGTCGAGCAATACCACCTCTATCCAACAGACCACATCCCCAACTCCCCACGGCCTCTCTTGCACTACAAACACGCATTAGCCCAAAACTCCGCCAAAACGCACATCGATCCAGTCGAAGTCTACAATCTCTTTGCACGCAACGGCTGGGACGTCCAGTGGATTTTCCGGTACGGACCAACACAGCCATCACACTACCACTCGAAAGCGCACGAATGCATGGCCGTCCTCTCGGGGACGGCTACGATTCGATTCGGCGTCGCGGATACATCCGATGATCTAGATGCCAATACGCACGGGGATGCCTGGGAGAAAGGTGGGATTGAATTGAAGGCCGAGGCAGGGGACGTTTTCGTGATCCCCTCCGGGGTAGCGCATAAGACGTACAACACCAACCCCGAGGCAGAATTCCGGCTCCTCACGCCCGGCGAGGGACATGGGATAGACGCAGACGATAAGCGTGAGGCACTAGAGAAGATCGAACTATCAGGCTACACGATGCTGGGCGCGTACGCTGGGGGAGTGTGGGATTTTGTCGAGAGGGGAGGCGAGTTTGAAAAGGTGTGGGCTGTTCCTAAACCAAGGCTTGATCCTGTCTTTGGGGATAAGGAGGAGGGGCTTTGTAAGACGTGGAGGGGAGGTGGGGAGCCGGCGCAGTTGCGGCTGTGATTCTGGGCAAGAGCTGAGTTTATGTATCTAAAGAGCTGTCCAAGTGGACTGGGAATGGCCATTTTGACGTCTGCAGAGACAACTCGGAGGGCTTTTCGCAGGATCATGATATCGGAACCACTGTTCGAGATAATTCACCCAAGGGGAGAACTGGCTTTTTTTTTTTAGAGCGTGGTTGAGATCTCGATTTTCAGATTTAGTCAGGCTCAAAATAGCGGAACCTGTTCACCTGGAGAGGGAGCACTAAGGTGTTTTATAGCTGCTTAGAGAATATCGCTGGGATCTACAGGATAGGCTTAGATTATCGCAGAATATTTATAGGAGAAATGCCTGTGGGAGATTTTGGTAGTGAGCAAATGAAATATGAATCTGTTCTCTCTTGACAGGAGAAGTGATGTTTATGCTTCTTATGTGATTCTTTGCCCTCTCTTGTGAATATCTTGTCGTATATAGGGAGTATCACAGTTTAGAATGTTCCTCATCAAGCAATCTACTAGACATAGATCATACTGCATAGCTTTAGAAAGCGTTCATCCAAATCAAATTGTGCCCTGACCCATTATCTCTTTGTGATTAGCATATTGTGGATATCTACATCAATTACATCCATCACGGCCAACCCAGCCAGGACAGAGACTTTAGTCAATCCAAGACGCACCACACCCATATTATATTACAACACAACAAAGTACCGGGGCAGCTATCCAGCCTCGCCAGTTTCCCCTCGCAATATACGAGAGAAGAAAACCGCCTAGAAAAGCAAGTTCCCGAAAACACCCAGCCAACCCAGAACAGCAGCCCCACCAGCAGCAAGCTTGGCATTCGCTGCCCCAGTAAACTCAGGCGACTCTGGAGTCTCCGTGGGAGGGACAGCAGAGGAAGAGGAGCTGGGAGGCGTGGTGGTCGTAGTGGGGATCACGGGGGTCGAGCTGGTGGAGGTGGAGGTGGGCTCAGCGGTGGTGGTCGAAGTCGCGGTGGACGTTGGCGGGAGGGTGATTCCGAGCTCGTCGGCGCACTCTTGGGTAGTGTACTCCTGGAATATAGATTAGCACCACAGCTCCCGCAGAAAAAGGTACATGGAACGAGGGGTATGCCTCATGATTTGGTACATACATCCGGACAGCAGTAAGGAGCGTACAGACAGTAGGATCCAGGAGGGCAGACGTCTATATAACACCAGTATTGTCAGTAATGCGATGTTTACGTGTACGCGTCTCGTCGCTAAGCGGATGACCACCCCAGCCCTTTTGAGAGCGGCGTGACGGGTATATACACTCGTAGTAGACAACCGAGGGCACTCACGCTCTTCACCAGGGCAGCACTTATAATCTTCAGCTTCATTGAAGCAAAAGTTGGTGTTGCCGCAAATGGGCCAAGTTGGATCGCATATATCTGTCTCCGGGGGGTCGAAAGCGTTGCCCGGGCCCTGACGCTTGGCGTGGTTGACGTGCAGCGGGAGCACTCTGTGGGAAGAAGCCAGAGCGTGGCTAGCACTACCCAGCATGGAGCCGAGGACGAGGATTGAGGCGTGCATCTTTGGAACGAGCAGAGTGAATCTCAGGTCGAAAAACGAATGTTGGAATGAGAAGATGCCCGGTTGCAGGGAAGAATTCGGGGGAGGAAGCTGACTTTATGGGGCTCCGGATGACAGGAGGTGTGGTTTGAGCCTCATGAGTTGCTCGTAAACAAAGTTTTCAGTGTTCCACTCATGAATGTCAAACAACGGGCCCTTACTGATGGACTGGCAAGTGGTATTGGCCAAACGCGGTCTCATCTCCGAATACGAAGGTTGATGACGCCCAGCTGTCCGCGGCGCGAGGAATCCACCAATCACTCTGGCAAAGTGGCTCCTGTGCTGGAGAGGGGTACGTACTCAGATGAAAGGCCAAGGCGAGCAGAGGCTGAATCAAGCCGCTCACAGTGCTTTCTCTACCCCTCTCTCCTTGAGTGGCGTCTCTAGGCGACGATCATGGCTGGTGGAGTCTGGAGTTGTGTGGAATAGCGACAGCGCGACGGCTGCCAAGGAGCTCTGAGCACACCCAAGAGTGACACCTTATCATCACAACTGAGCGGTTAACCGTCATTATCCTATCGATATCCAGCTACCAACCTTAAACTTGTGGAAGCCACGGCGGCTGAAACCATGCAAGCATGTCGCTTGAGGGTTAGCCATGCCACACCTTCTCCCTGAATTACTTAGCGAGGATTCTCGTCGGCGTGCGGAGTACTCTGTACGTAAGAGGGGTCCTTGACTAGGGGCTCCAAGCTGCGCCAAGGCGCGCGAAAGGCTGCGGACTTGATTGGGGTGCAACTAGAACCTTTTCTCCTCTCCAATGTGTCTAGGCACGCAGGTGCGGTATATTCTGCATGGTGGCATCATAATAGAACTGTCGAATTTGATGCTTGTGTGGGTGGCAACCCCCAGCCGTCGGATATGAGACTCAGTCTGATAGTTCCTGAGTAATTTGATGAAACGTTGTTGATATGGAGGGATGCCCCTCCGCACCTGGGCTGCCTCGATTGGCCCAAGAGATCAGCATGCTTGGCACAAGGCAACCAGTTGCATGACGGATGTCTGAGCACAGGTTTGATCCTCAGAATTCCATGAATGTTACCTTGGGTGCGTCAAGCACCATCTTTCGTTTCTGACACTGTGATCCAAATATCGTCTCCCAGGCGAGAAAATCCCACCAAGGCCTAGACAGAAATCTTCCTTGACTGGCGGTAGTTATTTGATATACCCTATGTTGGCCACCATCCATAGATTTATCTTTCTTATGATATGGACAGCTGTGTTCTATATCAACCGATATAAACATCGCGCCCCCTTTTTGGAGAGGATGATCGCCAGGCCCATCAAGTACGTTTTGGTACGACGATCGACAAGCCCTGCGATATAAACAGTTTCAAGGATCAGGAAGATCTAAAGTCAGGCATGCTACCTGCTCAATGGTATCCAATACTTCTTCCACCCTTGCTCCGTGTCAGCTTCACGGAATATATCAAGGCCCCCTCCAACCCCATGTTCCGTGACCTCCCAATCCCCAGACTCCACTCGCTCAGCCCAGTTGATGAGAACTTTGTGAAGCTGAACACTATGCAGCGGGCCAAATCCATTATATCCCGGCTGATACAGATCAGAGTCCACATCAGCAGGATTTGCATTATCATCCAAGGGACTCATCCCAAACACCTCAAGATCACCAAGCCGCGCCCAGCCATTCGAGCCGAATGTGAACGGGAGAATAAGCCGACAGCCGTTCTGAAAGACCTGATTCATACCACCAGCCGTGTTAGTGTACACTCCCGCCGGAATAGACTGACCGTCATTGTAGAGCCAGGTACCGCGCTCGGGGACTGCATCGTTCGAAGCCAGGGTTGCGTTGTCCGCACGGAAGAGGAGCACTGGCATGTCACGCATGCTATTTGTTGCGTGCCAAGGCTTCTGGCTGTAACCTTCATGATGTGGCTGAGCGATGAGCTCGTCGACTGTTGCAATGCGTATGCCTGGCGCAATGTACCGGAAGGAGAGCGTGAACTTGGCAGTTTCCTCGCAAAACGCCCTGGCAAAGGTCCCTGGCAGAATGTGGGCTGCATCAAGGGCCGATAAGTCGGCCCAGGGAAGTGTGAATGTCCCTCGATCCTGGGCGCTGTCCGACGATGCGGTTTGTCCTGAGGAAATGCGCGCCTCAATCGCATCTATCTGGCGCTTAAACGCCAGAGCGCTTTTCTTGACATCGATATCCGTAAATCCATGCCACAGCCATGGCCCGATTGAATCCGAGCTGCTCTCCCTCTTCCACGTCCCATCCGGCGAAGAAACCTCAACCTTGCCTTCCTCAATCATCTCGAGATAGGCCTGAAATATATCCTCCAGCGGCTTCCACCCATACCCCATAATCCAGTATGGGGACCATGTCTTCAAAGTCCGCAACGAACGCTGCCTTGTTCGTATGCTGATCGAAGATCACCCCCATTTCATCCCCCATTTTGAACCCCGTCGCCCTGTAGAGCAGGGCATAGCGATCATCTCCGCGATCCCTAACCCAGCCGTCGTCGAGTAGATTCTTTGGATAGTTGAGTCCCGAGAGAAAATAGAAGAACTCGGGTGCATCCGTGTGGAAGTAGGCGCGTTTAAGGAATTGCACCAAATCACCGTTGAGCCGGTTAGCGAAGTCGGCGGGAGGCGCGAAATACTCCCACCACGTCTGCGAGGGGGCGGATTCAAGGGTCCGCCCAGGGGCGCTTGCCGTCCATCCAGTCTTGAATATTTGGTTATGAAGACTCGCGCACAGGTCGTAGTCGAACTGTATCGCTTCCACTGGTGGGTGGCCCTCCCTGGGGCAAAAAGGCGGGGAGGACATTGTCGTGAAAAGGGATGGAAAGAAATTGCGGTTGTCAAGTGGGTTAGTAACCGCATGTTGTGGGTTATTTTTCTTTCTTTCTCCAGTCTTTGTGGAAGGACTTGAAGTTTTCAAAACCAGGCAATTTGGGTTCGATCTGCAGTGACTCAATTGTGCCCATGGCCGCTAAGATGGACTGGGGTGGAATTAGCGTGCTGTTTTAGGGCTAAAGTCTAGATTGTCTCCATCGATCGGGGCCGATATACGTCTAGGCCTGGACCTCCAAACGAACTTTCGTGATGAACTGGTCGCTATTTTCTTGCGTCAACTTCTAGAACTACAAATAGAAGTTCCATTTTTGTCGATATTTCCAATGCTGTAGTATATAGTCCAAGATATATTTGCCCGCTTGGGATCGGAGAAAAAGCATCGTAGTAATCGAACTGAACTCGGTGGTAAAGAGAACCTCTAATTTCGGGTTTCTTTTTCAATACCGCAGGTAAAGCAAGGGATATGCGTCCTCCCTTAGCTTGTTTAGACCCCTGGTGTCGTTTTACTCTTGGATACGTCCATCTGGCTTGCAATATAGCCGCCGTACGGAGTACATCTATGGATCTCCGCTACCCTACCCCTGAATACTGCTTTCAACAACAACAGCTAGGTCATTACCCAAAATAGTGTCTCGGTAGTCGCAACGGAATAAGGAGTCGGGCCACGAGGGACAAAGAGTACTTTGTGGATATGCTCCTATACGGCTAGGACCGTGCCCACTTCATTTATCTGACTATATGGATATTGGGAGACATGGATATGGAAACCACTCAATGCAGATCCAATCACCCTACCCTCACATTCACGTAGGGAACAACCATAATATCCCCTACAAGCCCATTCTCCGACAACCCCGGCACTGGAAGCCCCATCTCAAGCAGCCCCGGCAAATGACCCTGATCCCGAATATCCGGCAAGATACTCCGAATGTAGTTCCACATTGTCGTCGGGACAACGGCGAGGATCTCGTTCCTGCCGTGCTTCAAGTACGGAGTTATATCCGCCCGTGCATCCGTGTAGTCTAGCGCCGGTAGTCTGCGGCCGTTTATACTGAGTTGGATTGCGTGGAGGATGCGGGAGAAAAGGATGTATGCGCCGTCTGCGGTGCCGTCGCCGGTCAGTGGCCATTGGAGAGTTGTGCTGTAGTAGCCTAGCCCGGAGGTGTTTTGTAGGGAGGGGATTTCGGTCCACGATATCAGTTTTTGGAGTTCGTGGGTCGTGTTGTGCTTTTGCGCTATTGTACTGGCATCGCTGAAGTTTGTTGGTGCTTCCCAATGTTCGGCGATGAGTTTCCAGTTGGTTAGATTGAACGGCTTCGCTATCTGCTGTGTTTGAGGCAGCTCAACATGTCGATTGTTTGAGAGGCGAATGCGCCCGAGTGCTTGAGACCCGCGCTGATTTGTAACATGGGCAACCCAGCCATGTTTCCGGTCAAATGTCGCGTTAATCACCGAATCAGGACTCTCAACAGCATGGACCTTGGGTGTTCCAGACTCACCCAGAGGGCGAGAAGAGAACGCAATGACTAGAGTCTGATTACCCTGAAGCGATACTGGGATGGTCAAGCCAGACTTCGTTACACTGTAGGTGAAAACAGGCGCGATGGCACCCGTCCATGCATTAAGATAGAACGGAGTCTTGTTCTTTGCAGCGCCGGTCACCGTGATATATCCCGAGGATGAGTTGGTGTCGCAAAAGACCAACGCATAGTCGATTCCAGTCGAAGCGTCCTCCCTCCAAGTTGTGTACCATTGCCCTTCGGTTTGGACCTTGATATTGGGTGACAGACCAAGGGATGTGAGCTTGTCAGCGACACCGCCAGAATCCACCAGGTATACGTTATCAGATGTCGACAGATCCGTTAGGGCAGCTTCAATGGCGGCGGGCTCGCTCCCATCAGTCGAGGAGCTATAAACGCCGGGCAGGCCTCCGCTGAAGATAATCGGCAGCCCAAGCGTCGCATATTCTTGGATTTTTTGCGCTCCTGCTAGGGTCATGTTGCTGTCGCGCGTTATAACGAGTGCTTTGAATCTGGGTCCATCTGGACCGAGGACACCCTTCCGCACTGTGGCCTCTGGAAGGGCAAAGTTGTCTGGGGTGAGGTATGCCCACGTCCACCCTGGCAAAATGGTTAGCATTTGACGAAAGTGTGCGAAAGGCGTCGAGTGGGTAGCTACCTGCATCAACCAAGTCATCCGCCTGATATACCGCAGGGAATGCGGTGGAGTCGGTAGCGGAGGCTTTGTTGTAGATGGCCACATCGACTCTCGCAGTTCCCTGTCGCTGGGTATACTGGGTTCGAGCAAAGAAGTTCAAAACATCCGACAGACCATGATCCCAGGAAGGCTGCTTGTCCGAATACAGTTCCGAAGTCGTAAAACTGAAGGGCGTATTTCCAGGCCACGTAGTCTCATAGTAATCCCCAGTATAGCTCTGCCCATGCAGGACAATCTGGTTCACCCCTCCAACAACCGCACGACCAACAGAGAACAAAAGACTGGGAAATGTATACCCGTACGCTGCCATAGTCGCGCCCATCTCGTTTGAGATAACCTTCGTACCTGCGAGTAGTGCGGGCCCGGAGAACTGGCGGTAAGCATCAACACTGGCTGCAAACTGGAGGCTCTCGCATTCTGGGGCGTCGACGACGGGTATATTCACCCCCATATCCATGGGAAGATTATAGGAAACTTGGGCTGAAAACTGGAGCTTGAGCTCATTGTGTGCCCAGTCGGTCAGCGTTTCGAGGTACTCCCGGTAACAATCTTCGAGGACACCGCGGAAGTCGTTGATGTAGCCAGCCCCACCGTCTGGGGGCGCTCAGTATGCTTTGCACCGCGCCTGGTCTCAACTTTTGAATGTTGACGTTGTTGTTCGGCCAGAGCGTCCCAAAGTTGATTACGGGTAGGTACCGCTTCAGGCTGTAGCCCAGCTTGCGTTCGAACCTTTCCGGCAATGCTGGTGTCCAGCTTGTGTTCGAAGTGAGCTCCATACTATCTTCCCATGCTAGTGTAATTGTAAGGCCAGAGTATTTGCTAGTAGCAGAAGGAGCAGCATACCATAGTTTCCGGCCTCCATCACCAACTCTTTGATCCCATCGGCAAGTATATGCTTCTCCCAGAAATCAATGACAGTCTGTGCGCCGCGAGCGCTATAATGATCAACAGCATAAGAGCCATTATCCCAGATCGTCGCTGTAGCATTATTGTGAAACTCGAGATTTTTGTGCAAAGTCTGCTTCTGATAGTAGGCAAAGAGACGGTGCCCAACACCGCCCTGTGAAGAGGTGGAGAGAGAGATTGAAAGCTGTCCGTCTTCAGACACGTGGTCCGTAAGATCCGCCAAGCTCTCGTGATCTAGCACCAAGCTGAGGTAGCCCTCCTGGCCTGAAAGAAACGGCGAGTCGATCACTGGTAGCGAAACGTTGGTCTGCGACAAGACTTGTGCTGAGACCACCGCGATAAGCTCGCCCGTTCCCCAGCCGGGGATCTGGCCTTTGAAGGCTGCATTCGCGACTTCGACGGAGTACGGGACCTATAGTTGAACAATCAGCCAGTAACTCCCGAAGCAAGCAGTGCGTGGTCTGCATACCAAATCCCACTGCAACCCCTCATCCTCAGACGAAGCCGGAACGCCCTGTCCCTGATTCGGCCCAAGCGCAAAATCCATAAAGAGCCCCGCATCTTTATGCGCCTCCAGCGCAGCACGAAACACATCGCGGAACGCCGGTGTACCGAACCCATTGGTAACCCAATCGGCCTTGGGAGACGGATCGAGAGTTTCACCACCGTAGTTGTAGAACGCGACGAGTTCGACTCCACCGGCGCCCTTCTCGCCGCTGTCTTTGATATTGGCGGCTACGATCTCGCCGTTGACACTGGCGTCTGGGAGCCAGTAGCGGAACCGCGGGCGGGAGTGGGCGGAGGGGTTCTGAAATGTTCCGAGATATGAGGACGGGGAGGAGGAAGGTACCGGGGCGGGGAGGCATGCTGAGCCGAGCACGCCGGCTGCATGGAGGAGCGCCAATATTTCGAGGCGTACCATTGTTGTTTGTCTTCTGGTGATGGGGGACAAGGATGGGAAGGGTCCATGTTCAGCTACTAGAGGACTGGGTATCGCGTCCACATTTGTAGTGCCGTACAGTTGACCTTCCCCGCAAACTGGCAACACCTCGGGGGATCCTCGTCCGGGGCTCGGTATAACATTAGGAGAAGTCAGCGATTGGGGTACATTGGGGTAGCGAATTGTGGAGAACGTAGCGTGATAGAAAGAAAAGAACGAAGTCAAAAGGGAGAACCAAACACTCCCCACATTGCCGAACTTTGGTCCACTCGTGCGCCGAACCGACCCGGACCTGGCGGCTTGAGGTGAGCTGAGCTTTCGCTGGCTCCGGCACAAGAGGGCTGAGGGAGCAAAAAAAAATTCGGGAACTATTCTAACGCAGTTTAGGACCGCGACCTGAAGGTATACCTACGTAGAGAACCTCAAAGAAGTCAAAGGACATATTGTGGAAAACAAGCTTGGCAGAAGAAATTTACATTGGTATCTTCGATTTTTCAACCTGTTTTGTTCAACGGGGTTCGACGTCAGGAGCATAGCTGTGACCACACATAGGCCGACTACCAAAACTGGTTGCCATGCTTACCATGTCAAATGACGGTGTATGTGAGGGTCGACGGGCACCATCCCAAACCTTCCAGACAGGATGAAACCGTGAAACTTGCCTCTGGGCAATTGGGACCAGTTACTTATTTCTTTTCGCAGACACTGTGGCTGTTGCAGCCCGTTGACTTCAAGTCACATCCCTTGCTTTTCTCTCCAAGGACAATGTAAACTGGCTGGAAAGGGACTCCTGGTGGCCCAGACTGAGCGGCAGGCAGGACACCAGGCGCCGGCTGGAGCGTACGTTCCCCGAACCGCGTGTTCCTACTCGCTGCTTGACACCCGCTGACGGAGAGAGAAATCCTGGCTATCCTCACGACGTGGTCCTGAGGAATCGAGTAACAACCCCAGCGCAAAGCGTGCGAGCATTGGAAATTGAATGCCTTCGGAATGTGGGCAAGGATGGGGCTGACAACTTCAGTTGAGCGGCATGGCACCTTGCCCACTCGGCCTTTCTTGTCGCTTATCCTTATTCTCTAGCTCACCATTCTTGCCTTTCGGAAACTACTCGCTCCCCTGTGACCAAGAATGGCCGGAGTCACCGAAATCGCCTTTGCTCCTCTAAATAAGGGCATCCGCCTCACCGACCCTAGCAGCGACGCGTACAAGACCCTGACGGAAAAAGCTCTGAGGCCGATCCGAGAGTGGAAAGAATGTCAAGCCATCTATTGGGGTGTCGGAGTCGAGGATCCAGATCAGCTCCGCCTGTTTGTCGACTGGGACTCCCTGGAGGCTCATGAAGCGGCGAACAAAGACCCGTAGGTCGCAGACAGGCTCATGAAGTAGGGAGAGAACGAATTGCTAATAATCATCTGCTTTTCAAACAGTGCCTACCTGCCTGCTGTTATACCCATCGCCTCGGTATGCTCTGGGGCTCATTCTGTTTTCCATGCACGATTCCACCCCCATCCACCAAACGTTCTTGCTTCAGCGCCAGTGACCGAAGTTATGACGACTTACTTTCCAGCTGATTACTCTCCTGAGGATCAGAAGAAGTATGATAGTAATACTAGGGAGTTTCTTGAGGCCTGCCGCACGATTGCCGACGGGCCCTTATTGAGTAGTTCGGGGTGGGCTGAGGAAACGCTGGAGATCGACGATGGTGAGACAGCGAAGGCTTATATCACGCTGCTTGGATGGGAGTCAATCAATCATCATAAGGCCTTTCGCGAGACGCCCGCTTTTAAAAAGCTGACGGAGAAATTGGACTATCCGAAAAGCTTGAAGAAGGTGGAGAGTGTCCACGTCCGGGTCAAGGAGTTCAAGTGAATAAGAAAAGCGGAATTCAGTAGGGTTTTTATTGCATTGCGAGAGCTTTGGTGCTGTTGCCTTAACTTTACAAACAGTAACTATTTTCATGGCATACAGATCAACGTGCTGTCATTTCAATTTCATCTACTCATCCCTGTACTCTAAGAGCACAAACAGCAGGCTTAAGCTGTGTCTCCAACAATATCTACTGGCAGTCCTTGTTTTCCACCAGACCTAAGCATAGCTTCCACAATCCTCAAGTCCTCGAGCGCGTTCGAGGTCGACAGCTTCTCATCCAGTTTACCGGTCAGGATACAGTCCGCGAATGCAGCCACCTCTTCCTTGACACCCCACATCAGCGGAGCCGGCTCGGAACGCTCTTTCCACTCACTGCCTTCCTGCTCTCGCTTGATCGCGATCTCCATCTGGAAGGGCCGATATACAACGGAGCCTTTGTCGGTGACCACTTCAAACTCCATGCCACGCTTCGATTTGATCCCAACGGAAGACACGTACGTGCCGCTGCGTCCCTGGTCGGTGCTCAAGACGGCGTGGACAGTGTCGACTGGAGGGAGGTGCGCTTGTAGGGACGTAGTATGCGCAGAAATGCGGCTTGCTTTATGCCCGACCGCTGCAAGCAACGTTCGGAGGACAGCGGCGAAATGGACACCTCCATCTAGGAGATAGCCGCCTTGGAATTGAGGTTTCTGGCGCCTTGACGACATCAGTGACAAATGGGAAGAGAAATACAAAGGATACCAGAAGGTATGTGTGTGGATCTCCCTTACCAGTCAGAATGATAAAACGGGTTCTCAGCGTCCGTGAACGAAAACGCAGTGACCGAGAAGGTGACCAGGCTCCCACCCATCTGCTTGAGGATACTCGCTGCTTTGTGTACAGGTTCCCAGAACCGGAAATTCTCACCAACTGCCCAAAGGACGCCCCTTGCCTGTTGACGGTGATGATCGATCAACTCCCGTGCTATCTTGACGTCCGGAGCAATGGGTTTCTCGCTCAAGACATGTTTTCCCGCCGCTAATGCTTCCTTGATCAGTTCTGGCGACACGGGGATCGCGACCGCTATGATAACTGCAGCGATATCGGCACGGGACAGCAGCGCATCGAGTGATTTGGACGAGACAGACGGTGAGTCGAAATATGCGTCTACGTCCTCGCCGGCTTCAGCGGCTAACTTCTCGGCGGAGGCTTGGGACCGCGAGTAGACAGCTCGTAAGCTCATTGAGGGGCATGCCTTGATGGCTGGAAGGTGCTCTGTAGTGCATAGTGTTAGAGTTGTGGGAATACTGCTTAGGGAAGCGTTCTCCATGCCTTTACGTGCAAAGACACCAGCCCCAAGCAAAGCTACTCCGATGGACATTGTGGGCAAATGGGAGAGAATGGTCGGTGCTTTACTTCAAGTCAGGATAGATAGATCTGTATAGTCACAGAGCACTTCGTTCCGGAGTATATTTAAGTCATCATTCATCACCGGGGTTGCTTCCAATCAATTTCTCCACTACGTACCCCGCTAGTCTTGCCCTTGACTACACCGGGGGCTTGCGCGATCCCCCGCCGGAATGTGCTCCGTCGTCCGGTTCGGCTGCCCACATTTTCGCCCACACTTTCCGTTGGCGGGCTCGGTCTTCCAGCACGAGTTCTCCGCACGCTCAATGACGGCCTTTGCATGTAGCAGTAGCTCTAGAAAGTATCAGGACACTACTTCCTGATATAGCCACCCCTGAGGCGTAAGTTCGATATACCCACCCGCACAGCACTCCTTTCGTTGCCCAAGAAGCCATATTAGGCATAATAAAGCTTAGATCAAAAAGCCACCGGAGGCCAATACATCTGTGAACATTTCTCTGGCTCTACAACGTGTGTCTGTCTTGCCCATTGGAGATGAGCAACCGCCGCAATCAGATTCCAGTCGAGTTTCATCCTAAGCCCGTTGAGGATATAAATCCAAAGGATGAGTAAAAGGCATTTAAATTTCACCCCTTACCAACCTTTACAACAACCACATGATCATTTTCCATCGCCATTCCTAAACCCATCGTTCCAGATTCGCTCTGCGAGGGTTCCAAGAATGACAAGGTTATTCTTCGTGCTCTCGTCCACAAAGGCAGGTCGCTCTGCAAACGTGATCCCATTCCCCGAGATCTCTGCAATCTTGCCATTGAGCTCAGGGTCGCCCAACAGCATTTCAACTGCACGAGTCACCGCTGTCAATGGGGTAAAGACGATGCCAGGAAGGTCCCGTAATGTAACCCCGATGTTCGTTTCTGGGTAGGCAGAGGTTTGCTCGGTCAGACAGATACTCTAGCCACTACGCCGTTTGTGAATGTTGATATTAGGGGTTTTCGACTCGGAGGGTCATGTGCTGTGCAGGGGACGCAGGAGGTAGAAGATGGATATGATGTTATTGAAGTAGTCGCCAAAGGGCCCTGGTGCACTGGGAATGTTGGCATGGGTGGTAATTCCCACCTTGCGCAGCGCCAGTGGTTCATCGCGGCAGAGACCCCCATCTCTCAGGGCTATTGCGCCTTGGGAGGCTACGCAGACATGTATCGCGAGACGTCTGTCCGCGGTGGTATTTACAGCGGTGAATCGCTTCGACGAGCTTATTTCCAAATATGTCATACACGGTCCCGAGATTGAGGACACTCGGGCCATGTTCGACAAGTACCCGCTTGCCAATGGGTACTGGAACGACAAACAAACTCAAAAGTACATTTAATGAGTATATTCCAACCTATATATTCTGTACGCCCACCCCACTGCCCTGCGGCGTGGCCAATGCTATAACGTAATTCCCGACCAATCCGCCATCCCGACCGATCCGCCACCCTCCATTAATTTTGACCATGCTCAGTAAACTTGAAGCAATCCCAGCAACCAAAACCTTCATTAAATTAATTAAACTAATCATTTCAACAATTAGGACATCTAATTCTAGTATGCCCCTGAATATTACATTCAGAACACCTTGGTGGAGCACGTTTTCGAGGTGCTAAAGATATTCGGAGCAGATATAGTAGAGCTACTTTGACCACCACCCTCTCTGTATTCAACTGCTTATTTCTTAACATAATTAGATCCCTTGCCTCTTGTACTAATAGACCTTCATTAGGAGTTATTTGGCGCTTAGATCGACGCTTTTTTCGCTTGTCTTTCTCATGTTCTGCGCGGAGATCATGTAATTCCTTTAACATAAAGGCTGCTTGGTGCATTATCAATTCACAACCTTTTAGTAATTCATCATAACTCCTCTTTGAAGGTAAAGAGGGACTTCTCGAGTCTCTCTAAAGCATCTTCTTAACTAACGAAGCCTTTTTAAAGAGTTGGCGAGCAGTATGAGGCGTTGCTAGTATCAAGGAACTAGTTGAGCCCCCCCACGGCTCTAGGGGGGGGTTAGCGTTGATATCTTGATATTCAACTTGTCAAGCACGCGTTGAGGGTCAAAAGGGAGTATCCTAGCTGTAGCAAAGCTGCTTTGAATATTCTAAATAGTAAAGACTTCGTGGTGAGCGATAGGATAAGTGCTTAGGAAGTCAAATTTATTAATATAGTTGAATCCCAAGCGCATCTTTGACTCGACTAATTTGCCGTACGCGCGCTTTAGTGGCCCAAAGCAACCAACATCTAGTGGTTGTAGAAGATGAGATGAATGAGGAGGCATGTAGATAGGAATAATATCATTCTTCTCGCAGAGCTGATCGAATTGAAGCGTAAGATGACTCCCATGGCCGTCAAGGACTAGTAATTGATATCGACCAATTTTTCGACTAGTAGTTGCAGGAATAAAGGACTTTTCAAGCCACCGGAGGCCTATCTTATCAGTAGTCCAGCCATTCGCGCTTAGTTCAATCCTCTAGTTAGGTGGTAGGCCATATTCTTCAAACCAGCCCTCGATATAGCGCTTGCCTTTGAAGATAATACATGGAGGGACCATCTAACCACTTGAATTGATACATTCGATTGTGGTAACCCATTCACGGTTGCCTGATGGCGGATTGGTCGGGAATTACGTTATCCGGAGGACTCCAGTGGCTGACTAAAACATGATGATTGTGGCTTTCGGGCACAAAAGGCGCCGGTGCAGCAGAGGATGTTTCATGAGTTGGGGAAGGCACGGTTGGGATCTGTCCTTGTCAAGGCAAGGCTCAGTTGATCTGTAGCCTTATACAGGGCTGCTGCGTTCAGTCTGTGACTCGAGAATTCATTTTTTTTGCGACTAGTATCCCAACAGACGTCTGGTCTGGATTTATGCGTACCAGTGGATAACTGGCCAATGAATGGGCGCGATTCTCAGTTCGAGGAGACACACCTATAATGCAGTGTGATATTTGTGCCCAAGTGTGCTGCTTCTCATCCCTGATTGGTCAGCGCGTCGCACCCTTGGGCTGACTTCGCAGCATAATACCTGCGCCTCGGAGCACCAAATGGGAGGAGGGGTACAAATATATCCCGCCAGCCCCTTCCCCCACTCCCGTCTGCTCCTTTGGCGAGGGGGCAACTTTGCTCAATTCACCCAATTTCTGCGAATCACTTAATCTCTCCGCAACTTGGGGCAACAAACATAATGCCGGAGATGTACATCTGCTGCCATTGTGGAGATGGGCCGAAAGTGTGGGCTCACCAGCCTACTTGCGTCATGTGCAACCATACGTCTTGCGATGGGACTTTAGTATGAGCACACCACAAAATCCTAGCCATCCTAATGACGGTGCATACTTGGGCTAACCTGGCGCGAATTTGAATCGTCATAGCAAGTAAGTGAGCAGGACGACTAGGGATACGTGGGAGAGGCTAATTCGACGGTCCGCTCGACCACACTTTGGTGATTTAGGTGTAGGTAACCCGCGGCACTACTGGATTGCAGAACATATCTGATATCGACCACGTTAATAGTTCCCCTCAGCACTACCCTGCCGACCCAATGTCGCCAAAGTGTACAACAAAGAGCTTGGAAAGCTGTAGAAAGGACTGGCTATGTTTGAAGGATACTCTTGGTGAAACGCACGAACAAACACTTTGTGCTGGCTTCAAATTCGCCAAAGTGCTTGCCATGGGAAGGCGCTATGACCCAGCGCTGCGCTGGTATCGTTATGTGTATCTGGCTGAACTTGAGCTGTTTGGAGGGCGGAGCTTGAAGGTGTTGGAGGTCAGGAACGCGATTTCGGATGTTTTGGACGGTCTAGGAATGGACAAGGATTCATCGCGATGGCGGGCCAAGTCAGGACCTGGTTGCATTCGTGTGTAATAATCCGAGAGATATTTGCATGAATCTGCCATAGTGTGTGTCTATCGCCCTCGTTCCTTTCTATCCTCCATGTCACGGGGTGGGTCATCCAAAGGCTGGCTGGCAATGAACCCTTCCAAGTTATCCTGGAGAGATGGTATAGCATTGATGATAAAATGTTCCAAATCAACACTTGAGCTACCGAAGGCAGGATTTTCAAGGTCCGGTAAAACGTTACTACCCTCCGTATCAATGCAGGCCTTCCCGTAAATACTCTCGCTGATATGATCCCAAGCTTCATCAGCGTCAATGTTCCAATGAGCCTGATCACCCTCGATAATATTTTGCCAGTGCGTGGGTTCGGTATCCGGGATCTCGCGGTCCGGCAAGGGGCCAGAGTGCGCACATCCTGCTGGCGAAGGACAAATGTTTTCTTCATCGTCCAAATCCGATGACCAGTACTCTCCGTGACTTGAAGCTGAGGCCGTCACTGAATCGCAGTTCTGTTTCTCGGCCAGGATGTTGAAGTAGGGCCTTCCTCCAGGAAGATCGTCATCCAGGCCGACATAGCGTTGCTCTGCCTGCCCGTGTACTGGCCATGGTAGGGAGTTCAAGGAAAAAGAGTGAATGTGTTCCGCAATATGCTCCATCGCCACGTCATCGTCTGCGTAGGGGCTGACATTATCAGGTGGGCAGAGAGGGCAGGCTGGCATTGGGAGGGGTTCATGGTACACACAATCCTGGGCAAACATGAAGATTTGATCCTTTGTAACGTCATCGGCGTGTTCAACCTTCAGGTGGTCGACAAACGTGTCTTGATCAGCGAACTTGGGGGAAGTGTGACACGCAAAGCATATCCAGTATTGAGCACCATTATGAGCATCAGACATATGGCGTTCCCACTCTTCTCGGCTGTGGTACAGTATTTCGGGCTGAGGGCAATCCTCACGGACGCAGGTGTACGGACGAATATCTCCCTCAAGATGCTTTCTGAAAAGCTAGGTTACCAGTGTACATTGATTAGTGTCTATCCCTGGTTGTTTGCCACTCACCTCCAATGTTGGCGTTCCAATACGAAGCGCGGGAGGCTCAGATAGCAGCATGGACAGGTGAAGCGCGTTTGGTCAATGGGAATATTGGGAGGGCTTGGATAGGAGATCTCGGAACGGGTCACAGCCGTTGCTGTTCTAGATACGTGACGTATCTGTGCGATTTCCTTAGCCTCCAGGCTAGTCGTAGCTGCAGGGATAATTGTCGGGGAAGCAATTGGTTGTACAACAAATTGTGATTCTTGCGCTGCCAGGGTTCCAATAGTTTCTACCCCTCCTTGACGTTGTAGACTCGGGTCTGACCCACAGGCTTCGCGATTCCTGGCCTTGCACCGTTTCTCTGCGTAGAGAAAGGAGTGGCGTCGGTGTAGATTTGCCAGAATCAGTCGCGACTGGATTTCCGTTGGTCGGAAAGAAGATAAATCGCAATTCGGGCTGCGGTACATCTTTATGGCACTCGTCGAAATATTCACGCTGACAAGAAGTGTGAGGAAGTGCAGTAGTTCAGGATGGCGATCTGGCTTGAAAGAATCATCCGCTCCGGTCGATTGTGTTCTTGTGCCTGTGCTACGAACAGCGATCGAAATCCGAACCAGCTGGCAAATTATATCTTCAACGTTGTTCTTGGCATCAACGAGAGGAATAGTGGAGGCCGCCGCCAGCATATCGCAGTCCGGATCGTTGAAATTATTCGAATCGTGTCGAGGGCGGGTGGAGCTTGCCGCCCAATTTGCTCCAGAAGACTGATTCTCCGGACTCTCTAAAGTCCAAAACAGGTAATTAGCTGAATACGCCAGAAGCACAAAGGTGCACAGAAGGTGGAGCGACTTTTCAACTTGCCTCCGAGATGACTGAGTATCGCTTGTAGCGAGCGTAGCAAAGTGACAATCACGTTTGTCACCAAGGGACTTGATGTCAATCCGTCGTCCGATGATGCTCGAGTAGTCGCAATGGCGCCAGAGCCAGTGGCCCAAAGGTTGAAAGCTGCGAGTCGCTTTTGGGCCCATTCACCGTGGGAGAGACTTGGAATGGATGTACATCGTTGGAGATACTCCCGACAAACCATGGTTCTCTCTGTGATTAAGCTTCGGTGATGATGCGACATGTTAGCAAAATGGTGTATCGTATGGAGGCCATGGAGGTTTGATGAAAAGTGGGCGACGAGGCCGGGCTTTGAGCTGGATCAAGAAGCGAATGCAGTTTGCCAGCTCAGCTGACCGCGAAAGCGCCCGCAGGTTGATCTTCACCAGCCCAGACTCGCAACTCCCAACACCTCCCACTTCCGTCACACAACCATTCCATCAAAATGGCCCATCTACCTCTTCTAGATTTAGTTCTCCTCTCATTTCCCCCGCTTTCTAATATCGCGACAAGCCTAGGGTCGAGTTTGCCGCATCGGGAGCTGCGAAAGCTGGGCGCCTACCTGTGTACCTTTGCGCTCGAAACACAGGAGCTCAGTTCCTCGCAAAGGCGAGGATTGGAATGGACCCGGGACTTTCAAGACCTGTTGGAGAAGATTGAAGAGCTGATATCTGTGAGTAATTTGTACTATCAACGCCCATTCAGTGTGCATTTTTCTCACCCTGTACCGGCCTACTGTATAGGACCCCAAAGTCCCCACATTCGCAGATTCGGTCGGAAACCATCCCACACTCCAAGCGATTGCACTGACTCAGCATGCGTCCAAAGAACATATCACAGTTGCCATCTCACTACCGACTCGGCTGGAGGACCGAATCCGCTGCAGGCTAACGACTCTAGCTCGTACAGGCTGGAATTTCGGATGGGCTGTGCGGAGAATGCAAGCCCTCTCGGCCATACCAGAGTACGTCTCAGCAGACATCTTACAAAGGTGGGCGATCACGGAAAAGGCGACAGAGTATCCACAGGAGATACAGACACTTTATAATGTTCTTAGCAGCCATTGCGCCTGCAGTTGTGCTGTACCATCCGCTTCCAAGGGTCACTGGGCGAAGCTTCGATTGACGCAAAACCTACCGCTTTCCCACGAAGGCCACGTCCAATTCGAGATGATTTTCTCCTCTTCCCCGGATCCCATATTGGGTGCTTCTTATTACTGGCAGGAATTCGAGATAGGGGTACCCAGGTAATGTTTGGACGCCTGTTCTTAACTAGTTTGCTGTGGCTAATCCGAGTCGTCGTAGCTTGCCGACAGAGAAGACGAAGGGCGAAGAAAGGATCTCGGAACAGAACAGTGAAGTTATGTCCAATTGTCTTGTCAAAGATGGGACGTTTTGCGACCTTATCCGCTGCGGACATGGCGCACGTGTGCCTCTTATAATATACCGCGGCCAACTCCACGTTATCACGGATCACCCCTTGGTAGAGAATCGTATCAGACCTCTTGCCGGCATTCCAATGGTACGGGCAGTCGAGATATTTGCAATGCCGTATGGGATGCGGCCGGTGCTCGCCTACACTTTGGCAAGGTCTGTTTGGCAGTACTATGGCTCAGACTGGATGAAGTGTGCTTGGACAAGTCATACAGTTTGCTTCATGGACGAGTCAAATGATGATCAGACTGTTTCTTACTTCTGTAAGCCATTCCAAGGTGTCGAATTCAATGACGATGGAAAAGAGGCAGCGGAATATCGCCCAGTCTTTGGCATGATGCACCGATACCCTAGGGTCCTGGCTCTGGGGATAATGCTGACAGAGATCGCGACCGGGAGATCTATTCTGCAACAAGACATAGATATCCATGAACTCGATGCGAAGACCGCAAACCAGCAACTAAAGACTCTAAAGGATTTATTGAAGGCAGGGCATTTCGCAGACGACTGTAAGCTGCCGCGGTACAGAGAAATTACCAGCAAATGCCTGGATCCCGGCTTCTTTAGAAACGCCCCAGCATGCCCAACGAATCCGAATGAGAATCTCCAAGCTCGTCGTCGCATAATATATGAGGAGATTGTCTATCCTCTCAAAAGTCTGATTGAGGGAGCCGGCTGGGATGTAGAGTTCGACAAATCTCAGGATATTCCACTTGCTCCGAAGGACCACAATGCGTCGAGTATCCTCTCCCCGATTATCGCCAGGAAGAGTAGGACATCAAGCGAGCTGAGTACATACAATGAAGTGTGAGTGCAAATTGTCTTTCTCGTTATTTCTGGTTTTTATTTCCGTGAAAGCAACTGACCTTGCTTGGCTATCTCGATTCCAGACGCAAAGCAAGCTCTATCCCAATCGGCTCGCCTATCTATAACACGAACAATGGGGAGCTGCAAGGCCGTTGCGTGGGAAAGAGTTGTGACGATTACCATGTCGGTTGGATTTGTGCCTTACAGATCGAATACGTCGCTGCAATCGAGCTCTTGGATGATCACCTCAAAGGACCGTCGGACATACCCTCAGCGGATGATAACATTTACAGATTCGGTCGCATGGGTCATCACAATATCGTCATCGCGTGCATGCCAAAAGGCAAATACGGTACGACATCTGCCACATCCGCCGCGAAAGACATGATGCGCAGTTTCACCAAAGTCCAGCTGGTTTTGATGGTTGGCATTGGTGGCGGTGCTCCCAGCCGTAAGCATGATATACGGTTAGGGGACGTGGTTGTTGGGGTGCCTGCAAACCAGCATGGAGGCGTGGTTCATTACGAGTTCGGCAAGTCGACCCAGAATCACGGATTCCAGCGCACAGGGCACCTTAACTCGCCACCAACAAGCGTTCTTAACGCTTTACAGGACCTCGAAGCAATACATCGAACTGGCCATCGCCCGATCGCTTTGGCAATTCCACAAATGATTCGGGACAATCCTAGGCTAAACAGTTACGCGCGTCCTGATCCACAGACGGATGTCCTCTTCGACTCCTCATTTATTCACCCCGATGACGCCCGGGATTGCATGGAATCTTGCATCAGCCAGACGAAGAATGTTGTCCAGCGAGTCGATCGTGACAAAGAAGCGGATAGCCCAGTCGTTCATTACGGTCTCATCGCATCTGCGGATAGATTGATGAAGCATGCCTACATTCGAGATTTCTTAGCCGAGTCAGTGGGAGTAATGTGTTTCGAAATGGAGGCAGCAGGTTTGATGGACCGGTTTCCATGCCTTGTGATTCGTGGGATCTGTGATTACTCTGACACCCATAAGAACGACCGGTGGCAGGGGTATGCGGCGGCTACAGCGGCGGCTTATGCGAAGGAGCTTCTTGGAGTAATTCGAGCTTACTAGGCTACGTCTTTGATGAGTACATGATTATTGACGCAATCCCACATTCCGAGCGGCCAACCGTCGCCATGGCACAGCTCCGCTAATCGAACAGATGCTGGTTGTAGAGACAATAACCCTTCAAATCCTTTACCTACACCATGACTATTTGCATTTACGGCCGTGATCGATGAGCAGCTCATTATATAGTGATAGACCAGATCATAAGCTATAGGTATTACCATTCGTGATTAAGCGATTTCCTGAATCCTTGCACAAATCCATAAAGAGACGCCAAGACCAGCCACCAGGCCGTTAACTTCTTGTCTGAGCTTCTTCCCTGCGCAGCAGCGCCCTCCCATTTATCAGCTTGCTCCTGGGTCATGTCGCCCTGCTTCACGGCCTCCTGTGCGTTCTTGTTAGCAATGTACCCATAACATATTTGTTTGGACGTGGAAAAGAAGTATCACGTGGCAGTGAGCTCAGTTCCACGGACAGCACTCACCTGTGCGGCTTTGGCACCATCTTCCCAGGCCTTCTGCTCTTCTTCTTTGGTGAGCTCGGGCATGTTTCTTGTTGTGCGGATTGTTGTGTGGAGGAGGATGAGGAAAGGATGGAAGTTTGCAAGAGGGTTTGAAGTGAATGTCTTGTGGGATATTGTTCTAAGGAACTTGCTAGATCTGAGTTTCCCAAGCCGGGGTCAAGGAAGTGTGGACTATGTCCTTTATATCTTTAGCAGCAGGCTGCTACAAGGCATGTGTCCCACTTTACTTTCTGCTTTTCTTTGGTGTGCAAAGCGACGATAAATGTTTTGGGCATGGCTACGGTCATTTTGACGAGGCTCCGCTCGGACTGCAAGCCACTGGCATAATGGGGCAGCCAATGATAGTCACTTCCTAATATCCACACCATTTTTACCGGTCGAAGGAGAAAGAGAAGCCCACGATGGCCATCGCACGGGGTTGCAAGGTTCGCTCACCTTGTCCGTAAAGCTCATGGGGGAATCTCTAGCCGAGGTGTCTCCCAGTCAGAGGCAAGTGGCTACACGGTTCCCAGCCATTGCGTGTTCAAAGGCCAATGCTACAATCGGCCATCCGCCCTGTGATGAGTGTGTCCAAAGGAGGGGAGTAGCAGTGGCTTATCGTTGGTGTCCACTCAAGACGCCAAGCCGCGCGAAAGGCTGCGGAAGGGAAAGGCGGCTATACTTTAAGAAAAATTAAAAAGAAAACTTTTCAATCTCGTTCAAATCCAATACCCATGATAGCATGAGCAGTGACGTTACAACGGACCAAAAATCTTACTGCGGCAATGGGATCACCTAACATCCAGTGGCTTAAGTCAACATTGGGTGTGAAACAGCTGAAATGACGCTGGTTCTAATACCGTAAGCCGAAGGCTCATCCTAGTGTTCTTGGCATATGCAAGTGCAAGGCTGAGGGACCAGAGCTTACGACAGAGCGCATTCCGCCTTGCATTGGGCTGAGAGTACAACCCAATGAAGTCCTGCCACGTCAATCACCCAGTTGGTCTGATCCGCTATTGGGATTGAAATACTCCTCGTTCTTTGAACTGAACCCCCTGAGTCCTCGGGTTTCCTCTTTGCCTTCCTAACGCAGAGCTTTTCAAATGGCAGTGACCATGTCCGGTTTTGAGGCTATGGGCCTTGCACCTGCTTCGATGCCAGTCATTGGGACTGTACTCGAGGGTTATGCGATAGGATTCCGAACAATACGCCGAGTTCTAGGCAGAAAAATTTACGCCCTACTCACCGTGGCCGACGATCTAGATATACAGTCTAACCGGTTCAAAAACGTGGTTCAAATACTCCTCGGGGAGGCACTCGGTGCTGAGCAGGTATCTAAGATGCTTCGGAGCGGCGACCCAACGGTGTGGAGTGATGCGAGTGTCCAGGCCCATATCAACACTGCACTGGGGACATCTACCGACCAATTCAATGCGTTGTGTGGCGCGTTAAGTGAGAGACTTTCTGCCTTATACAAGATGTACGATGTAAGGCAGGAAATCCTGCCGTGTTATCCTTCTGACTTCCACCCAGGAATATAGCGACGGTAGCGGACGCATGAATCGTGCGAAATCTACTCTGGATGATCTCAGGCAGTTCGACACACAGATAATCCGAGACGTTGAGCGTATTTCAAGTCAAATTCAATTTGTCATTAACACCGCGTTATCGCGACCGAAAGCGAACTTGGTGATTCGTCCACGCGCCGCCCTAACCTGGCAGATGGCAGAAACTGTGGCACAGCGAGCGATAGTATTACAGCGCATATTCTCTCAGGGCATGGCTGACGTCCGGCTCTTCGCTTTCTGCCCTTTGATTAGTATATTCGAAGGCCCTGTTTCGACTTTCACCTTCTTGTTCGAGCCCCCACCTCCCCCCCCACCCCATTTTCCCTCTGCGCCTCGATGGGATTGGCATGAAGCCAGTGTTCAAATCTCGCCTGTAACGGATCAGGCCCTGGGCTCCGAAAGGTACAAATAATGCCACCCCTCATTATCTATCTCAATCCCGCTATTTTTTTTCTATTGTTATATCTTGATCCCTTTCTGACAATTGATAGCCAACCCAACGAACGCAAAAGCCAAGTTGTGCGCCTTGAAGGTTCATCGCCGGACCAGGGTCAAGATTCCAGCGGCGACAAGCCCGAAGCTTTTTGGGTAAATAGCCCTCAGGAGCTATGTCAACTGTTTCAAAACGGATCGCTGCCCTATCTGACAGCAAATGTTTGCCTCAAGGATGCACAATCGGAATCTGTGGTCATGGTTACAACTCGTAGTCGTGACAATCTGCTTACAGTGAGGCTGAAGGACTTGTTATACGTGCAAGGTGGGATTCGAAGACTTGCTAAGTTGGCTCTTGCCGTTGAGCTGTCGCGAGCTGTCTTTATGTTGCAAGGGACGGGGATAATCTCGGAGAACATTAAATCAGGAAATGTCTTCTTGGCGATGGAAGACAGCAAAATTCGTCTGAGAAACCTACTTTTGCCCGCGACAGTGACGAACAAACAGCGCACGGAAGACCATACTCTCCAAGAAGAAAATCCATCGAAGAGTGTCACCAGCTTCGGGCGTGCTTCTATGACGCTGGGCATTCTTCTCGTCAAGGTGCTTCTCGCGCGGGACATCCTACCTGACGATGATCTCAATGATGTTTCCTCGTACGAAAGACGCCCGGAGGTTTTGCGCGCGCTTGAAGAAATCCGGTTCGAGTTCGGCCAATCCACCTCTGATGCCGTTAGGCAATGCCTATGTGGTATAAGCTGTATATCCAACATACAGGCTCAGCGAAAAGCATTTTCTGACTTTGTACTATTACCTTTGGAAAACGACCTCCAATATTTGGAACCGGAAAGGCCAGGTAGGAATGCAGAAATTATACTGCCCAGCTACTGGTACCACGTTATTGGCGCATCCAAGTATCCAGCATTTCCAGCATTTCCTGTCGCCCTCGCAGAGGATATAAGCCAAATATCCCTTCGAGTAAATCCTGGACTTCTGCCAGTTGTCAAAGGATACCTTCAGGAAATGCAGGCTAGCTGTGCAGATATTGCATGGTTGGATGAGGCAGTCTCCGAGCAAGGTACGTAATAAGAAGTGCAAAGCCATGGGCAAATAGGTTGCTAATCAGATCAAGTACGCCAATTCGAAAAGGTACTGATACAGTTCGAGGGGCCGACTCCGCCTATTCCATGGTACAATGGCAGTGTGTCTAGAGCTACGACGTTAATCAAGCGGTGTTCACGTGTAATTAGTACCATACCAGAAATATACTACCTCGACGCACGGAGCGCCGAGAGACGCAGAGCACTCGAGGACTTGCAGATCCAGCTGCATCTGGGGCTCTTGGAGCTGGCAAGCTTGCTGGCTCAACCTGAATTGTTGGTATTTGTCCTGCATGTTCCGCAGTACGTACTAATGAATGCCGACAGCCCGAGTTCCCTTGCGCTATCTTCGGCTGCTTCTGTGGCGGATGAGAGCTCCGTCTTTGACAACGACTCTTTTACCTTAAGCGCACGAACGTCTATTGCCGAGAATCTTTGCCCTGAGACTCGATTTCTAGACTCAAAAGCTCTTGCGCAGGAGATTCTTAGAGCTTTGAGCGATGTAATCCACACAGGAAATTCTACTGCAGGCCGACAACCCGTCAACGAGGCAGGCCTTGCGTCAGAGCTGCGAGAAATACTCGGCAAATATTTAGCATCCCTCCAGCATATAGATCAAAAAGAGCAATCGTCTGCGGATACTATGCTCAGCCCAATTTACCAGAAGGCGCACACCTTGGTCTGCCGAGAAACTGAGTTCCTGCTACAACAGCTGATTTCCATGTGTCGGGACCAGTCCTACAGTGGCATGATTCGTCACCATTCCGAGAGTACCACAATACCCGACATTCCTGCAGTGGAGACTGTCCCAGAGCCGCTGGCTCTGAACTTCTTGCTTGGTGGCAGGGCCTTTGGACGCATGAGACTCCACCTTCATCGCCTAGTGCGGAAAGACATGATCGACATCATCCGAGAGGAAGTGCTGCGGAACTTGCCCTTGACAACTCTAGGGCTTTACACCACGGCATTCAACGTCCGCTGGGATGTTGCCGAATTCATTATGAATGAATTCGATAAAACGACTGAGATCGGGCAGATTCTGACCATAACGGGGGGGAGCTCGTATGCTTATGCCGCACGCTGCGCCGATTATCTTAACTGGTTATGGAAAGATTCCAAATACGACATCCATACGCTCGTCCAACACTATCTCAAGCAGCATATCTATGGTAAGAAAGGCGTCGCAGGCCTATGACTGCACACAGCTGATCAACCATCAGTGCACGCCGATTCAACACTCGTGATCAACAAACTTCCAGATGGTCAGCCCGGTATTAGGGCAACGGTAATCGGGGGAAAGGAAACCATAATCGAACTTGCACAGCAGCTAGCTTGGCTAACCGCGGCCCTTCGTTCTTCCACTACTGGAGCGGTTTTATCCGAAGTCGATTTCTTTGCAATAAAGGAGACGGAGTTCTTCATCGAGCCCGGCAGTCTCTTAACACTCTCACAGACAATCACAGAGAAAGGCCCCTGTTGGCATGGACTTGTCCGGAACGTTTCAATTGCCAATGGATTTCCGATACCCCCAAGGTCCGGCCAGGTTGGACTAGAACTACCCTTGGCCACGATGCTAACCCTCAGTCGGGCGAAGACTTTTGTGATGTCGAATAAGCGAGTTGCACTCTATGGATTCTCGTCCTTCTTGTTTCCTACAGATTTCTATGATCCCGAGCATGCCGATGGTCAACCCGAGTCCGAGCAATCGATTCAATGGCACTTTGAGACAACCAGTAAGCCCGGCCAGTACTTTGACTGCGCGAATTATCTTGCAGAGTCGAGATGTACATGGTCCGATAGCGTGGATGAGCGGACAATTACGATGTCCAGGCATTTTATCGGTTATTGCAGAGTGGCTGAATTCCGTCTCGCTACCTCAACGTCTGACTTCACTAACCTCCAGCAGTCGTCCCTCCCTGATGCTTCTACTCCCATGGGGGTGAGGATAGAGGCCATAACTGCAGGAACGAGCGGCCTCGGATTCGCCACTGCAGAGGCTCAAGGAACGATCAAGTATCCCAGGAGCATCTTTACCCTAGCAAGCCCAGATGAGTATCTTGGCACCATGGACACGCTCCAGAGAATGTCGATGATCTTGTGGGACAGCAGCGACCAATGCGGATGGCTGGTACCAGCACAAGCACTTTTGCTTCACATGGCCCATTTATGGGTCTACCGGAAAAATATAACTCCAACGTTCAGATACGCAGACCCAAGTCACCCTTCATACCTCGAGCAAGTAAACGACATTCTGCGCACAGACCGAAGGAAGGTCCTTGAACCTAGTGGCCGAGACGACGACACCGACCGCGAGCTGAGACATCTGATTATGAGATTCTGGAATGATCTTAGGGCCTGCATGATAGCGCAGCAGAGCGCCGTTCGCGATGGTCAAGGGGTCATCGGCGCAAAGTCCCAGGCGCTATCGGGATGGGAGCTGATGGACTTTATCTTCCGGCCACCGTTTCTCTTCTCCATGAAGCAAGACATGTCCGGTCCATCGGACAACAGCTGGCGAGCTCTAGCAGTGCAAAAGAACATTCCTGTGTTATTCTGCAAAGGGGCGGGGGACGTAATAACCTCACCTGGCTCCGGCTTCCTATGTGCTCACTGCAATATATCTTTGAGGAAGGGGTCCTATCTGATTGCTAGCCTAGCATCTCTGAAGCAGATGTCGGAGCAGTTTGGTGGCTTCCGCACGCAGACGCAGTTCACGGCGGACTGGGGGTGGAAACCAATTGAAGAAGCAGCCTTATTTGCACAGCACTGTCGCGCGCAGTCCGGCCTGGGCATCTCGTGTCATGAGCGCATACAAAAGCTGAGCGCATTTCGCAACTGGCATGGGGGTAGCAATCTGAGCCTTCCGATAGAGGGAGCGGTTGTTTTTGGGAGACCAGGCTCGAGGTTCTCGCATTTGATCCTATCTGGCGCAGGTCAATCACCGTCCAACACGGCCATGGTCAAACAGGGGACCTTGAAGAGGTTGACCCAGAAATTGGCAAGGCTATCGCCTCGAAGCTGAGCCGCGTGCTGCCGAGCCGAGGATATGAAGGTTGATTTTGCTCGTTGAAGAATCTGTTGAGAATCGATACTATGTATCAGCAGATCCGAGCTCAGAAAACCACATATGTGACCCTGGGGTCTTTTCATGTTCGCGGCACATTGGGTCGGGCACAGGATCATGCCAGGGCACACTTGCGGACTCACACCATCTAGATCCATGTGTGGCAGTGATGTACTGTTGCTGACCCGGGCAAGGTCCGGGGAGAAGCGTTCTCTACTGTGTGTTGATTAGGATAATTGGCCGGCTCAAGCGAGCGAATGGTCTTCCTTTAGTTTCTCTTGGTCATACCTAGATCATATTACAAACGCAGGCACTATTTCAAGGTAAAGTTCCAACTCTGAACTTGTGACGTTAGGTCCCGACCTTTGTAGCAGATTCAAAAAAAAATATATATATATATATATATAACCTCCACCTGATGGACCGGCTATGATACTAAAAACGATACATTGGTCAACCTAGCTGCTGAGGAAGAAGGAATAAGAACAAAGATGCTGGAAGCTATTTAGGCATATGGAAATAATCTGCACGTGGAGCGGTAGCCCAATATACTATACGTAGAACTTTTAGTTTATCATAATAAGATTTAGATATTATAATATAAAGCTTTTATATAGGTACTAGTAACATTGGTGGGATACTACCGAATTATAATCAGTGGGTTGCGAAAAGAGTGTACGGATACTTTTGTCCTAGAACTGTACTCTAGGCGGACTAGTTACAGTCTGCCTAGCTCAGACAACACCGGTCTGGAGCTGAAGGGTGAATCTTCTCCAAAAAAAAGTCCCCAGCCCCATTTGGCAAGCCTATTGGAAATAACCCTCCAACCCTACAAGGTAATAAGGACAGCTTCGCCACGGCCCACAAAAACCTTACCGTTTCGCACAGGCTGGATCTCCTCATCTCCCACGAACAACCCGTCCCCAGTCAAGGTTTGGCCCGCCCAGGTGACATTGCTTTGGTCTGTCGGCGATAGGCCACTTAACTTCTTATAGGTAGCTCCCCTTTTCGCATGGGGAATCCGGAACTCGGTGTACGGACGCTCACCGTCCTTCTCGTCGTAGGGATTCTTATCCAGAATCGCAACCCGCTTCAGAACTGCGGTTCGCCTTCCATTGTTCCGGTTGTCGCTCTCTTGGTAGATACCATAGGCGGAGATGTAGGTTTCGTTGATCAGTGTCTTGACGTGGATGTTACCGCCACTAAGGCTTCAGCAGCAAAGAGGTTGCCGTAGAAAAGGGGCAGAACGCGGCGTGGGTGGCCCTCAGTGTCGATGGGTTGCCAGGCTGAGTAGCGGAATGTTGCACCTTGGTGGAACCAAACACGCTCGACGTGAAAAGAAGCCGCATATAGAACGTAGTCCACGGCCCATATCGCAGCGGCATAGGCATTGGAGACACCTTCCTTTCCATGGCCCTATTTTCTCCAGGATCAGAGGCTAAGTCTGAAAAAGGACAACCGAGAGGACAAGGACAGGACTAACCGAGCAAGAGTTAGTCTCGCCAAGGACATATCCGTGGCGTTGCTTAAGAGTGTTATTGACGAGTATTTCATGATTTGCCATGTGGCCGAGCATGATAGTGCGGTTAAGAAGAGTGTCTGGCTCGCAAGAGCCTTGCCTGGCGCCCATATACTATGAAGATTGTTAATAGCAGCAACAACTTGCTTTGTTCTGTTATGAGGAGGAAAGGAGCTTACTTGGTGTTCGGACATTGTCTTGAGGTTGCCTCCAGCGGCAATTCCAAGATCCAGGGCCCTTGATGCGTTGAACTTGTTCCCCGACGATGGGGCCTGGAAGGTCCCACCCTGGAAAATGGGCTTTGGTAGACTGAGGGCTTCAGAGAGGCGATCGGACAGGTCTACCCACTCAGAAACGTAGTCCTCAACGGAGTAGCCTGAGGGTCGAATTCCGAGGGCCGGGAAGTCTAAGAAAATCGATGTTAACGAAGGAATCGAAGAGCGAAGGTAGAAAGGAGTAATTCGAGTACGCACGTTCCGGCTCGTTGCCAATCTCCAGTGCATGGATCCTATCGCCCAGTGAAGTCCAGACATTTTCTGTCTGGGCAAGTAGATTGTTGTAGCCCTCGTTGGTGTACTCTCCAATACTAAGACCGAAAACAATTTTGAGCCCTTTGGGAAGGGCATGAACAGAGTCGACGAATTTTGGGCCTTGGTAAACAACGTACGGGACGTCACCACGATCGAATAGAGCAATTAGAGCCTCCTCCTGGTCGGGAACGTACACGACTAGGTCCTGGGGCTCTCCACCGGGGCGAAACATGGGGTACGCACCCGCGCGGTCATATAGGTGACCGAGGAGGCTTGAGGTCAGCTGGTTGAGGTCGCTGCTATTGCTGCTACCATTGGTGGTGTAGTGGACGAAGTCCTGGAACTCGAAAGAATACGATACATAGGCGGCATCAAGGGCAGCGTGAGAGGCCTTGATCTTCAAGGGGGCGTCAACCCACGCGGTCGTGTTTGGCTCTTGCCGAGGCTGCTTTGTTATAGATAAAGCGTTCGATGATGTGAGTAGATACAGGAGTGAGAAAGCCAGCTGGGAAAACAGACTCGTCATGGCTTAGATTTGCGGCAGGTGAACTTAGTGGGCAAACTGTTGATAAGATGAAGGTTTTATGTCACTACACGAAACCCAACGGGCGATTATGTATGTGATTTCTTTAGTAGCCTTGTTGATAGCATTGTCCAAAGCGAGCTTGGCGATGCTCGCTCTGCGAATTAGGTTTTCTCAGCGTTGAGGTTGGTGACTGTTTGGCTCACAAGAATAGCCGTTTCCCCGACTCGCTAGTTGCTCGCGGATGCTGGATTATCCACGAATGAATATCACTATCCTGATGGAGATGAGCAAACAATGGAAATGGAACAACTCAAGGCCCTGGTCACAAAAACACTACCATATAATCCAACCAGCCACACAACCCCGCAACCCCGCGTGGAGGCAAACTTAATACTTCAGACTTCTGCTGTTGTGTTCGGGGGAATTCTAACAAACCGCTGTTCTTGATTATCCGCAAACCATCATCCCAGTTTCGGCTTTTTTACGGGCACTTGGCACCGGGTGTGAGGTCGCTGAGGTAGGGGATTTCACCAAGGGAATGTGAAGTATGCTTAGGTGGTCCAAGCATATAACAGGAAATTCAGATACTTTTCCTCCTGGACCCAAAAAAGATTGGCTCAACAAAAGTACGCCTTTTTATGTTTTCTTCTTTCCCTTTTTCGGTCCCAAGTATTAGAGTACAGTGCCCGACTCTCAATTTCATAAACATTGCATCATGCTGTTCTCTGTAGCTGTCATGGTGGCAGCACTCCTCTTGCCGCTAGCCTGTGCCGTTAGTGGTAGGTATGGCGAAACAGTTAAAGTCTCTTGGGATAATGACGGGGAAAAGGTGTGCACGCTCATGGCCCGTAGCAACCAAACGGATGACGTCCATTCCATCACCCATGCTTTTAAAAGGTGCCATGTAGATGGATGCTGCACACAGTGGACAGTGCAAGCAATATAAAAACACTCTGCATGACGTACGGCACGGTCCCATAGCTCGGCGCTTGGTGGGCATTCACTGCTCGAGCAGCATAACCAATGGCTTTGAAAAAAACGCCAATAATCAACGCAATAAGAAGCTTGAGGCGATGCTTTATAGCAAGGAAGATATGCGCAGCGGCCGCCGCGAGAAATAACCCAACCGCAATGACAGCGACTGCCAAAATGGCGTGTAATTGTAGAGAACGTATTCCGCCATAGTTTTGAATGGAGAGACCTGGTGATCTTTGCAAGTGATGATGATTTGACTAGAAAGAATTTGTGAATATCGAAATTCCATCTGAAATTAGGAAATTCAAAGCCCATATAGTCGTATACCTCGTTCATGGATACTACCACTTGAGTTATCTAATGCTCAGGTATGATGAATTTATTTTTTCCACCTCGGTAATCAGTTCTTGAATGTACCCGAATCCGAGTCCGAAGGCCCACCCTCGGATTCGGTACGAGCCACGAACTGCTTTGCATCCAACTGATTGTTGATGCAAAAAAAAAAAACCTACTACTAGATATGTATCTTTCCATCTTGGGCCTTGATTCATATAACAGCAACATAGCCACATGCAAGTCAATTGCCAGAGAAACGCCCAGCAAGAGAATTCATGAAACACCCAAGTATCACTATTTTTCATGCATTAGGCACTGATTTTGGAGATAGCTACTCCATCAATGCCACATCCCATTTTTCAGGTCTGATAAAGGACAAGGTTTGTCATAAAAGGCAGACACATTGATTTCTAACGGCTCTTATCAGCCTTGAAACACTTGACAAAGGTTCGTTTGTAGATGACATTCATTCATATAAAAAGAGATTTAGTTGAGTACAAAGCGTGAGTTCACCTCTGGATTCCAAGGCCCTGATGGATAAGAGGCTGGCTTCCTGCCTCGAAGTTGTTCGACGTAATCTTTCAATCCTTTGTGAAAGTTCATCATACACCAAACTGAGTTGACAAGGGTTGAAATGATCAACAAAGTTGCAATTGCAGCAAATAAAGTCAGGGAGGTCTTGAACGAGCCAAGACTACTACTGTCATCCGACCGGTACATTTGAGCTATGGTTCTGATGATAGTCGTTAAAATGGCAACCATGGAGATCTGTGACGATTGTCAGCTCAGGGTTGGGGGGGTATCCGGGATTGATAATACCTACCATCATCATGAATAGAGATTTGGGCTTTTCTCGCCGACAAAACAGGGCTGATAAGGATAGAGCTATGATGGCAACAGGCACCATGGCCGCATTGATCACAAACCCCTCATTATCGAGATCCTGAATGGAAAGCAGGATCTGGAGTTGTGTGGCAAAAATGAAAAACCAATCGAATTTAAGGAGCATTATGTAGACCTAAGCAGTTAGCATAAGAATTGTCTTAGACCAGCGGAATCTCCTACCTGGTAAACGGTATATCGGCGATTCATTCGCAGATCTGCGCTCAGATCTTTGTAGATTGACCAAGAGAATTCTGCACGAAGCTTCCACGTCACAAGTATCATGACAGCAGTACCAAGACCCAAAAGGACCGGAACCAGGATAAGTTCGATCTGGTGCATCCCCAAAATGTTCATGCTGCGCGTGGTGTCGGCCACCACTTCCCTGACAGTATTCTTAATTTCTCTCATTTGAAGGACGCCATAAGTAAAAAGGCCAAGATTGCAAATGCAGAGACCTGCTTGTTGGAAGGTGTTCTTGCGTCGTAAAGCATCGTATGACAGCGCAAGTTCGTAGAGAAGTGCGAAGATGTAGAGACCAAGGAATGACCGAATGCGCGTCGTTGCACTGCCCTTGTCAATTTTAGCAAGCTGATTCGACATCCTAACAAAAACCAAGCTAATAATAATTATCAGTCTTTTTGGCATAAGCCATCCGGGAGTCGTGGTAGAGAACCCACCTTTCGATCCCAACTGTAGCCAGTGTCTCAAGGACGACCGCGATAGCAAACGAACGCGTCCATAGCGTGTTTGGGATATAGATGAACTGACTTCTCTTTTTAGGAGAACTCACATGTCCTCTGTCATTGCGAAGCTGATTCATCAACGAGGTGAAGTCGTCAAGCTCAATGTATCTGCCGTTATGGGTTGACAGGGCTGACTTAGAGAAGTCGAAAGAGTGGCGGCCTTGTGGGGAGTCCGCCCTGGCCAGAGGGTACACAGTGGCTTTGGGCTGCATCGTTCGTTCCCATGGGTTGCCGCTCCAGGTTCCAGTTGTAGAGGCAATAAGCCGCCAGGGTTGGATACGGTAGATAATATATTGTGAATGGTATTGAAGAGAGTTTAATGTTGCCCAGGCAAAAGGCTGAGACCGAGTACGAATCCGGGCATAAATTGCTCAGCACCAGGCGGCTTTTGGGAAGCTTAACTCACACATGTGGATAGCCAATACTTTGTGTGGAGTCTAGCGCGTCAAGACCTGATTCTCCAGCGGTTCTAAAGAAAAAGATGTGCTTCTAGTTGTACTCGGTGATGACCCAATAGTACCTGGATCAACAAAAAGGTGGCCTATCAACTATGGCTGCCTAATCTAGCCCCTTTTTAACCCGATCCTTTTCATCTAAAGAAGATCCATGGTGATTTATTTGGCGCCATGTTGTGAAACTGACGCTATGACAGCACTTGTTGAAGGCTACTACGGAGCCAGCACTATGCCACTAACCACAGGCCCTTAGGGCAAACTCCAGGGGAGGATTTTGAGCCTTTTTTCCTCCAGGTGAAAAGCCAATGAGAACCACTGGCTATTTAGATTATTGATTGACTAGAACTTGGCCTGCCACTCGGTGGTTGTTCTTATCCGCTCCCCAAAAATTCAAAACGCGCGAGGAATAAATCAAACACCCACTGCCAGTCTTTTGCTTCAACGAGAAACCCTCCTGCAACAGGGCCAATGATGGGGCCAAATAAGGGCCCAATGGGCCAAATCATAGCTACGCCTCGTGTTTCTAGAGGCATGAGGTCCGCAGTAGTGCCGCTGCCGCAGGTAATGGCTACCACTCCAGCAAACCCAGCCATGAACCAAAACACAATCAACATTGCCATGCTCTTGGAGATTGCGCAGAGGATCGTGAAAATCAAGAAGAGCACATTGCAAGCATGATATACCAGGACCCTACGATCCACTCGGTAAGTGGTGCGATAGCATAGTTCCGAGCGCGGAACCCTGCACAAAAACAAAGATTACGAAGGTTGAAAGTAATGTTGAATGTTGAATGCGTTTTAAAGTCTATTAGCATTTAAGGAACGCTAGGAGCAGACACTGATGATGCTAAAGGTCTGGAATATCCGTCAGCCAAACTGATGGTAGCTCGATGAACTTCAGTACTATACGTGAGAAAAGTGACAAGAGACAAAGAAGCAGTGATGGTCCATTTCTGCAAATTTGACCAGTTTCTTGGGTTGGCAGGGTCTTCATTGTCCGGAACGTTCCATCACACAAGGTACCCGACCGTGATCCCTTTATCTTTCACATTTGTTGTGGTATTCGAAGTATTAAGACAGACGTTGATCCCGACGCGGCCTTCCAGCCATTTCTCGGATGCAACGCGTTCCTTGCTTCCAACGTTTACATCGCCGCCATGCGTTTTGTCAGACATGGTGAATCCTGGGCAATAGCCTTATTTCAGGCACGGCCGTCGTGCCAGCACCCAATCAGTGATAACGTTTCTAGCGTCGGTTTTAGGGTAAAGCAACGCTTCAGGCTGAGAATTCAAAGACTTTGAAACAAGTCTCTAGGCAGTGTCACGGGCCTAAGAGAGCACGAAAACTCTTAAGCTGTTGCCTAGCTTGCTGCATTTTGTACTATGGTAGCAGCAAAGGGCTCTGGGTAGTCCTTGATCATGAAACAAGAATGGAAACACGATTAAGCGGGTCAACTTGGCGGAGGGTGACCTCGGGTTCGGGTTCGGGTTCGGGTTCGAATTGATGCTTGTTGATTGACTGATTTTTGGGATGCCCCACCGCCAGCCTCAAGCTTTGAGATAAAAATACCAAGCAACGCCAAAATAATCGGAGATCCAAGTAGATCCCATCCGAAAGATGCGAACCCGATTATTTTGACAAATGCTGGTACCTAACCATATCGATTTGGCAACCCTGCAGATTCCGTTGGTGGGATAGCTCGAAAATAGGCCAAAAGGGAGAAAATGCTTGTAGGTTTTCCGTGGATCTCAAAACTGGAGGCTGTAAAAGTTCAGGAGATATTTTTTATGCTTATTTGTTTTCAGCTACAGTCAAGTTCGTATTCAACTTCGGATCCTGTACTAGCCTTCGGTTAGAACGTCACTACTTTCGCCGTGAATCGGCCAGGCAATGATATTTTTCACTTTTCGGGTCAATAAGCCTCTTTTCAATCAGAAACCTATATATTGTCGAATGCCTTCTTGTCCATTATCTTTCAATAGCAACAATTTCCTCATTTGCTCTCACAGCAGGAGTGATACCGTGTTTTCTTTCTTTCTTCTTACTTCAAACGTGAGGTCTTTCAGAATAAAATAGTCTTCATGGCTACTGACAGAAACCATGTCCTCTATCAGTACACGCCGAATCTTCCATGTGCCATAATTCTAGCTGTACTCTTCGCGTTGACAACTGTCTTCCATCTCTATCAGCGAATCAAAGCGCATTCGAAGTACTTCAACCCGTTTATTGTGGGTGGTATCTGTCAGTACCGATCTTCCTTTCCAGGATTCCATGCCCTCGCATTCTTCCTGACATTTTCTATAGTTCAAATCATCGGCTATGGGGCACGCGGCGGCTCTCATTTCCATACGAACTCCACGCTTCTTTACGCAATTCAATCCCTCCTGATTTTATTGGCGCCCACGCTGTACGCAGCGTCGATATACACGGTACTGGGTCGAATCATCACCTTCCTTCATGGTGAACATCTGAGTTATATCCCGGTCAAATGGATGACAAAGGTTTTCGTTGCTGGGGACGTTCTGTCCTTCATCCTCCAGGCTGCCGGTGAGTTGAGCAATTATTAGCTATGATCCTGTGGGGCTTGACTAATCAATATTGTATCGTGCCCAACAGGAGGCGGAATTATGACAAGCGGATCTGAAAATGCTGTCAAGATTGGCGAATGGGTAATTGTAGCGGGCCTCTGCGTCCAGCTCGTGTTTTTTGGGGCATTTGTGATCACATCGCTCATCTTCCACATCAGAATCATTCGACGCCCTACCACTGAAAGCGAGAGGCTCATGACCAAGCGTGGCTCAATCTGGCCCCGAGACTGGAGAGGTCTCTTGTTCGCATGCTACAGCGCTAGTGTGTTTATCTTGATTCGATCTGTTTACCGGCTAGTTGAATTTGTGCAAGGAAACGATGGGTATGTCATCAGCCACGAGGTATTTTTGTATGTGTTTGATGCTGCGATGATGTTCTTGGTAATGGTCGTGATGAACGTGTTTCATCCCTCGTTTGTTTTGAGCAAAACGGTGGAAACGCCTATTCCACAACCTGAAAGAGATATTCAGTGCGAACCCGATCTTGAGATGCAACAACGCCCTGTTCCATCTACCAGGGATTGAGCTGGCAGTGTTCTGGTTGCATGGTGGAAGGAACTATGTGGGAGTTTTGAATGATAGATGATCTTAGACGGTCTACTATTTGCTATATTCCAAAATGTCAATTTTTCTCAGTTTTGAACCTGCCTGCTTTCCTTCTCTGCCCGACAGAGAGACATCTTGATCCCCTTTTGATTTGGATTCTCAGCCTGCAGTGCTGCAGTATATATTTCGGAGATCGTTGCCCGCCCAGAAACGACCGTAATATTGACCATGGGATTGTCTAATTTCCATAGAGAAATTCATGTTCTACATGTCCACTCCAAAATCTAGAACGTTTGAGCACCCATCTCAGAACAATTTCTTCAATACCCGCAATCGCATTGATTGGGGCTATCTATAAGGTGGTTGTAGGGCTTAGCAGGAGACCTGCCCACCTGATTTCACAACCAACCACAATATCAAAAATAAAGAAATTTAACCATATATAATTAATATTATGGCACGATCTTTTAGTGGTTTAATATACTTATTATTAAGGGTCTATATATGATTTTTAATTAGTCTAGAAGTACTGTAGTAGTTAGATCTTATAGCCTTAATAATTTAGTCTTAAAGGGGCCTCTAGGACCCACTTGCCTTTCTGCATTGCACAGTGCTAAGCCTTGGTGACAGCTAGTATACAGAATTCTGCTTCGACGCCGAATCACCGTTAGTCAGTACCCGCTCGGTCATTCCTTGTATTATTTCTATTTTCTATTTTAGTTAGTTAGATTACCCCTATTTCTTCTGTATTAAGTGCAGTATTACTGCTAGATTCGATGAATGAGGCCTTCATATTTCTTGTGGTTGTGACCGAATACTACTTACACCACGATCTCCGACACACAGCAATCAGGCTTATAAGGTGCATTTCGCTGCTTGCGTCCCAGCGTCCAGATTTTCCTCACTGGACCTCAACGACACATTCCATCTACAACATCCCAGTTAACGAAGATGGCTCTCTCGAAACCCACTATTCTTCTTATTCCCGGAGCCTGGCATCGAGGCAGCACTTGGGAACGAGTGGCAGCACTCCTGCGGACCCAGGTATATCCCGTTGAAACGCTTACACTACCGTCCGCCGGCGGTCCAACATCAACAACAGTCGCCGATGACGCAGCCTACATCCAGAAAAGGTATCTAGATGACCTGATCTACCAAGGGAAAGACGTGGTTGTGGTCATGCACTCCTACGGCGGTATCCCCGGCACGGAATCTGTCAAGGGCCGCACACGCAAAGACGTTGCTGTACAGGACAGGAAGGGTGGAGTAGTTGCTCTGGTATATGTGGCAGCTTTTATCATATCTGCAGGCCAATCTATCGATTCGTGGCTTCCAGACGGTGCAGCTTCGATCATGACCTTTGACGTAAGTTGGGCCAGGCATTTATTTACTGGAGGATAACTGATATTCCGATATTAATAGGGCGAGAAGTCATACTTCGCCAATCCGCTTCCTTATTTTTATAATGATTGACGATGAAACGGCTAAAAAGTATGCTGCTGAATTGGTTTATCATGCCAAACCAAGCTTCTTCACTCCACGCACCTATGAGGCTTATCGTGATGTGCCGCCCATTTACCTCTTCTGCGAGAAAGATGCACGTTTTTATTTGCCTGTGCAGCAGGGCATGGCAGCTATGCTTGGTGATGGGCTAGTGCGGACACGTACTTGCGCTGGAAGCCACCCGGCCATGTTGAGTGTACCGTGGGCTGTTGCTGATGTGATACGATCTGCTGCGAGTGACATAGAGGTTGTAAATTTTAACTGAACATTGGCCACGAAACCAGCGGGCTTTGTTTCCATCCCTGGTAGGGATGCAGTTAGTCAAATCTGTCAGCGATAGCGTGACTTTATTGGAGAGAATAGTGTGACATTGAAATTCGGAAACTGAGTGAATAGACAACAGCAACCGATTCACTGCGAGGAGGAAGGGCTTGTGTGGGAGATGCGATGAATGTAACTTGATCAATGAACAATCCCTCATCCGGGACCCAAGGCCCGAATAAATTCCCTCAAAAGCCCGAGGTCTCGATTTAAGACTACAGCTTCGGGTTTTGCGGATACCTAATGGTGGAATACCTTTACATCGGGATTCCTCTATTATAAAATGCTCTCCTGGAAATTTAGTAATAGATTGCACCAGCAGCGGGAAGAAGAATACTAAGGCCGCCACGAAAGGAACGTGATGCACCTCTCTAGAATCCTTCTTATGCATACCCCTCATTTTGGTGTCAAGGCAGGGTACTCGGGACTCGGAGGACTATCTTAAATAGAAGATCACTCCTCTTGGTCCTTGAGGGCTCCTCAAGAAATAGTCTTGCCACAATTGGACACGTTACCTGACTGAGAGACAGGCTTTCTACACTGAAAATAAATTTTATTTTTACACTCCATTATGAACTCTTTATCCTTTGCATCGGGTGATATAGCCCCAGGTCGGTATTTTAGCCCGGAAACCACCAGCTGATTCAACTAGATAGACAGTAAGCTTGTGTTGGGCTGGTTTTGGGGGGGGGGGGAGGTGGGAGGAGGGCAGGGTGCATAAGAGAAAGAAGGACGAATTGAAGAGTGCGAACCGCGTAGTCAAGATCTGGTTACTTGGAATGCGGTAATGTGGCTCTCAGTGTGAAAGGTTAATGTTGGGTTGAGTTAGTTCCATCGTTCTAACTAATTGCAACAATATATCCGATTAATAGCATTTTAACGCGACATGCACCGTAATGGATACGCTAAAAACCACACTAAATGTGCCTCTGGGGCGGACGAAGGGATAGAAATCCAGCTGAACGGATGATCATTAGGCTTTAAGGCCCCTATTACACAAAACGCGAAGGCATAAGTAGCCGTTGCATCTCACTTGGCATAGTTGCGTCTACTTTACTCCTACAAGTTTTTATTCTACGAATTCTAACCGCTATCACTTTCAAATCACTTCCTATATGTATATTAGCAATACTCGACGACGATGTTATTGACAGACCAAACGTTTTCTGGGATAGTAGCGTCAATCCCTCGTCCCCCTTACGATCTTCTGCTGCGTGGAGGGCTTGAGAACTCCCCAGCCAACTCGGATTTATTCGATCTTGAAACAAGCCGCGTTGTTAGCTGCCCTTGGCGGCGTTAGGCCGAAAGATACACTTGAAGCCTACCCGGGCTTGATTCATGCAGAACACCGAGCACCGGGCTTGTACGCTAGTAGCCCTGATGTGACTCTTTCAGCCTTTAAACCAAGGAAGCCAACTCAAAAGTCCGTTCCTGCCGTATATCACATTCGCTCCGGAGGACAGGTTGCCGGGAATCGGTTCTCGCTCCTAAAGCATGTTATCCAGCTTTTTCATAGCATAGAGATCGTCTTCGTCTCTGTTGAATACCGCCTGGTACCTGAGCATAGTGCCCCCTCCGCCCTCTATGATGCTTATGCCGGTCTTCTTTGGACTGCTGAACACGCCGTGGAGCTCAATATCGATCCTTCTAAGATCATCTTGTATGGTTGTTCTGGTGGTGGACCCCTGGCAGCAGGATCCGCAATTCTCTGCCGTAACAACCGGAAACCATATCCTTGTGCCCTCATGCTGGTAGCCCCATGCTGGATGATCGCGACAGTACGGTATCGTCAAAGCAGTTTGCACACGATGGTCCGTGGTGTGGGACGACCAACCGCATCGCGTGGACACACATGCTAGGGAATGAAAGGGGTGGGCCTGATGTTGATGAGCTGGTTGCACCGGCGCGTGCGCAAAACTTAGAAGGTCTACCCCAAACGTTTATTAACGCCGGCGAGTGCGAGGTTTTCCGGGACGAGGCAGTAGCATTTGCCTCCCAGCTTTGGAGCTCTGGCGTCTCCGCCGAATTGCATATTTGGCCGGGGGCTTATCATGGGTTTGACGTTATGGGAGCAACCACACCTGTGGCAGCGGCCTCTGAGAAAGCTAAAATTTCATGGATCACGAGACTCCTGGAGACTGAAAGAGTGGACTCTGAAACTATAATCCCCCCTCTCCAGGTCGGCTGAGAAAAAGACTCCTTCATGAATTGACGCCATCAGCCCTGTTCTTGATTCACTTAGATACTCGAGAAAATGCGGTTCATAGTCAGTCGGGTTGGACGAGGATAACATTCATCCTATCATAATTAGCAAGGTAAGCCAACAGGCCCCAGTCAAAGCTGCTCCTCCTTGACCAAGTACCAAGGAATTTTCCCTGTTGGGGGAATTAAATAGAAAGATCTTTGCCTGTCTTTCGACTCCGAATACAAGCAGCTGCCTTAAACATAGTCCTCTTCTGCCTAGTCTGCTGCTGACAAGGACGTGGGTATGTCAGGATCTGGACTACAAGTGAAGCCAAGAAAACTCGCAATTATCTCGAGACTAAACAGCCGAAATAGGGGTTTCGCCAGCCGCAAGTTGACAGGAAGCATTTTGTAACTGTTGGGTACTGAGGGAGTCGATATCTCGTGTTACCAAGCTCCATTGAAATTGCTTAATAAGAAGGCTATTGCTGAAGGATTGAGTTCCAGATTTGAGCGCACCTTGAATGATGCTCAGGAGGGCAAGAGTGCCTCCAGGTCCATGCTAAGCGCATGGTTAGCCGGTTACCTCAGTTCAGACCAGCCGCCTGCACATAACACCATACTAGGCAGCAATACGTGAAAATCTTCCGTTCCGACGGCTAAATGTTGGCCAGGATGTGGCCGGCTAGATTACCCACGCTTAAAGAACCCTGACAATAACTTTGTCTATGTATCCACAGTCAGATATCAACCGACAACGGCGAGGCGCGAAAAGGAGAAGCTGAATTAAGTAATGGGACAACAAAGTGTAAGCCATCGTTACTGTAAGTAGTCGCGTAAGGTCCGAGTTATTCAATTTGAATTAAAACCACTGCAACAATCTATGCACCCGATTCCCTTGCTAGAGGAGACACGTTGGTCGTTCGACTAGGAACTACTAGTGCAATATGGGCCAGGAGGCTCCTGGCAAGTCACTAGTCCTCTTAAGGTTTACTTCCCTTGAAACCTTTTAGAGAAATCCCTTCTTAAGAACCAAACACCTGCATCCAGTCGTACTTCTTGAAGTAATCCTCCACTGTATCGAGAGATGGGGGTGACTTCAACTAAACCCGTATGTAAGCAGCTACTCGCCGGAGGTCAACTTACATCTCGAGGATGAATAACTGTAGGGTCATCTCTGCCCTCATACCCGAACTCGCTCCAGTACGCCAGGTTGTCTTCAAGCTCTGCCTTTAATTCGGTCGGAACAGATGGGGGAAAATGCCCTTTCAGCAGAGTGATTACCTCTGTCTTCAGCGCTGTAGCCTGTGAGAATTTCTCTGCCAGCTCTCGGGTAGTGAGCCATCCTCGATATCCAATGAGGTTCTTTCCAGCAGTGTCTTGTATGAGAGCTCTAACAAAGGGCCCAGAATCCTCCTCGGCAGCAATAAATGGGAGTTTGACGTCTGGGTCCACATGACCAATAGATTGGACTACTCCAGCGCTCTTAAGGATGTCAGCTATCTGCATAAAAAATAAGCCTCGGGAATTCTTGCCTTGGTAAGTTGACTCAACCCGTTCAAAGTATAATAACCCAAGAAGAATCCAGGCTGATAGATGCTAGTCTTTGCCCAGAGTTCTGGGTATGTTTCTTCGCAGTACTCTGCCGCCTTCGCTTTCGAGTCAAAGTGGTACACGTAAGTGTATTTCCCTTTCGACCATTTCGCGGCGTTTGACAGGGAGGAGAGTATGAATCGCTCCAGTGTTAGGACTTTGGCGGCAGCCTCGATAATATTCTTTAACTGTTGTGTTTCATGTTCACCCGCCCACACATTTAGAGTCTGGCCCAGGCTCGCCTTGTCTTTATTGGTAGGATCACTGTATAAGCCCCAGAAGTCACTCACAGCAAAGATGGCGTTTGCACCCTCAAACGCTGCTAATAGCGTGACGGGTACATTGATGTCGACTTGAACCACATTAGCGCCTTGGGCTGCAAGAGCCTGGGACTTGATACTGGTGGGGTTTCGGGTTAGGGCGCGAACTTTCCAACCTGGCTCCTTGAGGAAGACATTGGCCACAGAGCCGCCTTGACTACCAGTGGCTCCGACAATAAGAGATACAGGTGCCAACGATCAAGTTCTCAATGGACTTATATGACGTCATAATACCTGAATAGCGATTATTCATCGGACTAAAGATATGGGGAAAGGCGGGAAAATAGGGAAGGGGAAATAGGGAACCATGGATTAGTAGCATAAAGTTTAATCCTACCAACCAGCTGCCCATCTCTGCCGTGCCACCTGCGTAGGCTCGCCACTCCATTTCGCTGCTCGCAACTCTTTGAGGAAATGCCTCATGCTGTTGATTAGGTTGTAATTTCCCCCTGCCTACTAACGGCCTGGCTGCCCCAGATTATCCTTGCGTAGCCAAAGCTTAAATTGTTCCTAATCCCTTCTCCCCTTCTCCTCTCTATCTTCTGTATCTTTTCTCTAACATCTCTTAAATCAGCCCTCTCTCCCATCTCAGAGAATGCATCGCTCGGGCGTCCGGACCCGGCCCGTCCACCAGCATGTCTAGCTCCAGCACTTCGCCCGAAGAAGTAGGCGATCACGATGTCAATGACACCCTCGACATCGCCATCATCATTTCCTCCGCCATCGCCGTCTATAACGGCCTCGAGCTATCCATCTACCTCCCCTCCACCTTCCACCGCTATCGCAGCCTCTACTTCTGGTCCATGATGACCTCCGCCCTCCTCGGCGTCATCCCAGCCTCCATCGGCGGCGTCCTGCAGTTCTTCGGCCGCCATCCGCTCTGGGTCAGCATGATCCTACAAAACGTCGGCTTCATCCTCATGGTGCCAAATCAGTCGGTCGTGCTTTACTCGCGCCTGCACCTGATCTCGCCCGATAAGATCATCCTCCAGATCGTGCGGTGGCTGATTGTGGGCTGTCTAGTGCTGATATGTATCCCGACCATCACACTCAATTCCGGCTCGAGTTACCTCCCCCATTCACCACAGTGGGTCCGGGCGTACTTCATCATGGAGCGGTTCCAGATAACCTGGTTTACCATCCAGGAGTGTTTCATTTCAGGCGTGTACATCTACTACACAACACAGCTGATCCGACTCGTCCCGAGCGACGACAAGCGGCGGCATAAGATCCTGCTCCAGCTGCTGGTCATTAATGTGATTGTGATTGTGATGGACTTGGTGCTTGTTGTTCTGCAGTATTTGAATTATTATTATACGCATGTGATTTTTAAAGCCACTGTGTATAGCGTCAAGCTGAAGTTGGAGTTTGCGGTGTTGGGCATGTTGATTGCGATGGTGCATCGGCGCGGTTCCGATGAGTTTTGGGAGACGGGGCAGTCGCCGACGCACTTTTCGTGATATATATAATAAATATTGTCACTGTACCATTATATGTATTATGCAAATCAATGATGAGTGTGATGTATTTAGACTAGATAGACACGTTGTTGCGGTGATATATGTATCTCAGGCTACTTAATCAACGATACGCAACAAGGCGGGAATGAAGGATAAAGCATAATTTCATCTCACACTCTACCTCCAACTATGAGATAAGATTGCCCTGATGTTGGTGGTGGTACATCGAATTTCATTTTAAGAATTATTCTCCTACTGCATTATAAAACCTTACGATTGTAGTGATTACTGGCTACGCCCTAGTAGATTTGAAACCCCAACGCTCTTTCTTACACGGGGGAACACAAATACATGGTCAGCGCGTACGAGGGGGCGATCGAGCTCCTTGATCGCATCGGATCCAGCGCCCCAATCAGGTACGAGTTGGCACGCGCGCACTGTACCGTTTGCGGCAACACGGCTGCTGCTAGGGCTTCTTTGGATCCTATTCTGGACAGCACATCGTCTGACAACCGCTACTGGCTCACAGATGAGGACCTAACATTTACCCTGGGATCCGTGGTGGCGCTAGCAATGGACATACTCGTCGACGAGTTCCGTTGTACAGCTGATCCAGTCGCAAAGGCCGCGCTCCTCGATGATGCGCGCGGCTTAGCGAACCGCAACCTGGCACACTCCGTTACGCTATTGACATCGGACAGGGTCGATGTGAACGTGGGCGTAGCGCTTATGGTGCGGCTCATGGGACCCGCCACAGAGTACCAGCACCTCCTACAGGAAGCCCTCACGACGAGCTTCGAGATGATCCCACGCAATCTGTCATCGGCCGACGTGTCGTGGAATCTGTTTTCGCTCGCTCACATTATCTTCTTATGGATGGATTCGATAGAGAAGCCCGAATCCTAATCACCGCAGCAAGTCCTGGAATCCTTACTAGCCAGGAGGACGCTTCAAGCGTTGGCAATTGCAATAACAATGACAATGACGACGACGATCCAGCTGATGAGGAGAGCGAGGATGATTCTGATGGCGAAGACACAGACCAGTATTGGTGCCAGGGAAGGTGTACCCCTGTGCATGGTTGGAAATCCTGGGAGGATGGTCCCATGTACATGTGCCTGATCTGAGAGATAATAAGTGGAAGGCTGCTTGGCAGAGGTTCTGGCTGACTGATGTTTAAGCTCATTATATTACGTTTCAGCGCCTTCAGCTTCCTTATTCTGTTCTGCTTCAGTCCTTTGCATCTGTATAGCTATCCTATATCCGTCCAACATTTGCCCGGAGCTCACTCCCAGCGAAGTCCGAAACCGACGCGTTTATTCCCGCTCGACAGGACGAGCGGCATCCAAAGGCTTAGAGAGTCCGACGCGGTCCAGAGTCCTTGTGTGCTTGACGCCGCCGTCCTCATGGTCAACCTGCACAACCAAGTCCTTACGTTCCTTGTCGACGAGGAGACGAATAAGCTCAGGACGCATGTAGTGGCCGCCCTGTAAACGCTTTATTAGCTTAGTTGTGGTGGACGGACGCGCGTAGGCGCGTGGTATGCTGCCAGGTAAGGCGGAGGCAACTTACAAAGTCAGCAAGAGACTTGGTGAGGTGGATTTCGTCGAGGTCGATCTAGGCCTCGTTAGCTTTATCCCTTTTTTTTTTACTCCTTTTCTGTTCCGGTGTAGGAAGGTTTGTTCAGGGAGTACGTACGTCGACGTAGAGAAGGCCCTGGAAGTCCTTGGCTGGGTGGGGGACGAGGTTCTGTCCGTCAGGCCCAAAGATCCGGCCGTGGCCGTTGTAGATATTCGGGTCCTCGAGTTCCTTGCCCGGAGGCGTGTTGAGCTTGATTCCCTCTTCGGTGATCGTTTGCCAGGGGGCGAGCGTGAAAGTGCCAGTTTCGATCGCGTAGGCCGGGGTCACGAGCTATGCATAGCCCCTGTTAGCTTGAGTACGGGCGGACAAGGCCGCTATATGATGATGGCAGATCTCACATCGCAGTTCGCCTCTGCAACATTGGTGTACGGATCCGGATACTTGAGCGTCTCCTTCCCAGGGTACAGCGGCCAAGCAGCAACATGGACCTGCTCGCCCAGACTAGCCGCATAGGACTTGAGGAACGGGTTCATGTTCTCCCAGCAGTTCAGATGTCCAACACGCCCAATCTCCGTCTGCACAACAGACTCGGTAGTGTCACCGGTGCCGTCGCCAAAGACGAGGCGCTCAACGTGCGTGGCGCGGATCTTGCGGCGGTGGTTGAGGACCTCACCGGTTGGGGAGATGAGCACCTGGGTCGTGTACAGGCTGGCGAAGTCGACTTCGGAGTAGCCCAGCGAGACGAAGACCTTGTTTGCGCGTGCGGCCTCGCGGATGCGGCGCATCTCCTCCGAGTCGGATGGGAGGCTGTTCTCGCGATATTTCTTGAGTAGGGGGAGGCTTTCTTGGTAGTTTACTTTCCACATCCAGTAGGGGTAGCCGGGGATCCCTTTGTCGCTCAGGAGTTAGTTAAGTCTTACATATGCGGTCGCAAAGTGGAATTGGGGGTACGTACACAACTCCGGGAAAGCGATGAACTTGCAGCCATTTGCTCCAGCCTCGTTGATCCAGTGGATGGTCCTTCGGACGGATTCTTCGAGGTCGAACCATCCCGGCTCGGCGTTGACGGCGGCGGCCTTGTATTTCTTGAGAACGGAAGTCATCTTCGATTGCTAAAGGCGCGGTGTTTCTGATACGTTTGTTGAGCTGATTGTAAAGAGCATTGCTGATGACCTTGCAAAGTAAGTTGCCTTGTCGACCTACTTATACTATTCACACACCTCATTCTTCTCTCCGCGTGTCAGTCCATCCGGCTCACTCGGAGGCGGGCTTTGGAGGTATCTGGTATATGGCATGAGGTCTTTCGGGGTTTGGATTACGGCAGACCTATCCCTTCTATATCTGGATTACTGATCCACTGTGTATAGCAGTGGGGCAGGCGGATGGCCCGGCTGCCGTTGCAGATCCCGCGCTGGATGACACTCTGCAGACTATACCACCGCAGCAACCACTAATATATGATTTTAAGCCTCTTCAACGGGCGGTAAATAGTTCTAGAGGAATAGCCATAGGAGCTCTTTAGTCTCCTGAGTTGTTCGGCCTTACTAAATCTGATGTTATTGATTACCTTCCGCGGTGTCAATCACGATCCACCATGCAAAATATGTCCAGGTACTACCAGCCGCTGCAACGGACACAGAACTTTCCTCATTCTACGCAAGTTGGGATAGCTCATCTGGCAAATGAGAAACGGCAAAAGAGAATCATCGCTGAATCGGCAGGGGTTATCAGCTCCGCGGTGATAGATACACACCTGCCGGTGTACCAAATCCCGGTTTCACTTCAGATCCCTCCAAACACCGACAACTGAAGAACTCTTGAAGGCCGTTGGGGCTCGCCAAATTGCTCTATTTGCTTTGTTAGGAATTCAGACGTCAGCGCTCCGTTCGTTTTGGCCGCTCGCTGCTCTCCCTCGTCTTAATACATGTATGTTCGTTCATTGCTGTTCGGAGCCTTGGAAGCCCTAGTACTTTGGGTCCTTATTGTGGGATTCTACGGTTTGCTTCAGATGACGAGGAAAAGAATAGCGCCCTATTACACACGGTACTAACAAATACCTCCACCGCTTAGCATGCTGAATACTCTTGCTTAAGGCTTTGATGCATTAGGTAGGCCCAGCAGTTTGAAAATCTTTTTCAATGGTAGTGGCCTATCCTTGAATCCCACCAATGCCGTTAGGTCTATGTTCTTCTAGCGCTTCCTAGGACATCAAGTAGATAAAAGATAGCCAAGTGGCTCGGAAGTACTCTCTGGAGCTTAAGGCGACCGCGCCTTGTTCAGTCCGTGTGTAAAGGCCAACCTCACCAACCTGAAACTGGCCACATGGACGTGCTAATTCCAGTGGATATACGGAGTATACCCTAGTGAAGAATACAATGTGAGTGTATGGTATACCTGTCTGCACATCAAAGATTATCAAATGCTAGCCGTTGATATAGCCAGCGACCGCGGTGTCTTTGACGGGCATGGAGGGAACCGAGAGAGACATCGGGGTCGGTCTAGGGGACAGGGCATATTTACCACTGATCCACGCCTGCGAGTCGTTTATGTATGCCTCCCCAAAAGCCCCCTTGTTGATTAAGTCTCCCATACCAAGCTCGCCAGCAGTGAATGACCCAAGCCCTGATATCCATTGTCTTCTATCTTGCCCCTTCGTATATCGCGGTCAAAAGGACCGGATCCAGGGCCCCAACCAAAATCGCCACCAGACAGTGTGTGGGCCACCGGGCGGGTCCACCCACTACTTACTCCAATGCTTATCCAGCCATTCTAAATGGTTGAAGCGCAACGTGATCTTACGGAGTACCGTGCTGGCACAAATGGGACCTTGAATGACACGTGACTCCGCTGCGATGAAATTAATTTCTCCCTCCTTGAAATATCTATTGTAAACATATCTGAAAATCATAATATTTGGCGCCCCAACAATCGAACAACATTTCCCACCCTGCATTGATTCTCGCCCTCTGTCTCTTCTGTCCTATTATCACCCATTTATTAGAGATGGCAAGCGAGGCAGCCGTACCCAGAGCCCCAGCCTCCCGATGCCACACACGTCCGTTTTATATTATAGATGCCTGGTTAGTGGCCCTACCTCTATACCCCCCTTACTCTTTATAGGCGTATAACTAACCTACTTAACCCCACTGCCATCTTCTAAATCTAAAGGCTCTATCGTAATTTGCTTCCTAGCAACTATTAGCACAACCTTAATATATATAAAGTAAAATAATAGACAGGAAAATTGCACTTATATCTCTAATATAAATACCGCACTAAAAGCATCCAGGGAATGATTGCCCCTGAACTTGGTAAATAATCCTACAAGTACCCCTTTGCAAACCACGGGCTATCCACTATCTTAAACACAAGCAACCTAATCCATGCCCGCATCGCCATCAGCGCTGTATTTATAATAATTAGCCTAAAAAATCACTCTCTCCTCCTTGCAATGGCGCAGGATATCGTTCCCCCATCCCTACAGGATACTCGACATGGCGATCTCAAAGTAGTAAATGTTGAATGCCACGAGAATCGCCATGCTGACAATGTTGACTAGGTGCGCGAGGATGATGGTGTTTGTGTTGTCCGGCCAAGCCACAGGTCACTGCTGAAGTTTATAAAGAGGACGTGGGCGATTCTAAGGCCTGGTGCTGAGGACCGATGTGGCTGGTACACGTTCTCCCATGCGAGATGCGCAGTGCTCGTGTACTCGTTATCGATATAAATTACTAAACTCTCAATTCTAATACATACGACCACAGGGTGTGGAGAACAGGGCTTCCCGTCCGCTCAGCCGTACTTAAGCCACACTGGTAAACGTGGCCAGAAGTTAAATGAGCCC